AATCCTCCTCCACCTCTTCCTCCCTCCCTCTCCTCCTCTCCCCCTCTCTCCAGCTCCATCTCTATCTCTGTTCCTACCGTATTTCACACATAAGAGATGCTGCCAGTAGAATACAGGGCCAGATGTGCTAAGAAACAACTAACTGATGCTTGAACTCCAGGTTAATGAAAATAGTTCAAATTATCCAACAAAATAACACCAAATATGCTCCTCAGACTGTTATCCTGCCTCCAGCTGATACATAAAGACAGAAATAAAACTGAAATAGTAGCTGCTAGGGTTGTAAAACGTATCAAAAATCAGATACTAACAGATACTAAAACTAATTACATACTCATTTGAGCAGATATCGATATTAAAAAATTCCCACTGACAGAACAGAAATGAAGCTTTCCTCAACAGCTTTAGAATGATCTTGAGCTGTATCGGAACAAGTATAAGAGACACATATACTAGTAGACGCCCATGCACTACTACGGAACCTACTTGGACCACATGGTAATATAAAAAGTACTACCATTTAAAGCTGCACTGTGTAACTTTTCTGGTTGAGGGTCTGTCACCTAATTTTTAGAGATGTTACTTTGCCTGGAATGTTCCACACTAGCACCTCTCCACAGATCTAACCTGTAACTTGGCTTTGGTGATGTCACTTTTGGTCCCATGGAGATAGATATGTTTAATGCAATACTGTGGAGAGATATGGAGCAAAAAATATATCTTGATATATTTTGTTATATCTTGAAATACGATATATATATCACAATGTCTGTACATGAAAAATAACCCCCTAAAAACTACTCCAAAAACAAATATGCCAAATTCCACAAGGTCTTTTTTTTATTGAAGTGCAAAGAGGTAGGCAGCTCATGTAGGAACAAAGTGCTTCTGCGACATTAATAAAAAAACATCCCTCTATACAGTTACCATAACCATGAGCTCCTTTAGCAGAGGAAGCTCGAGAGGTTCCTTGTTTTAATAGATACATGTTCCTAACCAGCGGTAAGAAGCTATGAGGTATCCCACAATCCACTGCAGATCAAACCAAATGTTTCCAAATACTATTGTACAAGTGACACTGCAGTAGATTATAAATTAAAATCTTCTACATAAATAAACTTTACATTACTAAACTTTACAACATATAAACCACAACGACTCTAGAGCCACATCAGCCCGTTTGAGATTATAATGTGTTTAATGCAGCTTTGCGCACATTTGTTTACATTTTACAGAAACAAAACCACCTGTCGGACTAAAGGACACGACTCAGAGGAATATGAGTGTTTTGTCTGTGACAGAGGATGTGCTGCTGATGGCCTTGTCTGTAAATGGTGGAAAAGGTTCGTGGTGCTAGAAGCTTTTGGTTGGCCCCAGCTTTTGGCATTCGCGGCGGTAGTGAGGAGTGAATGAGACACACGATGGGAGGGGTAACAAAATTAAGGAGATGGGGGCGCGAGGGGCGAGTGAGCGTGTATATACCGCATTTTCCGCACTATTAGGCGCTCTGGATTATAAGGCGCACTGTCATAGAATGGTCTATTTTCAAACTTTTTTCACAAATAAACTGCACCGGACTTTAAACGAAACACAACAGTTAGATGGCTCAGTGGGACTTTGTTTGGTGCGTTCACGGTGACTCTGGGCTTTGTTCAATTGTAGCGCGTAACGAGGGTTCTGTCTGGGACCACTGGATTGTCGGCGTGTTCGCAGTGACTCAGTTGTTCAGTTGTGTCTAGAAGTGGCACATTGCACTCGCTTTTTCGGTTCGTTCCTCCATTCTGTTCCTCATCTGCGTGGACTGATGAGTGTGGCTATGGGTGTTTTTCACTGTGCGGTTGCTGTCTGCTCCGTGCGGGTGGTGTGGCTTTGTAGTTCACTGAAGTTGTGCTGAGACACCCGAGTTGATTCATGTATAGGGCGCTCTGGATTGCGGGGCGTGCAGTCGTTTTTTTTATGAGGTTGGAGGCTTAAGAGCGAGCCCAATAGCCCGGAAAATACAGTAAGCATTATATCGATATAAATGACATGTCAGAATCCATTTCGTGTTTATCGAGATATCCCCCACCCCTTCTGTAGAGCATTCTGGACAAGCATCACATTGTAGACGAGGAGGTAACGGACCCTCGCCCAGAAAAGTGCACCTTTAAGGGCTACAGCCTGACTAGTTACAAAGCTGGTTCGCTGCATGAGAAAAGACACTTTAAGGACTGTAATTACCTAAACAAGTCTAGTGACAGTATTGCACTTTAAAAACACATAAAACCACCAGAACACTTCCTGGATTACCACTTAATGACATCATGCAGTGGAACCAAGTGCTTTGATGTCTAAATATGATAACTGCAGGTATGTTTTTGACAAGTAAACAACAACTCAATTTTGAACCCAGGAAGTTATTTCCACCAGGTTCTCACCCAGCAATGCCACTAATTGGATTAATTTGTCCGTCTCTGGTAATTGCTTCATCCAACAAAAAGTCTAGGCTCTAACTCTTTAATTTTTACACAAAGCAAAACTAGAAGATACAAAGTCAGGTCTATGTAATGTAACCCTGGGGCGAGTTTAGCATAAGAGGACCTTTAAAGGGACATATGCTAATTTACCCTTATCAAAAACAGACCTGGAGTTGTATTTTACTGGTTCAAAATTGGTTTAGACCTGATTTAGTCCTGGATTAGACCCAGTTTAGTCCTGATTTAGACTTAGTTCAGTCCTGGTTCATTTTAATCCTGGTTAGGTCCTACTTAGTTTTCCTGGTTTTAATATCTAGTTTGGTCATGACTTAATATTGCTGAAATACTTGACTCATTTTAGTCCTGGTTTAGTCCCTGGTTCAGTCCCGGTTTAGTCCTGGTTTAGATCTGGTTTAGTCCTGATTTAGTCCTGGTTTAGCCCTTGTTTAGTCCTGGTTTATTCAAGGTTTAGTCCCTGGTTCAGTCTTGTTTTATCTCCTAGTTTAGTCCTGTTTAGTCTTGGTTTAGTCCCAATTGAGATCTGATTTAGTCCTGGTTTATTTCTTGTTTAGTTCCAGTTTAGATCTGGTTTAGTCCTGGATTAGTCCCTGGTTCAGTCTTGTTTTATTCCCTAGTTTAGCTCTGGTTTAGTCCTGGTTTAATCCCAGTTTAGTCCCGGTTTAGATCTGGTGTAGTTCTGATTTAGTCCTGGTTTAGTCCTTGTTTACGCTTGATTTAGTCCCGGTTTAGTCCCTGGTTCAGTCTTGTTTTATCCCCTAGTTTAGCCCTGGTCAGTCCTGGTTTAGGCTCGGTTTAGATCTGGTTTAATCCTGATTTAGTCCTGGTTTAGCCCTTGTTTAGTCCTGGTTTAGTCCTGGTTTAGCACTGGTTTAGTCCTGGTTTAGTCCCAGTTTAGATCTGGTTTAGTCCTGATTTAGTCTTGGTTTAACCCTTTTTAGTCCTGGTTTAGATCTGGTTTAGTCCTGATTTAGGGCTGGTTTGGCCCTGGTTTAATTCTGGTTTAGCCCTTGTTTAGTCCAGGTTTAGCACTAGTTTAGCCCTGTTTTAGCCACCGTTTAATTCTGGTTCATTCCTTGGTTCAGCCCCTAGTTTAGTCCTGGTTTAGTCCTGGTTTAGTCCTGATTTAGTCCTGATTTAGTCCTGATTTAGATCTGGTTTATCCCTTGTTTAGTCCATGTTTAGCACTAGTTTAGCCCTGTTTTAGCTGTGCTTCAATCCCTGGTTTAGCCCTCTTATTTAGTGAACTAACCCCACTTTTAGCCCTTCAAAGCAGTTCTTAGTCTCATACATTCCCTGAGCTGATCTTAAACCACTACTCAATGTTAAAACAATCAGCGCTCCTCTCTCAGGACTCCAACATGGCCGCCACTTTTTCTCTTTAAAATTCAGCTTTTCCATTTCCACTAATTAAACTCAGAGAGGGGGAATTAAAAGTCTACTGCCATCAAACTATCGAAAGCTTAACCTGAGTACCGATGACATGCCTAAAACCGTCTCTCTGTTTGACACTTTCTCAATAAAAACTCCAATCTTCAAATATAGAGATGGAAGAGCAATTTGCTACGCAGTCAATAATATGGAGGGTGCTATTCTCTCTGGGCTGCTGCATATGTAAGAGAGACGAGCAGGGAGCTTTCATGTGTATCTTCTGCCCTCTACTGGCCAAACTAAAAATAATGTCTCTATTTAATGATTAACAATATTTTGGGATAGAAAGAACATTGATACTTTGTTGTGACATCTTACTGGGGGTGTTCTGCATGTATACCTATGGCAGACTGTTCAGCAGTTACCATGGTGTCACAATGTACACATTAAATAAATTAAATGGATTTAAACCGGGGATTTTCTGGAGTCTGTGATCAATACGAATGTTTATGGGCCCAATTAGGAGGTGATTTTCAGCTAAGAAAAGTGAGAGTGACTAACTGATTGGCTAATCCTAGTTAGTGTGTGACTAATGTTATTTGTTTAACAACACAAATCAGCTCACATGTTGTGGCTCCAGCTGTCAGTTCTTTCTGGTCAGATTGGGTTAAAATAAAACCTAAATTAAAGTCTCACAAAACCTCAGACAGAGCAGTTCTTAAGTTAGCAATATACCCTGAAGGAATCTTGATGACACCAGCTGCAAAGTATCAATCTGTACTAAGGTTTAAGATGTACATGGCTAAAAATGTAATCAATTAGAGGCACTACCAAATGTGTAGACAAAAAGTATAAAGCATCTATCAAAAATGTATACTTTGCAGTAACATCATGCTGGGGGGAAGGGGGGTGGTCACAGTTACAACGGTGAAAAAATGCACACAATAACAAAAACTCCCAACCAGCCATGGTTTTTGCCTAGTTAACAGAAGTAGAACCTCTTCCTATTAATTTATATTAGAGGGGTGCCCATGAGAGGCGCTGTGCCCCAGGCCCCCAGTTTTCTGTCGACAGCATGAAAAGAACCATCATTTTGAGCTAAACTAATGAGGTTTACATTATAGAATACATTTGGTACGTAGTTTGTATTCTTACCATGAGGCCGGCCGTGGAGACGCTAAAAAGCAAACAGAGAAGAAAACACCACAAGCTCCGCCTCCTGGGATACCTCTGACCAATCGAAGAGCTGCAAAATAAAAACATTTCAAACATTAGAAGACATGAGTACGACTAAACACATCTATCATACAAATTAATATGAGATAAAGAAAGAAACACTCACACTTTCCTGCAGTGTGGGCATCGGGCCAGTGTCCGGTCTGTGAACTCTGTCCACTGAAACACAACACAAAACTGTGATAACACTGGGATTAGGTTCATTATGTCTTCTGTAAACATAGTAGCAGCAGCAGGGCTGAAACAAGGGATGGGCAAAATGACAATACCAAAATGAATTGCGTTTCTGTGTCTTGGTGACTTGGCTCATGTTTTGCACTCTGAGTTCTTCACATTATCAGTCTGGGATGGCTCTTGCTGAAAGCAAGGTGGAACATCATGAAAATTATTTGAATCTGATTAGCTGAAGCATAACAACAGCAGAACACACCAAAAAATAAAACTTTAGATACAGCTAGTTGAGAGAAAAACAGACAACTCTTCTGTCCACAAATGCTCAAAGTGCTTCCCTTCTGCATGTTTTTCACAAATTAAAAGGTCCTTTTTGATGTAAAATAGGCTGAAGTACATCTGTCGGTGTCGTCATGTTTGTTTTGGTTTGTTTGGGCACTTCATTTTTCACTCAGCCCAAACCCGAGTGCTGCTCTGTGATTGGTCCGCCAACAACGTCAGGCCCAATCACACCAGTGGGCGCCAAGATAGATTCACAAATAAGACTCACAAATATCAGGAAAATCTATCTTGCAGGGTTAGTATTTTGGTGCCAGGCAGTTTGCTCTTGTGCTCAGAGCCAGTTATGTTAAAATCATTGTTCAGCCTTTATCCTGCTCTGAGTGAGTGACAGGGGGATTTAACCAATCACAGTGAAGTGTGGTCCAAAGCAAATAGTTTTAATTGTTTGAAAATTACACAGTGACTGGACAGTTTAATCTGCCTTGCCACTTTCCACTGAAGAGGCTGTTTACCAGCACTTCTCTGTACTAATAATTTTGCACCAGATCATTATAATTTCGAAAGCTTTTGCCAGCGCCACACACCATGCCCACTTTAGCTGATTAATTGATACACAGAGAGTCTTTAGTCAACCAAGATTTTTTTGTTGAGTTGAGTTTGGAAAATATCTTAACACTTTTCTGGGAAATACACTGTAATAAAATCATTAAAAACCCCAAACCAAAACTCTATTGGATCTGGATGTAAAATTGGTATTTCACCATTGTTCACTGTTGAGCTCCATAGGCACAGACCAGTCTTCATCAGCCTATCTTAAACATTGGGCTGTCAGTCTGGTCGCTCCTCAGACTGTAATTAGGACCTCCTCTCAGTCTGAGCTGTCAATCAAACTCTTCAGGTATCAGCGGAGAGGTGGAGGTGACGGATGATTGGCTCACTGCCCAAAACACGGCGCTCCTCTCCAACATGGGCTTTTCCATTTTAGGGTACACGTCTATTCAAATCTGTTCAAATCTGTTCAAATCTGTTCATTAGTTTCTCGGAGCTGTAAAGCAACAAGAACGGCTGCAATTAGAGGGAAAATCATGACTAGCTGACTATTACTTTTTATTTAAAGATTTTTTGAAGTATTTTAGCAACATTTATTTAGAGAGATATCGTATAAGCAGCTCCTGAGGTCAAAATAAGTCTGCTGTGTACTTGTCTGCATCTAATTAGAAATAATTTTATTGTCCAAAAATCAGGAAGTGCACATTAGCATGGTAGATGTTAAAAGCCCTAGTTTATGAATGTTGTGAAAAGTACTTATAAACTCATTGTGGTGAGTAATTAGAATTCTCTGAATGCATAGGTGAGATTGCAATCGTAATTTGAGAGAATGCAATTAGCAAATGGCAAAGGCTGCAATTTCTGAAGTACCGTAATTTCCTCCATAAACAACAAAATCTCCTGTCGTATTCTGCGTAAAAACTTCTAACCCTGCAGTTTCCATCTGTAAAAACATGTTCTGAAATGTGATTCTTGTATTAGTTTGTCAATTCAGATTCTTGTCTTTTTGTCAATTCTTCAGGATGTTATTGTTACATCCCTAGTTGGCAGTGAAAAGAGACTACAGTATATTATGAAGTGCTTCCATATCTTCACACACTGTGTCCAGCTGTTTGACTGTTTTCCGCACTAGATTCTCCTCCTCTTCACACAGACACGTACACGAGCCCCAGAGGAAAGGCGTATCGATCCAAACCAATAACTCTGCATTTACTTTGCCTGGTCGGGTCTCCACTTCACTGCAGCCGATAAAACTACTAATAAACCAGGCAGCAGGAGCAGAGAAGAAAATGTCAGCTTTAACACTGCACTTTTACATAGAAAAAATACACCCAAATAACACTGGAACTTTGAGATATTGGCCACGTAATGAAAAAGTGACCATAGCACTTTTTGTTGCAGCAATATACAAAAATCTGTAAAGCTCAGAGTTATGAACATAGACTGTGTAAAGTGGAGTCAGGGAGTGTGACAGAACCCATAGTGCTCCGTTCCAGTCAAATTAAGCTCATCAAAGCTGCAGTTATAGGAGCGAATTTGAAGCAGAGTTCCATATTTACAATTCTTACTGAGTATCGTTGCAACCACAGAGCCAATCAGGAGCGAGGCTATTAAAAATAACAGCCCGTCTTGCTGGCACAGCGATTTTGGCTAAGCAACGCTGTCAATCCAACCTGTTGCTATCGTTAGTGGGAGTGACCTCTGGGAAAGAAAGCACCTGGTTTGTCTGTTATAAAGGTTCATATCTTGATTTATGAACAAAATAGAGAAAGAAAAACCCCAGCATCATGTAGAGTGGGTTAATATGGACATTTTAAGACGAAAATGAAGAGGCTCACAGCAGCAAAACAGAGAGAGGGGTGGTGGTCTTTCAATACGATAAGAAGAAGCGCACCCATTTTCACTATTTGGAGCACCGCGGGTTGGCAGGTTAATTATGTCAATTTATATATACACAGTCTAGTATGATCAAGTACCACAATGTATTCCTTTGATTTTAGGAAAGTAACTGTAGTAGTACTGGTTAAGCTTGTATTTGTGATAATAAAAGTGCAGTATGCGTTTACATTTAAGAGGTGCATTGTGTAGCTTTTCTGATGGAGGGTCCATCAAAAGTTTTTCTCCATGGAGGTGTAGCTTTTTTTGGAATATTTTTAGCTTCATGGAGACCAAACCAGACCAAGTTACAGGTCAGATCTGTAGAGAGGCAACCCCGTTCACAGTCAGAATGCCTGTTTTTCTCAATATCGTCGGTCTGCGGAACATAAATGGGCGTTTCTTCGTCTAAACGGGGAACGCCTCCAACCACTGTCAACATCCGGTCTAACATAAATGTCAAAGTAAGACTTGTTTGTATTGAAGTAAGAGTTGTACATTGACATTAGCATTGAACGTCGCGTAGTAAGGGTTAGGGTTAGTGTAGAACTATGGCTACGTGGCCTATCAACAGCTAACTTCAAGGCTCATGCTGTGCTATCATTAACTAACTTGTTAACTTGGTTCTTTAGACTTTTACTGAGAAAAAGCGAAAAAGCGGAAAAGTGCAAACTCTTTCCGATTGGTTGATTACATGCTACAGGAATGTCCATTAAGGAGTTTCTGTGGCACGTCTGGAACGCCCACACTGCAGACCGACACTCCTCATTTTTGTAGGTGTTTTTGAGTTATAAAACCACCTGTAATTGAATACATGTAAGGTAGAGCTGTTTAATGTCATACTGTGGAACCTTACAGACAAAGCAATAGCATTTCCATGGAGACAAGCCTCCCCACCGGAAAAGTTACACATTGCTAGGATATCCAAGGTGAACCGTACCAGGAAGGTGTTGCTGCAGTGTCCACAGGAGACTCTGGCCCCGGCCGGCTGAGGTTCTGGACTGGCTGGACCTGGGTGCACTGGGCCCAGGTTTATTATCCTCTTACTGAAAACACACAGAGAAACACAAAGACGTCCATTGAGAGAGGATTCAAATACAGACAGGAAATAAGCACCACAAGAAAATCTTAGGTTTAACACTTAGCCATAGAGTTTGCATGTTGTTCTTCGTGTGTTTTGGGGTCTTTCCTCTGGTTTCCCCCATTAACCCAAAACATGCACAACAGGTCAAATCCTCCAGCTAAGACAGTCCTGACTAAGACTAGCTCAAGATCTGGAGATGAGTCCCACTGCTCCTGACAGATTTAACCCAGACACATGGAAAGAGAGGTCAAATGCAGAGACACATTTTACTATAGACAATAAACTAGTGTTGTCATAATACTAAAATTTTGATAGTCAGGAACATGCTTGAAACAGATTTCGATACCACAGTAAAACAATGTATGGTCTTTATATTGCATGTGGTCTTATTTTAGTTCTGATACAGCTTAAGACCATTCTAAAACTGTACAAGAACGGTCAAAGATTGTCCTATTTGGATAATTTTTTAAGCATTCATACTTGCTCAAATGCATATCGAGTTTCAATAGTTTTGGTCTATTTTTAAGGGCCCATACTCATTTCTTTTCCATGCATTTCAGCAAAATGTGTCTTGTCCTGGTACAGAAATAAGTCCACTATGTGCTGTCAGTGAAAAATTATAAAACAATGTATTGTATTTTCAGGAAGTGTGTGTCAGCAGGCTAGTTGTTTGCTCTACCACTGTCTATGGTCTCTAAACCCTAAACTTGCTTTGTGTGTGTGCCTATAAACCTTTTCACATTACTTTTTTATTTCAAGATGAATTACAATTTGATTAATGTGAACCCTCCATATGGCAGACACCTACTCATATCCATCTTCACTGTAAGTTAAACCTGTTCATCAAGACAAAGACTCAGTTCATGTGGACATTATTTTAAACCCAGAGGTGCGTTAAACAGGCGACTGGATTCTGCTGACTCAGTTTGACAGAGTTTGTGTGAAAACCTCATTAAGAGCTCACATCCTGCTCCTCTGCTCCAGGGCCCCGGCTGCCAATCTCTCACACTCACATTATAACACAAGTGTCTGAATGCATTTCATAACAGAGCGGTGTGGGGCCTGCCTCTGTGTCTGTGTCTGCTACACGACAGAACACTGGGGTTAGAGATGGACACACACTCAAGGACCAACTGTTTTTATATGAATGAATTATATCAAGCATTTCCAAAGTTATACCTCACAGATTTTGAGAACTGAGCAGGTCATCTCTCACCAGTCTGAATCCCCAGCTCTTACACGTATTTAATTACAGGTGGTGTTATAGCTCAAAAATACCAAGAAAAACAGGCATTCTGACTGTGAACGGGGTCGCCTCTCCACAGATCTGACCTGTAACTTGTTCTGGTTTGGTCTCCATGAAGATAGAAAGGTTTAATGCCATACTGTGAAACATTCCAGACAAAGCAATAACATCTCCATGGAGAAAAGCATTTGACGGACCCTCCACCAGAAATGTTACACAATGCATCATTAAATAATTGTTAATTGTAGCTCTATTAATCGAGTTATTATTCTTCACGATTTCGCGAAAGGCCTTTAAAATTATATTTTTACTCGATTTGATCCAGACAGAGTGAAACTCATGGAGCATACTTATAAACTAAAGAATGTTTTTAGTGTGTTTATATTTACACATTTCCTGAGTCATTTTGACGTAACTCCTGCTTTGTGAGTCATAGAACTTCAGACATGTTTTGTAGCCGTGGAGTGAATAAATAAATCAGTGTGCTGCTTTGAGGGGCTGTCGAACATGCAAAACAAATAATAAATAACTAGTATTAGAAAAAACTATAGAGGATAATTAGTTTCATCAGATTTTGAATTTTAAATGCTGTTGAATTTCTCCCTTTGAATATTTTAACTCTGGAAAAAAAATGTTTGAATTATTTTTATTCTGAATTTTAGCTGCTGAAATTTTAAATGTACATTTTCAGTGTCTGTTTGACTGCTGAATTTGAGGGCTTGAATATATTTGTGCTGAATATTTAAAAGGTGAATTTAAAAAAAATTGAAATATATTGAAAATGTATACTTGCAACTATACGACAATGCTACTAAAATTCAGAATAAAAATAATAAAAAAATAATTCAATATTTTCAGATTTAAAAAAATTCTAAACGAGAACTTCAGCAGTATTTAAAATTCAAAATCTGTTGGAACAAATTATCTTCCATAAAAACTACATGGACTATAATCCTTTTCTCTGCCTCAACAGCCAGGACAAAGATATGAACCGTATTCTAAAATCTGAAAATACCATCATCAGAAGATTATTTGAGGAAAAAGCTGTAAAACTGCTCTCACAGTTTTCCAATAAAGATTGTACTGGCTATGGTCACATTCCTCTATAGCAATTCAAAGGAGCTGTACCTGATTTTTACTTTCTTAAAAACGTGAAAAACAGAACTAGTTCATTTTAAACGGTTTGCAGTGGTCTAAAGTTCTTCCGAGCGTCCTCATTATTCACTACAATGAGTTAAGAAGCACTTTTCACAACTCTCACAGACCAGAGTGGAGCTTTGCCGTCACGATAAAGATAACAATAAGCAGCATGCTAATTTGAGTAAGAGAACTTCTAACAGTATAGTGCTTTCAGTTAGCATCATACCTCCAGAGAAAGTTGATGACAGCTGCAAAGTATCAATAGAAAATACACAGCTTTGGCTCTGTCTCTACATTGCCTTTAATCTGCACAGTTTCTATTAAATTAAACAGACTTAGACATCTTCACCTTGCACCCAAATCCCACCTTAAGGCACAGGAACAGTCAATTACAGTCAGCTTTTCATGGCCAGATTTTATTGATGTTTAATTTTAAATGCATTTTGTGCCTGTGTGGTGAATCTAGCAGTTGTAGCAGTTGTAGCAGTGTTAGCGGTGTTAGCGGTAGCACGGTTTGTGCCCGGGGCATAAACAGACCTGTATCTCTGGCTCAAGTACAAGAGCTGTGTTCAGATGAGCTGCCAAAATCCACGACCATGGCATCCTGCGCTTCCAGATAAAATATAAAAATGATCTGGCAAAGACTGTCCCGCTGTGAGGTGTGAATGAGTCTAAAAGTGTAATTAAAATTGTCCTTTATTAATACCTGTTCATTGTATCAGATCAAACCTGGGCAAAGAAAATCCACCAGTGACATTTCAGATAAGACTGTTTTGTAATTCTATTATATTTTAGAAACGAATCATCTTTTAAAGGAATTAGGGTTGTCAAAAGTATAGAAAATTAGATGGTACCTGATCGATACCAAAAAGTCCCACTGACAGGACAAAGCAGAACCTTTCCTGGATGTCTTTATAATGATCTTGAGCTGTATCAGAACAAGTATAAGAGCACACAGACTTGTATACGTCCATGGACCACTATGGAATCTATCTGGACCACTGAGGGACGACAGAGATATAAGGACACATGGGAATAGAAATGAAAGTACTACCGTACTACCTCTGTTGTCTAAATGTGAATGTTTTTATTATCATTGTGGTACCAAAATCTGTACTACGTTAAGTTATAAAGAAAGAATAATGCATGTTTTTGAGCAATAAAAGCGCCTGTATTTGAAAAACAATGCAAGATAGATAACTTTAATGTCATACTGTGGAACATTACAGGCAAATCACTAACAATAACTAGTTACAGTGTGTAAGATATAGTAAAATAAGCCAGGTTACAGGTCAGATCTGTGGTGAAGTGAGACCGCTTAGTAGTGAGAATGCATGGTTTTTGAGCAATAAAAGCCCCTGCAATTGAAAAACAAAATGGAAGATAGATCAGTTTAATGTCACACCATGGAACACTCCAGGTAAAGCAACAACATCTCCGTAGAGACAAGTAGAAATGTTACATAATGCCTCTTAAAGTTAGTTAAACTTAAGAGTGTGCAAAATTATCAAAGCATCGATATATCGCCAAGAGCAATTTTTGGTATATTTTACTTAATTATTTTGTTATAGTGTTAGTTTTGTTGCTTGTTCAGAGGAAGGAAACTTGTTTATGCGACACATTTGACATTTTCACTGTTTTGATGATTAAAATGTTTCATATGAACTTTGCACAAGAAGTGGTTTAACAAAGACTTTTAGTATCATAGCCATGATTTAGCCTTTATTTTTACTGAACCATATTGAATCGATTTGAAATCAAACCAAAAGTATACTGTATCGAGATATGTATCGTATCGTGGCCTATGTATCGAGGCATGTATCATATCGGCAATTTCTGAATGATACCAAGCTCTAGTTAAAAATTTTTTTTTTCTCCACGTATTTGAGAAAAATGTGTAAAAATATATTGTATAAATAGCTCTAGATGTCCAAATATGTCCACTGTGTACTGTCTGCATCTAATTGTAAATATTTTATTGTCCAATAATCAGAGATTGAGAGCAGATTAGCATGCTAGTAGTTGATGGTTAAAGTCAGTTCTAGTCTGCGAGAATTGTGAAAAGTGCTTATAAACTCACTGTGGTGAATAATGAGGATGCTCTGAATGCATAAGTTAAGTGAGGAATAACCACTGCGAACTGTTTAAAACTACATTCTGTTTTTCACAGGCCCTATTTCCCCTTCCTCCCTCCCTCTCTGTCCCTCCCTCCTTCCTCTTGTTTTTGAGCAGAGTAGCAGAGTCCACAGAGAGATCAGGACTTCCACAGATTTCTACAGAGACTTTAGTAACACTGGAAACACTAATTAACATCTTTATCTCAGGGCCACAACATGATAAAGGTAGAAACATGTAATTAGTAGAACACTTGAATTCATTAAAGAGGGGTATTTTACTTCTACGAGGTAACAACTGCTAACACAAAACATATTTAGTTACCTTTTATTGCTTTGAAAATGCTCAATTCAACAAAAATAACATATGAACATGTTTTTAATGCTCTGAGTCTTCCCTCCCTTTGCTCTCTGCACCAAGTCACGCCCCATTCAGAGATATATCATAACGTCAGCATGCGTTTTTGATGAGGGAATTAACATTATAACATGGCAGAATGCTCCGAAAGTTGATTTTGCATATTACCTCTCTCTATATATTTTTAGCTAATTTTACAAGAAGGAAAACTAAAATGTGGACCTTATTTTAGTTAACTTTTTGAAGGAATATAATAATATTTATGGCAATTAATAAATATAACATGATAATATCCAATAAAGAAAAAAATATAATACAACAGGGGCACGTTATAGTCACATATTTGTTATTAAAGGTGAAAAGCAATAACAGTAACCCTCCACCTGTCACAGTTTCATAGTGCACCTTTAAGTTACCTGCTTTTTGTCGTGACACTTTTTAACATTAAACTTTTTTATACAGTGTCTCACCAGTAGAGGGTGTAGAAATGTTTGTACCTTTATGGTTGTGGACAGTTTTGAATTTTAAACAGTTGTTGACAGTCTCGCCTGGATGGTCGTAACCAGTTTTACTCTTTTAATGTGAAATAGTTTTCTCTCGCCATTAGGGCTGAGGACAGTTTTACGTTTTAATATTAAATAGAGTTATACAGTCTGCAGCCTGTAGAGTTGTGGACTGTTTTAATAGAATACATTTTGATAATAAAGAGTTGTAAACAGTGTCTCACCACTAGGGAGCAAATATAATATTAAATGTGGTGTCCCACCAGTATGGTCGTGTTGGTATGTTTTAATATTAAATAGTTTTCTCTCACCAGTTGGGGGGTGGACATTTATAATACTAAATACAGTCTCTCACTCTTTCTTAATAGTGTATATTAAATTAAACACCGTTATACAGTCTGTCACCAGTAGGGGGCATGGGCATTTATAATATTAAATAGTTTTAGCTCACCAGTATGGTCGTGGACAGGCAATTCTTTGGGAGGTCACTTTGCAGATGAGCAGACAGTTACAGGGACAGCGCACGTACTTCTTTCCGGCTGGAGCATTTTTAATGGGCTGAGAACACAAGAGCAAAGAGTCAGAACAGTCACAAATACAAGCGTAAGGAGAACAGTCACGGCTGAGAATCACAAGGCACAGACACTGGGAACAGAAAAGGCAAGATCTATAAATGGACGCACGTGAAGTACAGATCCAGAGTGGTGTAGTGTTGTTAAGATGAAAACATGTGCACGCATTATTTGAGCATAATTCAGGCTCGTTAAAGGGCCCACATAACACTGTTTTCTGATCTCTATTCTAAAGTCATTTCCTCATCACATACAGACCTGGAGTTGTGTTTTGTTTTATTTACACATGTTTAACACGAAAACCCTGCAGATTCAGGCTTAGTTCTTCGCTCAAATAGAAAGCACTCTGTCCCACCTTGTGATGTCATACAGTAATAAAGGAAGTGCTCCACTGTGTTTTTAATCTCCATACACCTTCACTTGAATCATTTGGATAATATCAGCCCTGGAATTGTCAATCTCTACAGAACAAAAGGTAAAAGGAGACGTTAACTTGAAAACTACCACTTCATGACATAACAAGATAGAACAGAGCATTTTAAGCTGTGATGTGCTGTGCTCAAATATGTGTGAATAAAACACAACTCCAGGTATGTTTTTGAGAAGGTAACAACATTATAACATCTGTCAATAGTTGTTTTTTAAAGATTTATAAGAACTAATGAAATATATTTGCTTATTTCGAAATTTCAGAAAACTTTGGTCCCATAAAAGACAATATAAATTAGTCAAATTGTCAATAATATACTCAAGTCATTTTAAATTCAAGTCTTGTTTTTGAATGAGACTGAAAATAAGATAATTATTCTTGACAGACAGGGGCAGAGTGGAGCTGAGGAGAGACGCAGAGGAGACGTCAACAAAGTCCTTAAATGTTGTCAACTCAAGAGACAACATCATTTGGATCTTTGAAATCTTAAAGAGGAGCATAAATCAAACTCTATGACTGAAGATTAAAAACAAAAGGAGTCAGCAGGAAAAACATGAGAGAAACCAGGAAGTGTGTGAGCAGTGACCAGGAAGTAGAAGGGGCTGGTGTTGTCAGAGTGAGTCTCAATTCTGTTTCTTCTCTTCCTTCTTCTTGATTCCTCTCCTTGATCCTCCACTTTCAGCTGTCAATAAAATGTGTCATATTAAGTGGTGTCCCAAAGAAAAACATGGAATGAAGGAGTTTATATCCTCTCTCCTCCCTGTGTCTCCTCTGTGGTGGGACTTCCTCACCCATTTCCTGCAGAATCGAGGAGAAGAATCAAGGAGAAAGAAACGAGGAAAGAGAAACGAGACGCAGCCATTGTGAGATAGTTGGCTCTGGAGGTGATAAAAAAAACATGAAGTGATCTAGCTGAAGATTTGGGAGTGAATCATGGGCTTAATTTCTCTTTTTCTGTATAAATACACAGTTACAGTACTTTTATGTTTGCATCATTTTTGCATCAACTTCTGTGCAGTTTTTGAGTGCAGTTTGGGTCATGGTCAGATCCCCGGTACTGAAAGGTTTTAAAGGTCCTATATTACACAAAATGAACTCTTGTGGGCTCTCTTATAAGGTATGTTATAATGTTGTTATATCATAAAAACAGATCTGGAGTTGTGTTTTGTTTCATTCACACGTTTGAGTAATCCTTTATTATTAGTCTGTCTACATCTGTCTCTGTCGACCTTGTGATGTCATGAAGCAGGAGTTTTCAAATTAACAGCTCCTTTTATCTTTTGTTCTGTAGAGATTGACAATTCTAGGACTGAAATTATCCAAATGATTCTCGTGAAGGTGTATTGACTTAAAAAGCAAGGTCGGGCCCAGTTAGTACTTGGATGGGAGACCGCTGGGAGAATCAGGTGCAACAGGGGGGTGCCAGTCGCAAATACTGTCATTGTGTATTTAGGCAAGACACTTCACCTACATTGCCTAGTATGAAAATGGTGTGCACGTAAGTGATGGTGGTGGTTAGAGGGACCGACGGCGCCGATTGGCAGCCACACTTCCGAGAGTCTTTCCCAGGGCAAATGTGGCTAAAAAAGTAGCTTACCATCACTGAGTGTGGAGTGAATTAATAATGATCTGTAAAGTGTCTTTGAGTGTCCAGAAAAGCATTATATATAAAATGGATTTATTATTATTATAATAATAATAATTATTATTATTATTAGTAGTAGTAGTAGTAGTGGTGTAACGATATCTAAGTCTCACGATACGATATCGTCACGGTATGAACCTTACGGTACAATATTTATTGCGATATCGTGGGGAAGCTCACGATATGGTGGGAGCTCTAAGCTCACGATTAGAGATGTAAAAATATCCAAATCTCTAGATGAGATATTTTCACAGTATACATCTCATGGTACAATATTTATTGCGATATTTTGTGGAGCTTACAAAACTGTTAATATGATACTTTTTCATCTTAAAATGCCTTGACAAGACTTAATCCAAAAAACTAAAACTTAAAAGTGCTTAGAACTGTTATTTCTTCTTGTAGTCTGCACTGAAATGGAGCAAAGGATCATGGTCTATGTAGTTCCCGTTGCCTTTTTTTTTTTTAAGCTATTGCTGCACTATAACTCTTAATTTAAGCAAAGAGACTTGTGATTCGATATATTGTGATGGTCCACGATATTATTGTGAGAAATTTGACAATAATACATCACAAAATTTCTGTTACTGCTACATCCCTAAGTAGTAGTATTGTATTATTATTATTATTATTATTATTATTATTATTATTATTATTATTAAAAACACAATGGGGCACTTTCTGTGTTACCGCATGACATCACAAGGTGGAACATGTTTTCAGTTTGAGAGAAGGATTTGTGTGTTAAACATTTGTGAATGAAACAAAACACAACTGTATGTTTGTGATGAGGAAACTACATTATAACCCGGATCAGAAAATAGAGTAATATGGGCCATTTAAAGACCTTTTCTCACTGTCTTTTCTCACAACTTGACCCTCTCTCTTTTATATTTTCTCTCGCTCTCTCAGTCCCTCTGTTCTGTTCTTTCCAATCTCTACCCTGTTCCTCTAACCTGATCAGACAGAGCGCTGGGAGCATCCTGCTGTTTTATCAATTGTCCATTACCTCCCCTCCCAACACCTCTGCACAGCCATACCCATCAGACTGGAGCCTACACAATACAGGAGACCACCGCATAGTGAAAACAATTACACAGCCACCAGTCACTCTTAATTAGGACGATTTGTCACAATAAAAGTCTGTAATGGTCATTTATGTGAACACGTGTAAGATCTTTCACGGTGGAGCAAATTAGTCTCAACACATTGTAATTTACGCAGATAGAGACGATCATGGCTTGTTTTTGCTGTGAGTCAGTGGATATAGTTATATGAGTCCACTGAAAAATATTGAAGTGTGAATATTCTGACAAATATTGTGATTGTAATTAAACTGACTCATATTTTGTTTAATATTTTGTTAACACCGGAGTATTAAAATTTGAGAGAAGACTGAAATCTGAACTTTAAACTAATACAAGAATCCCATGTATTTCAGAACATGTTTGTAGAGGTCTAAGCTATAGGGTTAGCAGCTTTTACATAGAGTAAAACCCCATGCACACACAGGGAGTTTTAGCTGCATTATTTTCATAGTAATAATGAATATAATACAGTTAGGCCAATTTAATATCCCAAAGACGAATGGTGAATGAAGCCAGCAGCTTAGTGGCTGAGTGGTTGAGACTGTTGCATCACAACACAGAGGTCCAACGTTCAAGTTCTGGGCCTTTCAATCAGGATTATATTTTAGAAATGTGCTAAAATCATGACTGTAAATGCTTTGTTCAATTTTAACTTTTTCCCCACGCTACATAGACGCAATAACAACGACTGAAAAATACAACCTAATAACATTTTCAATAAGTTAATTATGTTAGAGGAGACATTGTGCAAAACTGACTTTTTAGAGTTTTAGAGTTTTAGTTTCCCTTCTCATTTACTCTATTCAATTTGTATTTAGTGCAGGCATGTCCAAACTATGGCACAGGGACCAAATGTGGCCCTCAGACCAATTTTTTGTGGCCGTCAGGCTTTCAAGTGAATTGGCTCATATTTCCCTAAGTATCGCTTTTTAAGGCAAGTTTATACAAATCATCAGACATGGATGAAGGTACGGTGTCTCATTCTAATCTGCAATAAATTCACATATTTTAATTCTCTGTAATAACCACCAGTCTATGGCCCTCAATTGACCCTCTGCTTTGTCTGTGTATAGAATTGGACACTCCTGATTTAGAACATGTTTGAGTAATTTTTATTCTCCTATTATCCAATTAGTCTGCTGCCCCCTGTCTGTCCCCATCTCTCTGATGCCCCGTGCCTGTTCCCCTCTCTCTGATGCCCCGTGCCTGTTCCCCTTGCCCCTGCGCTCACCGTCGCCTCATTGCAGACGCCGCACTTGACCACGTGCTGGTGGATCTTTCCTTCCACAGAGATGAGGTTCTGACAGACTCTGCAGCTGATGACCGGAGCAGAGCCGCTCTCTGGAGATGTGAGGGGAGAGTACGGAGGAGGGTCCTCCCCCAAGAGGACAGAGGGCGCTGTGGGGCTGGGGAACGGTGGGAAACCTGAGGAGAGATACAGAGTCATAGACTGTATGAAAACGTGGAGTGTGATGGCACCCATACCGTTTAGCACCACTCAAATAAAGCCAGCAATACTAGTGGTTACAGGTGCAAATTTGGAGCCAGACTTTATATTAGGAATAGGATTTTTTTGTTGACTGAAAAAATTGTGGAAAAAAAACAAAACAGAAAAACCACCAGGATCATGCAGAGTGGATTAATACGAACATTTAAAACCAAAATGACGAGGCTCACAGCAGCAGATATAGAGAGAGGGACTACAATATTCTAATGCAAGTCAACGGGAGCCAGGGTCAGTAGGAGCCGCAAGAGCCCACGTAAGCTGCCGGCTAGCGCATTACCTATGTCCATTTATATATACAGTCTATGTACAGAGTTAAAGGCTTTCAGGTTTAACTTTTTTTACTGTTAGTTATAAATACTAATGTCACAGTAAGAAAATGTTACAGATGATACAGTAGCTCCATGGTCAAAGTTTTGGTCCATAGTTTAGTAAGTGTGTGTAAATAAAAATATATCTAATTTGTGACTTCCCATTAGAAGTTTGTGGTCTATAAAACATCCAGAACTGTGTACTGAAAAGTAAGTTGTGTAAACTCTCAGCATTTTATTTTAAAATGCTTTTGCAAAGGTTAAATAACAAACTTTTTTTTTTCAATTTAACAATATTTATGATCGAGCCAAGGATGTAAAACCACCTTTTAAATTTATTTATTTTTATTGAATTGAACTGGATAAATGTAAGGTAGAGCTGTTTAATGTCATACTGTGGAACATTCCAGGTAGAGCGATAGCATATCCATAGAAAGTGTACCCTCCACCACCATGATTTCTCGTACAAGAAATACAACATTCAAGGATTAGTCATAATAGGTTTAACTGGACCATGTCTTTATCAGTGGACCCAGAGAAGTAGTAGTAGTAGTTGTCTTAGAAGTAATAGTAGTAAATAACAGTATTAGTAGTCACAGTAGCAGCATTAGTGATGGCGTCAGAAGTTACACAAGGAGCTGAAATAGTCTGAATTCCCGTGACAGTGACGTGTTATGTCACGATTAACAGGATAATCAGATCTGGTCTCGAGTTTCACTGAAAGAGGCTTTAGAAACAGCTGGAATGTGGAGGTGAAATAAACACGGGTTTAACTGGTGCTGTGTGTGGGACAGAATATGCAGAAAATACAGGGTAAACTGTATATAGGAGATTAATGGTTATAAATACACATAGTAGAGTAAGTTATTCCAAACAGTCAGTGGGGCACTGTATCAAAAACGTATAGGACTAGGTTTATGAAGATAAGGGCTGGGTATCATTAAGAAATTGCAGATACGATACATAAGCCACGATACAATACATATCTTGATACAGTGCACTTTTGGTTCGATACAATATATTTCAAATCATTTTGATGCAGTTCAACATAAAATAAAGGCTAAATCGTTGCTGTGATATTAAAAGTCTTTGTTAAACCACTTCTTATGCAAAGATCATATGAAACATGCCCATTTTAATAATCAAAACTGTGAAAATGTCAAATGTGTTGCTTAAATGAGTTTCCTTCCTCTAAACAAGCAACAAAACTGTAACTGTAACAAAATTATTTCGTAAAGATACCAAAAAATACACTTGGCAACATATTGACACTCAATACTGTATTTTGATATTTTTGCACATCCCTAATGGAGATAGTGTTGTCTTGATAATAGAGAATATCATGTAAAAAATAAGCTAAAATAATAAATGTGGTAAAAGTGACAAAAGAATTATAGTGAAAGTAAAACTAACAAATAAATAGAAAAGTTCATAGCTTCAAAAACAGTGCGTTAGCATCTGCAATATTTAGGCATTTTGAATTCATGAGTTTCAGCTTTCTTATATTTTCTTATATATTACATTTTGAGGACTTTTTTCCTCCATTCAAAAGTTGTTTATTACTATGGCGATACAGATTTTCATTAACTTTTATTTTACATTTGACATATTTTTTAAAGTGTCTGTCAATGAGAGTGAATGACGAAGTGAAATAATAATGCAACAAAATCTAAAATGAATTTGAATATAGCTATTGTTATATTTACAGAAGCAAAAAACTGTTATGCTATCTATAACAGTCTGTGCATATTCATTCTCCGTTGTCCCTTCAGAACTCACCACTGTGATGTACCAGCTGTGCTGCTCACTCTGTCCTCCCAACATCAATTTCACTGATTATTATTTATCTTTAAATGCATACATCTCAGTTATCCTGAATACTTCAAACAGTATTTAATTCCATTCAGATCCTCTTACAGTATATGACACACAGATCAGATATTTTTTTTGTCCTAATAGTCAAACTGGAAAACACTCATTTGAATATAAGGCTCCCTTTGATTCGTGAATTAACTTCTGTCCCTTCATTTAAAAATGCTTTGGTTCAATAGTCATCACCAATGTAATTGTTTTTGATCATCTTGTGGAATTTTGTTGTTCATCTTGTTGTATTTTGTGATATTTTGAACTCTGTCTTAGTTTTTGTTCATATTTGATATATTCTGTGTCTTATCAGTCATGTGTGAGTGAGTGTGTGTTTATGTTGTGTTTTTTGTTGTTGTATTTTGTTGTTTTGTTTTTTCTATGTTTATTTGAATGTATGAAGACTACTGTCTGCCCTACTGTATCTGTCTTCTGTTAGGCTGTGACTATGAGGACTCCCTTGAAAACGAGATGGCGAGATATCTCAAGGGGCTTATCCTCCAAACAAATACATTAAAATTTTAAAAGTCATATGAGATAAAAACAAAAACAAAAAAACAAAAACAACAACAACTAAAGTTAACCATATAAGGACGAGGTCTGCTCCTTTTCTATGTGAGAGTGGTAATACTAAAATGCAACAAAGACAGTTCCCAAACAGACAACCAACAACGCTGTTTTCAGTCTCTTATGATTCATTTATTGTGACTACTATGTCCCGCCCCCTCTGTGCTGTGATTGGTCTGCGCTACCTGACAGATGGTCCCACAATGGCGCGATCAAACGTCAATCAAGTCAGGTGTTTTTGGACGCTTGCTACAAAGACGTGCAATTTTAACCCCGAATTTCCACAATTTCATGTATTTAACACTTTAAAAATGCATATACAACACGTTTCGTTTTGCAAAATAAATAAGCATTACGAGATTACAAAATCTGTCTTAAATTTAGAGTGAAAAAATAGTCATTTGCCGGGTAGGCTGCAAGTTGCTAACAGGCTAAATGCTAACATAAGATATTAAAATCACGCAGGCTGTTTATTTATGTTTTCTTTAATAATATTTTAACATAACATAAATAATATATTATATGCGAATAGATTTAATCAGATATTTTAACTGGAAGTTGATAAAAAGTGTGTGTATCAGGTCGGGAGCTAACTGAGAATGCTAACATGCAATGCTATAGGATGCTAGGCTAACAGAGTCGGGGCGGATGAGAGAGCGCAGAGGTCCGCGGATGGGTTACTCACTTTGGGGTTTGTTTGGGCCGCCGTCACCTTCGCTTCCGCCACCGAGAGCTCCATCCCCGAGGTCTGACAGGAGCGGCGACCTCTCTCCGTCCGCCATACCGAGAGACAGAGCCGGAGCCGGGCGTGGGAGGGAGGAGAAGGACCGAGAGACAGACCGAGGATGGAGGTGGGAGTGCGGGCTGGAGGAGAGGGCTGTGTCGGAAATGCGGGCGTCATGTGATGGGCACGTCTCCTCCTGCGGGAGAGGGGAGAAGAGAGAAGAGAGTGAGGAGAGAGGGAGGAGAGGGGAAGAGGTGAGGAGAGAGGAGAAGAGAGTCAGGCGAAAGAGGGAGAGGGGAGAAAAGAGTGAAGAATGAGGAAAGAGAGGAGAAGAGAGTGAGGAGAGAGGAAGGAGAGGGTGAGAGGAGAGAAGAGAGTGAGGAATGAGGAAGGAGAGGAGAGAGGGGAGAAGAGAGTGAGGAGTGAGGAAGGAGAGGGGAGAAGAGAGTGAGGAGAGAGGAAGGAGAGGGGAGAAGAGAGTGAGGATAGAGGAAGGAGAGGGGAGAATAGAGTGAGGAGTTGGAAAGGAGAAGGGAGAAGAGAGTGAGGAGTTGGAAAGGAGAGGGGAGAGGAAAGTGAGGAGAGAGTAAGGAGAGAGAGAGAGAAGAGAGGAAGGAGAGGGGAGAAGAGAGAGGAGAAAGGAGAAGAGAGGGGAGAGGGGAAGGAGAGAGGAGAAGAGAGTGAGGAGAGAGGGAGAGAAGAGAAGAGAGTGAGGAGAGAGGAAGCAGAGGGGAAGAGAGGGGGAGAGGAAAGAAGAGAATGAGGAGAGAGGAAGTAGAGTGGTAGAGGGGAGAAGAGAGTGAGGAGAGAGGAAGGAGAGGGGGAGAGGGAAGAAGAGAGGGGAGAAGAGGGGAAGGAGAGGGGGAGAAGAGAGTGAGGAGAGAGGAAGGAGAGGGGAGAAGAGAGAGGAAGGAGAGGGGAGGAGGGGAAAAGAGTAAGGAGAGCGGAAGGAGAGGGGAGCAGGGGAAAAGAGAGTGAGGAGAGAGGAAGGGGAGAAGAGAGTGAGGAGAGAGGAAGGAGAGAGGGAGAGGAGAGAAGAGAGTGAGGAGAGAGGAAGCAGAGGGGAAGAGAGAGGAAAGAGAGGGGGAGAGGAAAGAAGAGAATGAGGAGAGAGGAAAGAGGGGGGAGAGGAAAGAAGAGAATGATGAGAGAGGAAGTAGAGTGGTAGAGGGGAGAAGAGAGTGAGGAGAGAGGAAGGAGAGGGGGAGAGGGAAGAAAGAGGAAGGAGAGGGGAGAAGAGGGTGAAGAAAGAAGAAGCAGAGGGGAGAAGAGAGTGGGGAGAGCGGAAAGAGAGGTGGTGAGGAGAGAAAGGAGAGTCATGGGGAAATAGGAGAGAGGGAGGACAGGAGGGGGTACCAGAAGGGGAAGTCAGGGGAAAGAGGGAAGAAGGAGGAGAGGGAGGAGGGGTGGCTCAGGGAGAATAGGAGGGCAGAGGGAGGAGAGGAGGGAGTCAGGGGGAATAGGGGAGAGGGAAGAGGGAAGAGAGAGGAGAGGAGAGGGATGAGAGGAGAGGTGGAGTCGGGGAATAGGGAAGAGGGGAGGAGGAGAAGGGGGGACTGGAGGTGTGGCGCTCATGGGAAAATACTGCTGCTTAGTCACCAGAGGAGAGAGGATGGGGATGATGTTGATTACCACAAATAATTTCAAATACAATTCTGAGGATAGAAAATTTTACTTTTTCCATTATTTGTTATAGATAAGTAGGACATTTCTATGCTGGAAATATAAAATGGTTACTTATTTTTTGTTATAGAGACTTAAAACCAATAGTATTTAGATCTGATATCAGTTAGTTGTTGAAAATGCATTATAGTTTATTTTATTTTCGCCTCCAGTCGCCTCAGTGCTCAAGTATAGATGGGTTTATGACTTTTTACTAGGAGCAGAGTATCAGTCATTTGTACAAACTCTTTAAGTTCAGAAAACATTTTGTATATTCATAAAAAGTCAACCAGATAATTAATTTCATCCAAGAAAAAAACTGTGGAAAAACCAAAGCCAAGGAAATGACCTTGAGTAGTCTGTGAGAGGGTTTATGTAAAACCAATGTGTTATGATGCAGCCATAACACACAAAATACTAAAACAAATTACTAGAGCCCGACCGATATATCGGTTGGCCGATATTATCGGCTGATATGGGCAACTTTGGGCATATCGGCTATATGCTTGCTGATAGGGGCCGATATTTCACGTGGGCATGTTATACCTCGTTATAAATCTTAGACTCTCTACATTCTGTTCATTTAATCCAATTTACAGACAGATAAATGTCCTAATATGCGGCTCCACATCAGTATTTGTCTGTGTGCGTCCGTATTGTCCCTGAACACACCACAGAGTCGCGTCACTCACGTGTGTTTGTTTACACCTGCAGACACAGATCCAAACACTGAGATTATATTCTTTTTACGGACAATCGGTTTGAGTCTGGATTAAAAGGACATTTATTAGTGCAGATTTGTGATGTGAGGAGGAGCCTGTGTGAGCGGTGAGTGTTGGAAATATGTCGACTCTGAAGCTAGTTTTTGTCATTTGTTATGGGTTAGCTGCTGTAGCTCCCGCACATAAACAGACTGTTTTCTATTGGTCTGTTCTAAAGTGACTATATTGGCCGTATATTTGTTACTGGACCTGCATTGATATGTAAATGAGCTGTGAACAGACGTGTGAATTATGACATTTGCGCATATAATTAATTACCGCGGCGCACACGTATTTACGGCTAAAGGCTAATAGCGCTACTTTCTTTACTAGTTATGGGTCCGTCGCGAACGAAATGACTCTTAGAACCGGCTCTTTGAAGGGAACGACGGGAGCCTGATCCTTATTGTGTTTTCTCTTTCTCTCACTTTTTTTCTCTTCACGCCGCGTGATTCGTGGTTTGACAGCGGCAGCGGCTGAAAACGAAACTTTGAGAAATTTGCGTGTACGTAGGATTAAAAAAAAAAAAAAAAAAAACGAGCATATTTGACTGTAGTTTAGCATAAAATAAATAAGTCCCAGTTTAGTCCTTTTTCAGTCCTGGTTTAGACCTGGTTCAGTCCTGATTCAGACCTGCTTGCAACAAAACAATCTGAAGAGCCACTTGGGAGCCAAAAGAAGCAGCAGCTTTTAGTGAGCCGAGCCAAAAGAGCCGGTTCTCTAAAAAGAACTGGAATACCCATCACTAGTGTCTAGAATGTGATGCAAAAATGCCATTAAGCCAACCTACTGTCTGCAAATATGATGTAAAGAGGCAGAATAACAATAAATGTTGCCTAAATAAACCCAATTTAAAATCCACCAGAGCCAAACCTAAGTTTTTTAAACAATTCAACATTTACAGTGAATTTTTACATCACTAAATATATCAGCGATTATATCGGCTATCGGCAGCTCCAACTCCCATTATATCGGTTTCATATCGGCCACAGCAAAATCCATATCGGTCGGGCTCTACAAATTACATTCATATACAGTATGGGCCTATATCTCACTGTCTGAGTACACAGTGTGCCTTGTCCTATTCAACATTATGGAAAAAGTGTATACAAATAAAAAGACTAAAAACAAATTAATCAACTAAAAACCACCAAAGTGATATTAATTACATCCAGTCTCTCTTGTCTGATTGAGGATTATATTGTTTTATTTCCCATTGATGAAGTCCAGCGGTCGATTCATGAGTAGAGTTACTTCCAGCTCTTCTCTGTCACTGAAGAACTGAGCTTTCCCCTCCTGACTGTGGACTGGGTGGGGCAGGTGTAGACCAAGCTTACTGAAAAGATGAAAAACTTTAGAATAGTAGAAGTTATGGGACTAAGGTTGTAAGATTGGTATGACTGGAGATATTACATAAACAAGAATTTACCATACATTATAAAAGTTGTAAATGAAAAACATAAACTATTGCTCACTATTTGGGTGTCCGTAAATCCAGGAATGTCTCCTTTACATCTAAGACCACATCAGCCAGTTTGGTGTCTGGCAGTTTGATTTTTACCTGGCATGCAAGATAATTAAATAAACATAATATACATAATTAAATATGTAAATACATACACACATACACACAATTAAGTAAAAATAATATACATAGCATAACATAACATAACATAAACATAAATCACCAGGTTATGTTGTGAAAGTAAAACACACACACACACTGTAATCTGCATATGTGTTTTGAATATTGTGCTCTTTTTTTATGGTAAATTAAAATCTGTTCTGCATAAGCGTTATTTGTGCAGTTACCAGTAAAGCTTCACAGCTCATGGAGGAGGGATCTTTTTCACTGAGGCCCAGAAACACGTCTTCTGTCCCAACACTCTGCTTCATGATCACCTCATAACTGCACAGAAGAAATGATATACACTTAAATATTCTAAATAGTCTAATGTTATTATGTATTTGGATAACAGTAACAGTGAGTCCAATGTTTTACACCTTTATGCTGAATTGTAAAGTTGTGTGGGACAGTTTACTCCATACAACTGTACAAGTCACCCTTATGTAACAGAAACTCACCTGTCAATCATTATATCACCTTTGCACAGTTTTTCCTTACAACCTTTTGTATACAACTGTGATATACTATATTTATATTACAATTTTTCAACTTTTACATTTATAATCATGCCTTCTTTGTTATTATAATATATTGTGATACGTGAGCTATAATAATTTCCCTTGTGGATCAATAAAGATTGTCTAAAGATGTTTTATGAGTTGTAATCTGTGTCTTACTCTGGTTGAGGCCTTTGGTCGTTGAGGTCGTCAAACTGTGATCCCTCTGACACCTCCTCCTCGCTCCAGATCTCTTTGCTCTTAGAGATGCTGCCACTTACAGCTACAGAAGAAAAAATATTAAATGTATTGTTTGGTGAGTGTTTAAATAATGACACATTACCACACACATTACCAGGGGTGTCCTTTTTGGGTTTGGGACCAATGCTTCCAGGGCCCAGCTGTGCAGAGGCACTCAGTGTCTGTGTGAAGGGAAAGTCCAGTATTGCAGAATATATTTCCTTTTCAAATATCCGTATCATACAATTATACCACCAAGACGACTAAAGGTATCTATCAGGCTGTTACGCTGTTTACTAAAAACACGTGCTAATATAGGCTATCGCAAATTCCTGTATGGACTAAGTAACCGAAAGAGTTTAATAGGCTAGACAACTGAAACAAGGGTCATACATTAGAGTTACTAATTTAGCAGAATTGGTTACAATAGAACAGATAATAAAATGAAAAAGTAAATATATTTTCCTTTACTATTTTGCATGGTCTTATATCTCCATTTAAAGACATTCAAATCTCAATCTCCTATTTTACTTCAAAACTTTAACTTTACCTCATAGTCCTCTTCTTCTTTTTGTCCTTCCTGTGGGTTTAGCAAAGCTGACAGGGCTTGGAGATTTTGAAGAGACGAAACTCCAAGAATTTCCATTTTAATAATTACTATTTTTACTAAATAAAAATAAAAATACAAGCTGTAGGCAGAGTTTCCAATGCTAAAAGCTAACAATTGCTCCCCGTGGTACCTGTTGATGTTGACCACCCGTTTCCCTGGTGACCACCATCTTAGCCGACGTCACTCAAAAAGCAGAAGCTGGTGATGGACAGCAGAGGGCGCCATAGAACATGACAAACATCACATTATCATTACAGATCCATGCACATTACAACCATAAACTGTAGTAAATTACGAAAGACTGAATTATACAAAAATGTGTGATTAATAGTATTTATCTTACTTACAAGCATTCAGATAACTATGGCTACAAAATATAGAATTTGTTTGCATGGTTTAACAAATACTGTAGGAGTGTACTAGTATTAGGATGTACTAGGAGTCTAATATAAAAATAGGCATAATAATTTCCTACATCTTTAATTTTAATTTCTTAAATATTTTACAGTTAAAGGTAAAACACAAAAGACAACACAATATCTACCAGGGAAGAATTATTATTTAAAATTGCTAAAAATTATTTCCAATATCAATTATTTTTTTTATTTTTTTTTTTTTGGTAACCCTAAAACACTTACACATACATTTTGACATTTTTTGACAAAAAAAAAGTAAACACACGTGCAAACACTGTATTAAGAAACTATACTACACACAACCCCCCACCCCCACCCCTTCTTTTTATATATTGTTTTTTTGTGTTTTGTTTATTTGCTTTTTTGTATGTGTGTTTATATTTTGTTATATCTTATGTTTATTTTGTTAATAATGTGCTGGGTATTCATTCTCTCAAATCACAAAAAATATAAATAATATATATATATATTTTTTTAATACAATATGTGTAATTTTTTTCTTGATTGATCATATTTCACAAATTAAAAAAATGAAAATATTCACACACAAAAAAAAGGAAAATATTTACAAACACTATACACAAACGGCGAAGCTAGGTGAGTGTCCTGCTGCGGCCCCCGTACAGACGCATGGTAGGCGCAGATCACGTTGAAGGTGACAGGAGACAAAAATTAAACTAAGACTAAAATTAAACTTCAGCGGAGGAAAATGAATCGTTTTTTCAGTGTGTTCGCGCTCCCGGTGCTGTCTGCCGCCGGTCCCGAGGAGAAGGAGCCCGTGTCTCCGTTAAACCGGGATGAACTTTCCCTTTACACCGCACCGGAGCAAAACTTTAACTTTGTCCAACCGGAGCCGGGTCAGCTCGAGGAGACTGTCGCCTCTCTGCGGAGGTCAGTGCACAGGCTGTGAAAGTCAGTTCTTTTACATTACACAAACAATCAAATACAGGATCATTCATATTTAACTGAAATATATTTGTTTTATTGTTTGCTGTGTTATTCCTGTCCTTTGAAACATCACCATTACGGGACAAATAAAGGTTATTTATTATTATGCAAGTCCTAAAAAAAAACAAAAAACACATACTGTTAAAAATATATATTCTTATGCCCTTTTTAGTTTCTGATGAATTATATCTTGATAGATTTGGTCTCAGTCACATTTAATCATACATGTAAGTGTATACTTGCATGTATGATGTTGCTGGGTTGTTGATGTAAGATCACGAGACAGAATCACGAATTTACAACTGAATATGTGTGTCAATTAAAAGTTCAGTTAAATCATTAAGTGTAGTTTTCATGAAAAACTGCTGTTAAAGATGCACTAATTGGGGGTCCATCAACAGCTTGTTTGTTGTTTTTTGTAGTTATTACCATCATAATGCATGTACAACAATTCCCAACATCAAACTAACATGAAGTAAGTTGATTTGGAAATATCAATTAACACCAAATTAACCACTTTAACTTCATGCAAATCAGCAGCTAGTTCAATTTTAATAAGTGGACCATAAAGTAAAATATTACCAAAACAAGATATCTGTTTGAGCTGGAGCTTTAAGGCGAATTTTGCGTAATATAGGACCTTTAAATACTCACTATGTAACTTTTTGGTGGGGGTTCTATGGATATGTCATTGCTCTGCCTGGAATGTTCCACAGTATGACATTAAACAGCTCTAACTCTAACATTTATGAAATTACAGGTGGTTTTATAGCTCAAAAATGTCTAGAAAAACAGATATTCTAAGAGGGTTGCCTCTCCATAGATCTGACCTGTAAGTTTGTCTGGTCTCCATGAAGATAGAAAGGTTTAATATCATACCATGAAACATTCCAGACAAAGCAATAACATTTCCATGGAGAAAAGTATTTGACCGGCCCTCCACCAGAAATGTTACACAATGTGCCTTTAAGCTTCAGTGTCTTTTGTCACATTTTGTCCCCTTTTGTCAAAGAGTTTTACAGTCTGTTTAGTTTTAGTCCTGATAACAATTAGTGAAAGATTACTGATGAGTATTATTCTGATAGATTGTTTCAGCCCTTGCAAACACAATTTCAAAATTCAAATCTATGAACCAACATTTAAAAGTATATTTTAACTGTACATTGATATTTCTCGTTATTTGTTTCAGATCATTGGAGCCTTACACCTCGTGGTGTCAAGGCGCATACAGCAAAATCAAACCGAAGATCCAACATGGCGTCCAGGTGGGAAAGGACACCTACAGTTACCTTAGCAACCCACCAAAGGACTTCTACCCCAGAGCTGGAGTCATCGGGTTCAGCGGCGTCCTGGGTCTGTTTCTGGCTCGAGGGTCCCGGATCAAGCGCCTCTTGTATCCCAGCGGGCTCGTGGCCATCAGCACGTCCATGTACTACCCCGAGAAAGCAGCAAATATCGCCAAGACCACTGGAGATAAGGTCTACGGAGGAGCGGTTCAGAGCTACGCCGCTTTGGAGAAAATGTTCAAAACTCCAGAGAAGCCAAAGAAAGAGACCGAAAAGGAAAACAAGCCATGATTTTATCCTTATTTAATTCAAGTTGATACTAAAAGAAAGTTTAGGGAGCAGACTATAGTGAAAAACTGCAAAAGGGCCCTGTATCAGATTTTTTCCCCCCATGTTGTATAAGCACCTCTTGAGGTCAAAATAAGTCAGATGTGGATTGTCTGCATCTAATTATAAAGCGTTTTATAGTCAGAGAATCAGGAAGTGCATTGTTAGCATGGTAGTTGTTACTGCGACGTCAAAACTGCACTGGTCTCTGAAAGTTATGAAAAGTGTACAAGTTAAGTATGGAAAAACTTTGGACCACTGCAAACTGTAAAATGAATGAGTTCTGTTTATGTTTTTAAGATAGTAAAAAATCAGGTACAGTATTTAAAGTTCAAATTTTATCTTTTAGTAATAAGATTCCGTCCACAACAATGCTCATTTTAAGCAGTAATAAGGAGCATTAGAAATTAAAGGTGCACTTTGTAACTTTTCTGGTCAAGATTCTGCCACCTGCTCGTCTCCATGGAGATGTTATTGCTAGTATGACATTAAACACATCTAGCATTTACTGAATTACGTAGGTGTTTCTATTGCCAAAACATAATCAGAAAAACATTCATTATTACTGTGAATGTGCTCACCACTCCACAGATAGGATTTTCATTTAGCCTTGTAGCATCAACAGCTTGTCTCAATGGAGATAGATCCGTTTTAATGCCACATTGTGAAGCATTTTAAGCATATAATAACATCTTTCCCATGGAGACAAAATGGGTGATGGAAACTAATCAGTAAGGTTACATAGTGCATATATTATCTAACTTTTATATTTTGGTAAACATGGATCACACTGAGGTTTGTACTGTAATTTAAAAGTTCAAAAGCACTTCAAAATGCACGACAAAATTGCACTAACACAATGAAACGGTATTTATAGTCTTATTTTTTGTTAAATTATTTTTCACTGGCACCATTTTCAGACAGATATAAAAAAAAAAATCCTTCAAGTCTGCTGTCCCAAAAAAATCTGCTTTAATAAAATGCTTTGAAATCCTAATAAAACAAACTAGCAATAATCACATGGCAATAAGACTGTATTTATATTTGTATCTATATTATATTCTGTTAAATTTTAAATGTTGTGATTTCAGCTTTGTGACTTTTTTGAGGCCCATTTTTTGCACTAAGCGTTTGATCTATCTCAGGCTGGGCTCGTCAGTGTTTTTAGCTTTTAAAATGTAATGAAACTGCTGCGACACTTGTGTATTTAAGAAGCTAATAAAAATCTATTTGTTCAACACGAGTCCACTTGTATTGATATTCCTGGTTTAAAGTTCTCTGGAGTTGGGTGGATCTTCAGTGTTGTCAGGTTGCCAGATGTTAACCCAATTCAGCTAAAATCTATATAGGTGGTGTCAATTTCACAGAATATTTTTAGACAAAGTTTGAACTCGTGACCTTTTGGTTTGAGGGAGGCAAATGCTTAACCCAGTGTTAAGCAGATGCATGTATGGTGCGCCATCAGACTTCTCTGATATGGGGTCTGCCATCTGCTTGTCTCCATAGAGATGTCAATGCTTTGCCTTGAATATTTCACAGTATTGTGCTTACATGTATCCATCTTCCAAATATCAAAATTAAATTATTAACAAACTTTCTGTGAGTGGGCTTGCCTCTCCACGGACCTGACCTGTAACTTGGCATCTCGTAACCATGAAGGGACAATTTTAATGCTGTACTGAGGAACATTCTCAAGACAAAGCAACATCTCCATGGAAACAAGCAGATAAACTCTCCAAAAGAGCATTCACGCAGTGCAACTTCAAAGTTCCCATACATTAATGTGACTGGTGGAGGCTGGAAGGGCATACGGCATTAAAACAAATTATTTGGGGATATTAAGAAAACTCCCAATCATCATCTTGAATAATAAAGAATATACTTACAAGTATATACTTACATGGGTTTCATAGTCCTGTATAAGAACTGATATGACAGTGATTCATAAATGTTTTATCATAAAAGATAAAACACAGTATAGTTGGTTTACCTTTTTATTCTTTATGGCAGCCAAAAACAAATTGTACAAAATTAAATACTACAGAATTTCTTCAGAGCAAAACCAGCTTCTCGTTGAGAGCGATCTGAGCCTGGGTGAGGTTTGACAGGTATGTCACCATCAACAGGTCCTGAAACACATAAAGGGAGTTTAGAAATGACACTGGAACCAATATAATATGATGTGGTTGATACTAATAATACATACAAGATAGTCTTGACTGGTCAGACACGGGTTTTAGCATATTTAGCATACTTCTAATCGATTGCCATAATCAGGACAATTTTTTAGAAAAAGAAAATTTCCTGTGTGTGTGTTATCCAGGTCGAGGTCAAATAATACATAGAAAAATAAGTACAGGAAACCAATACCAAAATACGTGCAATTTACAAAGTTTTTTTGTTTTTGTTTGTTTTCTTTAAACAAAACATACAAATTTGTAATATTACAGAGTGATATGACAAAAAGTTAAAACCCCAATTAAAATTGTATTGTACTGAAATGATTTTATCACAATTCAATAATCTGCTGAGAGTGAAAGTGGGCAGAGAAAGGTTTGTAGTGTAGTGTGTAGGGATGAGACAAAATCTCGCAAGACAAAATTGTCCCAAGAATGTCCACCCATGTGAAAGAATTATCTTGTGAAATCCCCCCCCCCCCCTCAATTTACTTTTACCTGAGACAAAAAAAAAAGTAGTTGAAAGTTGGTGAGTTATACAATTTGAGAAGCGGTAGTTCCCAACAGCATGCAATACTACAATGACTGCTATAATATTACAATAAATAAATAATTGTGAAGCTCAAATTGTGAAATGGATTGCACTACTTCATTCATTACATGTTAAAACCTCATCTTGTCTCATTCTCGTGGACGTAATCTCATGGTTGTGTCTCATCCCAACCCTAGCAGTGTGTTGTGTTTGGACAGATAGTTACATTAAATACAGAAATAGAGTATCACAATATGAAGATATGATAAAAAATGCATGAGATCACAATTTGATTATCACCATATCGGTCTGCGCTAATACAAACCTGAAATGAATGAGAACAATAAAATGAATGAAATACTCACATTAATATTAGAGTTGAGCATGTTCTCAAAGTCCTCCGCTGAGATGGTAGGTACTTTATTCACCAGGTCCATGAGGAAACGGCCCACACAGTTATCTGCTGCCACCTTCCCAGACTGAAACAGAGAGCGTCACTCAACATCTATGTACATGATCAGGTCAGACACAGGGACATGTGGAACTGAAAAGGACAAATTACTCTCATTAACTATAAGAATGGAGCCCATAAACCTTCAATGCAAAGTGGGGGGAAAAAAGCTGCATATAAAGTTACTGCAAGGGAAATTCTTAAACTGCGACAGCTCTAAATGTGGGATAGGCCCAGTATACAGAGGCATTAACCATAAACCAGGTCAACAAATCTGCAATCTGACAGTTACTCAGGAAATTCCACCTGAGAATTCTGACCTGTCTCCAGCTCCGTTTAAACTAGAGGGATTCCACAATGTGCTGATGTCAGGTGAATCCAACCTATTACAACCATAGACTTAACTATTTGAAGTTGGGAATCTACTATCTCCTAATGCCATTTCATTCATGTCTATGCTTTGCTCATATGTACAGTAGCTCACCAGCACGTCCTCGATGTAAGCCAGCACCGTCGTGAGCATGTCCTGGACCCGCGCAGCTGCACCTGCCACCTGAGAGAGGTCAGAGGTCAAACCTTTTGTGCGGGAGGGAGCCAGACGCGTCCTCTGAAGAAGGTCCACTGGAAAACACACACAAAAGACATAATGAGCCCAGTGAGTCAACTCTGATATTAACTAACTTTACTTAAATGATTCCTAAATCATAAACACGCTGCCCTTACCTCCAATCCTCTCTGTGTCGTAGTAGATGTACTTCACTGTGAGAGGCGTGAACATCACTCCAACGGTCTTCCCTGGAACTCCCATCTGAGCACTGGGGACAGAGAAAACGAAACAAATATTTAGACAAGGTTAAGCAACACTTTATTAATGCCCAGTGAGGTAAATGATGTCTCTGTTTGACCCACTTCCAACTAATGCCACTGGGGCAACCCATCAGGAGCAGTGAGCTTCTCCAGAACCCATGGACCCATCAAGATTTTGAGGTAGTCTCTGTCAGAACTACCCTAGCTGGAGGGTTTGACCTAAAGTTTTTAGTTGATGGGGGAAACTCACCCAGACAGAATATGCAAACTCTACCTCAGACATGTCAGACTCAGGCCCGTGGGCCAAATTTGGGCCACGAAATCATATCAAATATGTATTACAGCTGGACCGCCGGCTACAGATAGGCGATAGAGACATTATTTAAAATTTTGTTATTATTTTATATTTTGCTTGCTCTGAATTCAGTGATTAAGCAAAACTATTATTAAACATTTATTTTAACAGGAAAAGCTTTAACATTACATATCTTGAAAGAAGCGAAAACATGCAGATGTTGTTGCATTTTTTCAATAAATATTTAATTTAGCCCACGACTTAGTCCCAGTTTTTAATTTTGGCCCTCTGTGAATTTGAGTTTGACACTCCTGCTCTTCATAGGAAGGCCTACTTTACCCAGGAGTTGAACCCAAAACCTGTGAGGCAAGAGTGCTAATCATTCAGCAGCAGAGTACTAGTCAGCGTGGAGCAACACAACATTATGAACAAAAGGCTCTGCCCTCTGCCCATTACGTAAAGTTAATACAAATAAATGAAACTGTTAGTATTATTTATATGTGTTATTTTTGGATTTTATGTTTTTGTGTTTATCTTCAGTCACAGACACAAGAAAACATTTCAGACCCTGACCTGACGTAGGCGCGGATGTTCATCTTGCCACTCTGAAGCGCAGAGTCGACCGTCAGGTGAATGGGGTTTGTGGCCTCGCGGCTGTAATACTCATGAATGAGCACAGAGTGTTCTGTGATGTCAAAGCCTGTGGCATACCTGAGGGAAAGACAAAGACAGAGGTCAAATATTACCAAGTGAACTGAAAGAATGTAACAAGTTTTATTTTGAAAAGCAGAATGGAACAGCAGGCAGGTGTTTAAAGGCTGGAGATTAATGTATGATATAACAAATTGTATAGATGAGGAGTAGGATGGTTAGAAATTGCCACAATGAAAGTTTATAGATATAATAACACTTATGTTTAATTGTGTCAGTAGTTTGTTAGTAAGAAAAGCTTTGTATTTAAAAAAAATAAATACATAAAACATTAGAATAATGTTTTTACACAGGATTATAAGAAGAAATACAACATTTGTGGCTTTCCATTTCCAGTTTGCTACACAAATAAGTAACAAGCAGAGAACATTTAGAAAATTGATTAAGTCTTGATGGTTGTTCTGTTATACACTCACCAACCAATGATGACCTCAGTGGGAGAGACTCTCTTGTGGAGCTCATACATGTTTTTGGCAAACTCCATGTCCACAGCAACCTAAAATAATGTATTTGTTTTAATAAACAAACAAATGAAAAAGGAATTCACATAGCAGAAAATGTCAAGGTCATTCAAACTACAAACCTCATCCTCGGACTCATTGTGGGGCACAGAGAAGCAGTTGGTCACTTCAATAGAGTGTTTGTCAATGGTTCCTGAACAAAAGAAAGATTCTTTTTATTCAGAACTGTTATTTATCCTGAAACAGACAGCAAGTAATATTCTTCGAAAACACGTCAATTTCTTTTAACGTTAAATCCAGCACACTGAAAACATAATGACGTAGATAAGTGATGCTCCAGCTGCCTATGATTCTAGCACTAGGTTAGCCAGAATTAACGCACAAAAATGAATTAACACTATACGAATTGATTTTATTGTTGTAGCGAAACATTAAAAAGGATGGATTAAAAAAAATACCAGTTCAAGCCATAAGTCACGTAAAACTAGTGGTAAGTAATAAACAGGTGATGCTAACCAAACAGCTGCTTACACCCCGCTAGCCAGATGCGGCTAACCTGGAAAACTCATGTACTAGCGATTAGCATCATTAGCATCTCGAGCTAACACCTGCTAACTCGCACATCACCCGCTTTATTCCAGCTATTCAAACACTACCAATATTTTTAACATATCATACGGGTGTCTTACCAAGCAAAGTCCCGATGACCCTGCTCGCCCCCTCGTTTCTGCGCTCGTACGAGTCGCAGATCGAGGCTAAAACCACCGGGTGGATCTTCACCACGGGTCCGAACACCGACATGTTGGAAAGAGAGAGAATGACAGCGGGAGCACCTGGTGTGTCCTCTGGCGGCGGGAGGACGGAACAGCAGCACAAAGGATTTTAAAACTACAACAAACAGAGTACAGGCGAGGATAAACTACTACATTTACAATTAATACTTAAAAAAAATATACTATATATATATATTATTTTTTTAAATTTAAGAGCAGGTATCGATACTTTCTACTTCACTACACTGTCTCCAGTATTTTTCTTTATGGTGTGAGACCTGCTGAAAAAGCTGAGACTTTATTTTTTTTTTATTCTATATCTCTATATCTCTATATCTCTATATCTCTATATCTTTATATCTCTATATCTCTATATCTCTACATATATAGCTGTATGGCCTGGATGAGGATGAGAGAGACCAACTATTGTGGAAGCAGATGCCAGATGAAAGGACTTTAAACCGTAAGATTAAAAAGATTAAAATTATGTTCTCACTCTCAATGATCTAAATGAAATAATAACAATCCTGGCAGCCTAGTGGTTAGAAGGGGGAGAGAGTTCAACATCCTAACAGCCTGGTGGTGCGTGAATGGAGGCTCCTGTACCTCCTTACAGAGAGCAGGAGGCTCCTGTACCTCCTCATGAAGGGCAGAAGACTGAACAGATTGTGTGCAGGGAAACTTTCATCACACACACTTGTGACTGCTTTGCGAGTGAGGCGGGTGGTGTATATGGCTTGAGGGAGGGGAGTGGTGCTCAAGTGATCTTCCTTGCTGTGTTCACTATGCACTACAGGGCTCTCTTCACCAGTGATGCAGTGTTGATGGTCCAGGAGAGGTTCTCACTGATGTGCACCTCCAGGAATTTAGTGCTGCTTACTCTCTCCACAGTAGCACCGTCAATGGTCGGTGGAGGGTGTTGGGTGTGGCTTCTCTGGAAGTTGACAACAATCTCCTTAGTCTTGCTGACATTCAGCTGGAGGTTGTTGTCTCTGCACCACATGGTCAAAAGGTCGACCTCTTTCTTGTAGTGAGTCTCTTCGCTCTTGGTGATGAAACCCACCAGAATTGTGTCATCTGCAAACTTCACGTGCTGTAGGTCAGTATTTCCCAAACTTTTTATCTGGGGACCCATATTTTTAAAGTCACATACCTTCACGACCCAAATCAAGACATTATTCATAAATCACAAAATAAAGGTGGATTTGACCATTACTGAACATTAATGAGGATATTTTATTGTTGACTGAGTGATCATGTCTCTCTGAACATTTAGTATTACTAAAGTTTTAAACAGTGAAAAACAGTCACTGAACCAGCAATAAAAGTATCCATAAGTCACCTATTTGGACATTAAATGCAGCCCAATTCTTTCTCTTTTCAACATTCAATTGAACCAGCAATACTGGAACAAAATAGTCAACAAAATAATTACAAAAAGATTAGAAATGAAACAAAACATGTCTTAACGTTTGAAAATTTCTAATGAGATAGGTGGGCCTTTCTGCGTTTTTGTAGTGTGTTCCAGTCTGGGGTGCAGGAGGAGAGCGCAGCAGCAGATCAGGAGCAGCATTCAGTCTGTTTCTGTACTTTGGCTTCATTTTGGTGAGCACAGAAAAGACAGGCTTTGCTGACTCACTAGCTCCCTCATGTGTCAGAACCATATATTGCAGACCTACATGCAGATCATGACAAGGAGATCCAAACAAAATTTTATGACCCATCTGAAGGTCACGACTCAGTCTTTGGGAAATAATGCAGTAGGTTGTTGTACGGTCATTTGTCAGCAGGGTGAAGAGCAGAGGACCGAGCCTTGGGGTTTTTGGGAGGCCCTGTGCTCAGAGTGATGGTGCGTGAGGTATTGTTGCCAACACTTTCTGCTTGTGTCTCTGGCTGAGGAAGTCCAGGAGCCAGTTGCAGAGGGAGGTGCTGAGACCCAGCTTGTCAAGTTGACAAGTCAGTAGCAAGTCAGTTATAGACTGATGAGAAAAACATTCAAACACATTTTTTGAGAGCAAGAGACCGCTGCATTAACTTTATTATTATTAGTTCTGTAGTCCACTTAAAAAAATCTTAGTCAACTAAAGACATAATGTTTAATCTGCATTTTTACAAATCTTCAGATAACTCATTCACTCACTCCTCTTTTCCCCTAGAGTCTGTGGCTGTCCCATATAAATCCTAACCATCTAAATAAAATTATTAGTCGACTAATACAAATTCTGGTCAACTAAGACACTATCATTCAAGAACTACAGCCCTAATTGCTATACTCAAAATAAATACCTATTTTATTTTTCATGAATAAGATTACAGAAAGCATTGGTGTGAATAAACAGGGTAGTGAACACATTTGAACCCATTTCATGCAAGCTAGCCCATTTAAACATGGTGTTTTATAATGTTTTAACCATGTTATCATAATAATTAATAATTATGATGCCGTGTTTTCCTACAATAAGAAAAAAAAAAAGACATCCCTGGGAACAATCCACACCGAAACATATTTAATCAACATTCAAATCTGAACTGAATCCATCTCAATCAACAATGATAAATCTGTTATGCTATTGTTTACACTGTAGGCCAGAGTTCCAACATGATGCAGGGTCGAGTAAAGTGGATGCAGTCTTTGTTGTGCTGGTTGCTGATGTGCAGCAGTTCTTGTGCGGAGAACTAAAACATGACTTGAGCTCTGAAGTGCTTCTGTCGCGTGGTGTTGTGGCTCATTCCCACTTTCAGCATCCATTTTGACTTCATCATCTGGACGTACTGCATGTCCTTCTGCCTCTGCATTTGGGAGCCTCCTAAAAGAAATTGTTCAGCATATGTTTAGGTACAGAACCTAACCACATACAAAAAAAATCTATCTATCTATCTATCTATATCTATATATATATCTATATATATATATATATATATATGCAAATATGTATACATATGAAATTAACTGCATAACAATGTATTTGCCTTACTCATTCACTCAACAAAAACTCCAGACTGGTGTGTGATCTATACCCACTTGGTGATGCCATGGAAATATGCCGTGCCAAAAAATTATATATGAAAATTGATTTGAAGTTGACAGTGTGGTGTTACCTGCATCTCCGGTCCAGCCCAGAGCTCTGTACTGGCGCAGCAGCCTGCCCACAGCCTTCTGGTTGTGGGACAGAGCCACAGCACGCTGGGCCCCAAAGCGCTGCTTGTAGTATCTCATGAGAGAGCGGTGACCCACAACCGCTCCTGAAAAACAAACAGGAAAAATTGAGGTAAATACAGTAAATACCAAGCATCATATGTGTTACTCCAGATCGTGTGAATGCTACAGGCCATCTACATTTTGACTTTGACTTTTGTAGACTATCAATATAAACGGTAACTTAAAGGGGCACTGTGAAGTCTGGAAAGTTCCATAGTTTGCCTGGAAAGTTCCATAGTTCTACATTTATTAATTTACAGGTAAAAAATGAAAATACTTGCTTTGGTTTGACAACACACACCAAAACACTTTTGAAATATTCACAAATAATTGAAATTAAAAACATGAAAAACAGAAAATGTTATATTTACTATAAAAGAGTTACACTATAAAACTACCCTATAAAAGTGTTTACCAATTAAAAACAGACAGCACACAGTAATCTCTTTTTGACCACATGAGCTGCTTTTACAAAAGCTACTCACTGTGCTTTATAGCTACACTTAAACTGTCATGTATGATGCATTGGTGCCTTCACCTGAGGGGAGTGTGAGCTGCAGCGTCTCCTCATCAAACTGCAGCGTCTTGTCTTCTGGAAGCTCCTCTGTCTCCATACCGCCCTCCTCTGGCCTATCCGGGTAGCTGCTCCTGAGGTCCACAGTTCAGTTAGTATGTTTCAAAGCACACCACTACACTTTTGTGTGCTACGGAATAAGAAACAAGTGTCTCATTTTAGCAAGTCTATGTTCAGAGAGCATGATACGGGACTGGTGATGTGTGCGTCCAGCTAATTATGAGAGAGAATGATGGAACGGATAAGCTTTTGGTTGTACTGTCACATCATTTGAGCTTCTGCCCCTGTATTCTGATGGGGAATATACACACACACACACACACACACACACACACACTCACTCCCTACCCTATTAAATAATTCACTCTTTATGTCTGAGTTTAGGCCAATACCCTATTAAAAGCAGCATGCTATTTGTCATTTTAAGTCTCTGTCCCATCATGTCTCACCAAATCCCAAATGACCAGTCCAACTTTTAACCCTCTCCAGGCAGGTGTTGCAGATTTGCAACAGCTAAATTCCAATTACCTATATACTTACTTTAAATCCATATTTTATTAGCTTTTTTTACTCAAGAGCCTTTTCTCCCTTCCATGCTGATAAACGTGGGCAATGCAGACTGTGCAAGAATGGACTACACACAAACGGCCTGCCAGAAGTGCAAAATACTTTTTTTGATTACAAAGGATAAAAAAGTCAGGATTGTATATTACTACCCTATATTATAATTTTCCCCAAATATCAGATTTTTCCTGATACTAAAAATTTATTTGAGCCTGAGAGGGTTAAGGCGTTTGGATGTGGTCACTCTAATGATGGACAACACTGCATGAGAGAAGAAGATGGGGAGAGTAAATGTAGTAAATAAAGTGGTGACTGAACAATGGGATAGTTTCTATGTGTATATAACTACAGTTTTTGATTTTTTGGTATCATTTTTGTTCTTACCTGAAGTCATAGAAATCTGCAAACTCCAGGGCAGCATCCCCCTCGCTGTTGACTTTACAGTGGCTTTTGTCGGTCATGTGTTTCTGGACAGCGTCAGTTGAATAAAATGAGCGTCCCTTTTCATTACACCAAAGGCACACGTTTCCTGCTCCGACCTTCTCCCCTGAAAAGAAAAAGAGTCCATTTTAAATAAACCAGACCAGTGTCAAGGACAAATCTTTGTCCAGTTGGCAAACCAAATTTCTCCTTTGCCATGGATTCTACCTGGACAACTGACTGTTTAGATACATTCTGTAAAAATAATAACTGTATTTATCTGGAATATACAATAATTTGTTATATATTTGTGTAAACATAGATTTATTTTCATTGCCCATTCTCATTGTCTATTTTCATTGTCCATAAGTCTGTTCAAAAAGCCAAATCTGATGCACTAAGGACAATTTGGGAATGACACATACTGGTATTGAGTTACCGATACTAAAGCCCCTCCCTAATTTCAATAGCATTGTCTATTTTTACTTGTCATTTTCCCCACACAATTTTAATACAATCTAGGTTAATTTGCCAATATGGAGTCTAAAACAATCTTTCACCCTCAACATTCACAATTTCCAAAGCTGGGGCACTCGATTTTCATGCTATGAAATACATTCAAACCAAATCTCAAAATCCCATAGACACATTATGAGTGTACACAAGCTTAAAAGATTCAAGATTATTTGCCATTTGTGCACACACAAAAGTCAATTTAGATTGGAATTGTTGTGCAGGGCTCTCAGGGGTTCTAGTAAAAGCAGGCAAAACTGCATCTGAGAAAAACATACAGTAGAGAAAATAAGTATTTGATCCCTTGCTGATTTTGTAGGTTTGCCCACTGACAAAGAAATTAATAGCCACATTTTAATGCTAAGTTTATTTTAACATTGAGATGGAATATCAAAAAGAAAATCTAGAAAATCATAGTATAGAAAATATTTTAAATGATCTGCATTTCATTGCCTGAAATAAGTATTTGATCCCCTACAAATCCTTAAGAGTTCAGGCTCCCGCAGACCAGTTAGACACTCCTAATCAACTCATCACCTGAATCAGACACCTGTTTTAACTAGTCACCTCTATAAAAGACACCTGTCCATAGAATCAGTCACTCAACCAGAATCCACGGGAAAGACCAAAGATCTGTCAAAGGATGTCAGAGACAAAATTGTAGACCTGCATAAGGCTGGAATGGGCTACAAAACCATAACAATAAACCATAATAATCAGTCTCCACACAAGGTCTCAACTTGTGAGGTTTCAATGATCAAGAGAACAGTGAGAAATCAGCCTAGAACTACACTGTAGGAGCAAGTCAACGATCTCAAGGCAGCTCGGACCACGGTCACTATGAAACCTATTGGTAACATTTTACGCCGAAATAAAGTGCTCGCAGTGCTCGCAAGTTCCCCCTGCTTAAGAAGGCACATGTGCAGGCTGAAGTTTGCCAACGAACACTTGAATGGTGTAGAGACTGCTGTGGTCAGATGAGACCAGAATTTAGCTCTTTGGCATAAGCTCAACTTGCCCACTGTCAAGCATGGAGGTGGAAACATTCTGCTTTGGGGTGTTTTTCTGCCAGAGGCACAGGACAACTTTACCGCGTCAACGGGAGGACGGATGGAGTCATGTACTGTAAAATCCTGAGTGACTACCGCCTTCTCTCCACCATGAAACTGAAAACGGGTCATGGATGAGTCTTTCAACACAACAATTACCCAAAATATACAGCCAAGGCAATGGAGTGGCTCAAGAAAAAGCACATGAAGGTCATGGAATGGCCCAGCCAGTCTCCGGACCTTAAACCTATAGAAAACTTATGTAGCTCCGAGCTGCCAAGCGACAGCCATGAACCCTTAATGATTTAGAGATGATCTGCAAAGAGTGAACCAAAATTCCTTCTAACATGTGTGCAAGCCGGGCCATCAACTATAAAAAACAACTGACCTCTGTGCTTGCAAACAAGTCTTTTTTGGCCAGAGGGTACAAATATTGATTTCTCTCAGTGAAATGCCTTCAGTTTACCGTATATATTTTCTTTTGAAGTTATTTCCTGAATTTGCTTTTTGATATTCTATTTCTCAACGTTAAAAATAAAATAAACCTACCATTAAAATTATAGACTGTTCATTTCTTTGTCAGTGGGCAAACCTACAAAATCAAATACTTATTTCCTCTGCTGTAAAAAAAATAAATAAATAAAAGTATATGCATTCAATACATCATTTGAGTAGGTCTGATTATTTAAAACCAACAGTGAGGCATACCTCTCCTAGTAATCATGAATTACCACATTTGGACAGAACTGAAGAAATTTAACCCTCAACATGGGAAAAAGAGAAACCCAGTGAAGGAGAGATCCACTCCCATGTTTATATCCGTAGGGCCAGAGCTCATTCAAGACTATTTAGCACAGTGCATTATAAATGGTAGGATGTCAAACCAGTACCCGCCAGTTCAGTGTATGGACTGCAGCTGGACTCACCCAGGTACTGAATGAGCCCTCGGAGGTCCACAAGGAACTCGATGTCTGGGATGAAGAAGCTGTGTATCTTGGTCATGTGGGCCACATTCTTGAGCAGCGAGCGCGAGTGGTGGGAGCAGAAGAGGCAGTCTGTCACAGGGATGGACCCAGGCAGGAGGGCTTCAGCTGGACCTGCCTGCTCCATCTGCTCTTCCTCCTCTTCAGAGCTCATATCTTCATCCTCCTCCACATCCTCATCTTCTTCCATGTCCTCCCATTCTTCTGCTGCATCTACACAGAAAGTCATACAGACACTAAGCACAACACTGGTGGAATTATATCACAGTGACATGCAATGCCACACATTTCTGATTATCATTTGGATTTATGAAAAGAAAATTCATCACATGTAGGATCCAGCTACAACTTAAAAGAGAAGGAAGAAAATTCTGAACCCAGTGTATAGAGATCGTACACCTCAGCAAATGTTCATTCAGACGGGATAAAAGTTTCAGTTAGCGTTGTGTCACTTCCTAACGCACTGCCATAAAACCTCATTCCTCAAAACAGGCCATAATAAATCTTCTTTCCTTACAGCCTCCTAACTTCACTGGTTCATTTGGTATTGAATCGAGTTCTTGTCATGGCTGGTGATGATGACACACATAAGGAGCTATATAGGCTTATTCAACGGATTAATGGAACTCTGAACAATTGGCCCCAAACAATGATATCACACTAAACAGTCCCACACTTGTAAAATGTAATGTCATCTGGTGTTGTCAAAAGTATAAAAAATTAGATAGTAACAGATACTAAAAGTAGTATCAAAACTACATATTCATTTCAGCCGGTATCAATAAGTAGAAGACTACATAAACTAGCTCATGGACCACCATGGATCTGGACCACCGAGGGATTACACAGATTTAGCACCAGATGGTAACAGAAAATAAAGTACTATGATTTGACATTGAAAATCTCTACTTCTATTGCCTAAAGAAAGAGTGTTTTTAACATCATTGTGGTATTGGTATTTGGAATTGAGTCTACTCTTTAGGACTGAAATCGAGATTGAAATTTTAGAATCATGATAACACTAATGTCATGAACAACCAGCATCAGGGCTTCAGACATAAACTGTGTAACATAAGACATATGCAGTGGGACTTACCGTGGTCCAAGTTAGTCATGTCCCCTCTCTCCCGTCTCTTGGCCTGCTCCTCCAGCCACACATAGCGGGGTGGTTTGTCAGCTCGTACCCGGGGGGCACTGGGCTCTGGATGGGACACACACGGCTTCTGCTGCCTCTTCAATGCCTCCTGCAGAGCCGCATTTCTGGCATCATTGTCCATCTCCTCTGGACCTACAAGTAACATTATGGAGAAAAATAAGATTACATGCAAGGTAGAGCCCTGCACTCCCGCGGGCCTCCCGTCCCACTTTGCGTAATTTGCGGGCGGGAGCGGGACAAAGTATCGCAGATGCAGGTGGAAGCGGAACTGAAAATTACAATTCTACACAGTGCAGGTGCGGGCGGGAGCGGGACTGACAATTCTGTCCCAAAAAGGCCTCTAATGCATGGTGAAGATTAAAGACAACATACTTGATATTCGAAAATGTACTTCAAAACAACACATTTTTTTAGAGATGCAATACTGTTATCAGCTTCCAAATATTAGTTCATCCATTATCCTAGTTGGACATGTAAATTTATGGAACTTATGACACAAAATAATAGTATGTGTTTATTATAGCATGTGGTCTTACACTAGTTCCAATAAAACTTTTAAAGCAACATAAAATTGTATCTAGTTATGTGATTTTTTTTTATAAGCAGTACTGTTTGCTTAAATGAGTATCCAGTTCCGATACTAGGTTCAGTATTGATTAGTTTGATTTTCAATATTTTTGGGACCTGAATAATCATGATCATCTTGGCATCTCTAAAATAGGATAAGACGGGATCCTTCTTACCAAGGCCCTTCTCCAGATTCTTCTCATTCAGCCGCTCCACTTCACTCTGAGCAGCGGTCAGGGCCTGCTTCTCTGCCTGCTGATGTTTGTGAGATTTCAGGTGGTTCTGATAGGCGTTGTCTGAGGAGAACTTCTTATTGCAGACATCACAGGCCTGGGTGGTTGAGGAGTGGGCTTGTTGCTTCTCTGCAGCAGCCCGCTGAGCTAACACACGCTCCTGGAAGTTCTCGGCAGTGACTGGAGGCATGTCGGCCACTTTGCGCTTTAAGTTGTAGCGGTGCCAGTCTGTTTTGTAATGAGCTCGCTGGATCTCCCCATCTCCAAACGCCACTCTGCAGCTGATGCAGGTGTAAGAGGCCATTCTCACCTGAAACATAGACACATATTATCTGACATTCCTCTAAAATGTGATGTGAGAAAAGAACCAAAACCACAAGTAACGTAAAATTGGGCTTCAACAATTAAATCAACTAATCATGACAATTCGACTATAAAAAGTAATAGTACAAAGTAGTAGTATTTTTGACCTGTTATCTAAACTATAAAGAATACTCTAAAACACATAGAAAATGACCTTTTTAAATAAAAGACAGTGATATTTTTAATGAAAACGTCAAAAAAGCAAGTTCAGATTCAAAGCTCTATGCTACATAATAGTTTTGACCCATAACAATGTATGACAAACACCTTTGTTTAAGATGTCAGAAAATACTGTTCCATCGTCACCTGGATTTTACATGAATTTACTGCATTGATCAATTATGAGAATTATGAAAAATATTTACTAGACAACGTACTAACTAGAAAAAACAGGAAATCCTGTCATATTATGCACTTTAACCAACCAAGTAACGTAGTAGTTAGTAGTTTTAGAATCTAGAATGTGACGAGTTCTTCTTACTCACAGATGGGGGGGGCAAGAGCTTGCTTTTCTTTACATTGTGTTTTTATATTCAAAAACTAAATTTGCAACCTGATCATTTCTAGTATAATAACTTAACCCAAGAACTAGCAACAGAAATCATTGATTTAACAATATCAACTTTAGCTAGCTACATCTGTATTAAATACGAACTGCCTTGATAACTGAAGTCATTTTGGTTATGATGTTAAACTGTAAACAGTCGTAGGTCGTTACGTCATCTACTACATGTCCGTACGTGGTATCCTTATTTTTCGGCCAAATGCCCTTGTGACGCCCCCCTCGCAGTGATCCAAAGTGAATGTGTACTCACCCTTTGTCTGTTCCTGCGGTGTGTAAAATGAGTAAATCTGTCTAGAAGTCTGTCTATAGGTAAAACTCAAATCCTCGTGTTTTTGCTTTTGCTCGCGAAGAAACATGTGAGTCTTTTCCGCATCCGGTAGAGGACACGACTGTGTTGTGCGGACCCCCCCTGCTGGATTTCTAAGGGCATTACACAATCAGCTCTAGTCACTACTGTATCCGAAAATCATAGAAACTTAATAAAAAACTTAATGCCGAAAATGGGCAAAATTATCTCTTTCCTTCTCCTTCCTTCTCCTTATTGCTGACCTTTGAAAGTTACGTCATGAAGTCGACTTGAATTTGAGTCTGTGTATGCAGAAGATTTGAATTAATAATGGTCCGTGTACCATTCATTCTTTTGAATTTGAATGAGAACGAAAAACAATACAATAGTAAAACAGTTTATTTCATTATTCCGTGTCCAACTAAATAAATAATTAAATAATAAATAAATAGTAAATAAATAAACCAATCCAAATATTTCATTTAAAGTTTATTTCAAATAACACCGATCAAAAAAACAGTCTCGGTGTCTATTTCAAATTTGATATTTTATTCTTTGTTTATAAGCCCCAGTTGCTGCTTAGCGCACCGCGGGTTAATTAATTGTCAAGTGAACAGAAGAGCAAAAAGTATTGGCGGCGGACTTTACCCGGAGATTGGTCACGGATCCGCAGAACAGATGCACCACTTGCACATCGCGGCGGATCCGCTGCCGCAACTGATCCGGAGACGCAGTGGATCAGTCGCCGATCCGGGACCCGCCCAGGGCCCGTTTTGGGGCGCGTTCATAACTGGTGTGAAGTCGAAACGGCCTACCTATCGATTTGAGCTACCTAGCTCTACCCCAAGCGCTGTTACAGTTTAAATGCCCATCGATTTGAGCTATTCGAGGTTGACGTTTTACGGCAGAATACCTACATTAGATGACTGAATACTTTGATTTTATTATTATCATTTGCATTTGTATTTTATGGACTGGGTTATGAACCAGTTTTTATAACTTACTTTTACAAATAAAGTGAGATCTCTAAACTTAAACAGTATTTTGGGAAAGACAAAATATCAACATTTTGCTATAAAAGGCATTTTAGATTACTGAAAAATGGTGCTTTCTCACTAATAGTAATGTTAATGATCTTAATAATCACAAGAGACACAGCACAACTTCAGTTTTATTCCTTTCCTCCTCTGCACATCGGGGTACTTCAGGGTGTTGGCTTCACTCATGAAATCTGATTTGTTTATTTGCAATGTGAACAGCCACTCTGGAAAAAAAAAAAAAAAAAAAAAAAAAAAAAACCTGCTGGGTGACAACAGCCTCCATCCATCCCAGACATGACTCTTGGCCTGGGAACACCCCTGGAAGAGCTGGAGCAATGTGTGGAAAGGGAAGTCCGGGCATCTCTGCTCCAAATGCTGCCATTAAATTACACATGACACAAATGTGCCTCACATAATATATTTTGGTATTTTAACCTCTGTGTCAGGTTTAATCTAAGAAGTTTTAGTTAATAGTTCCTGGTTTGGGAGTAGCAGGTCATCCATTTGAGATGACTCATCTTGGTCTTAATCTGAAGCTAATAAATTGAGAACATCCAATTACAGGAATAGTAGCCCATGTTGTTTCAAAATGTAGACTGTGTAAACAATTTCTCCTTGAGGTGCTGTGTATTTTAATCAATAAATAGTTTAATAACTGGAAGGAGAAACAGACGCTCAACGCATCTCAAAGAGCTATAAATAATCTTTGTTAGAAAGTAAGGTCAGATGTCAAGTGAACAGTGGTCCTCTGCCAGATGAACTCTGAGCAGAGAGATCTCTGTCCAAGGTGTGCTCAGTTAATATGTCACCACTGGCCTCATTTGCCCCACAATAAATCTCCAAGTGTCAAAAGCTTTATGTGGACAACATGAAATTATTGGAACATTTATGTTTCTCATCAGATGTGATCGTCACATTTTTGTGTCTATCATTTAAAAATACTAGAATTTCTGCATGATTTCATGTTCTGTCCTTCTAATCATATTAACTTCAAATTATACATCATGTTACAGTTAGCAGCTCCTCTTTAACCCTCTCTGTCTTTCTGTCTGTCTGTGTCTATGTCTGTGTCTGTCTGTGTCTATGTCTGTGTCTGTCTGTGTCTATGTCTGTGTCTGTCTGTGTCTGTTTGTGTCTGTAAATCTTGTCCCTGTGTGGTAGCCCAAGTAAGGCTTAAGCCTACACAGTCTGGTTTTAGAAAGATCATTGCCCAATAAGAAACAGTGAAAAGTGCAAGGGTTGATAGGTCTCTATCTTTTTCAACAATCAGTCAGTCAAACTTTATTTATAGGTCGCTTGAGATTGGCCACAATACACGACAACTTCAGTTTTTAACGAATTTTATTTAAGCATAAAAATGCATTTTAATAAAATCCAAGTCATTAAACAATTAAAAAAATCAGATCAAATGAATTCAAATCAGGACAACTGCTGCAAATTGAGCAAAATCTTTTTAAGAACAGGATTTGGAATCAAATGATCACCTAAAGATATTTTAGGCTGTGCATTTATTCATGTATTTAATGATCAACATGAATCACTCAGTAACAGATTATTCACTTAGCCTTTATTATTCACATGTTTTAATGCAAATGGACATAAAAAACACACCTGAACACTCATTTGTAGAAGAACTGATAGTTTTTAAATCTTGGAGTTTTATCGAGTTTGATCTGGTCACTTGACACTTCGTGTCGCTCCCATAGACCGTAAGTTCTCTTTTATCCAGTGTGTGGTCGCCTCCTCCGGAGCCTGTTCCAGTGCGCTCTCGGGCGCTCTGACACTTGGCTCTGCTTCGGAGGAGTCGACTCCAGGGGAGTGCTACATAGTGGTCTAGTGGTCTTTGGAGGAAGGATCCTGGGAATTGAGAAACACCCATCGTCTACCTACAAGAAGCAAGACAAACAATAAAAACTGCAGATCCCAGAGTGCTCCGCGCAGAGGAGCGTTGTCAGGTCGGGCGCTGATTGGTTGATCACATGTTGTGTGTGGTGTTTCCTACGACAGCTCGGAGTAGTTCATCAAAAACGCCCTACTTGAGTTTTTGGCCGCTGCGGGCTACGAAAAACCTCTCCGCGCCTTTTTGGACATTCAGTCTGTTCCGTGCGCCACGCTCCATCACGTCCCGCCTCACAACCATCACAGGTAGGCTTATTCACGAATGTCAAAGTTTGTTTAGTCCGAGAGTCAGTCGGAAATACTGGGAGGTTACGTGAGGACTGCGCTTCAGGCGTACTGATAGGATACTGGGGTAGAGGCTAGAGGGGCCACAGTAAAGTTTTGGGGCCAGAGTGGGGCCAGAGTGGAGCCAGAGTGGGCATTCTCAAGGCCTAGTTTATATGTGCGTAACTAGATTCTAGTTTTTAGTTGAAGTAGTTTATATTTCAGAGAGATGGCCTACTCATTGAGGCACATTTAAGGTCCACATTGACTTTTTCTGGTTTATGATTGTTCTTTTAGAATGATTGAGCATGAGAAACTCCCTTGGCCCCAGGCACAACTGAAAACTCCACCTCCAGGATCTGATGCTGCCTCAACAAACCTTTACTGTGTGTAAAGTGTTATGTGGGTTTGTTCAGGGCTGCAACAATGAACTGACAAAGACTAAACTATTTCAGATTTTCATACCCTTTTGTAATTTAGAATAGTGACCATATTTCAACCTTTTTTTGGTCAAAAATGTATTTAATGCACAATATAAATAATTGTTGAGTAATCAAAAAAATAATGGCTGATTGTTCGATTACTAAAATAATCAGTAGATGCAGTTCTAATATATTTGTGTATCAAGACAGTAATAAGTGTCTGATTATGTAAGACACCCTTATCACACAGAGCACTTTCTGTAGGACAGAGGTAGCACAGGCAGATAACCCTTTGCTCATTTTGCAACATGTTGTTGATATATCCCCATAGCAGTAGAATTGCACTCGTCTATCCTTGTAGCTTCCATAGGCAGGACTCTGAAAGCTGTTTGTGGGTGTGTCCGTGTGTGCGTTGGCCTGTAGACTGTGTATGGGGCAGAGGTCAGTGGAGCAGGGCAGCCCTCTCTTAGGGTCACAGAGAGAGAAGCTCTAGAACTGTTACTTTAGGGCCCCTCCTCTTCATTTAGGGGGCTTCAATAGTACAATACAAAAAGGTCATACTATTTTGATACTAAGGAATCGAGTCTTTACTCAATACCGTTATACTCAAACACACTTTTTTTTTTTTTTAACCCCCATCCCACCAACCCCACCCTCAAAACTTAACTTCACATATTGTGAAATTCCTTTATAAAAGTTGGTTGATTTCAAAGAGATTGATAATGGTTCAATTATCAAGGCAAAGAGGAGTGGGCTCAGCAGACAACCACGGCGAGTGCCTCTACTTAGAGAAAAGTAAGGTGAGTCAACTCCATTTGTGATGACAGGTGCTTTAGGTGATGAGTAAAGAAGACTTACCCAGTTTATGAATTTGGGGCCAAAACTGAATCTTTTTAAAAGTTCTAACATATACCTCCACTCAACACGATCAAATGCCTTCTCTTTGTCCAGTGAGACAACTATTTCTGGAGTTTCATTGGGTGCAGGAGCCATTAAAATGTCAAGGAGTCGACGGATGTTTGAAAATGAATGATGGTTCTTCATAAATCCAGTCTGATCAGTTGATATAATGTTGGGCATGATATAGGTTCAAGGCGTAAAGCTAACAACTTAACACGGATTTTGTACTCTGAATTTTAAAAAGAAATGGGACGGTAGGAACTACAGTTTGTTTCATCTTTTCCTGGTTTTAGTATCAGAGTTATAGAAGCTTCTAAGATGATTTGTAAGTCCCTTGACTCAAACATTAACTGAACATTCTCAATAAAAAGCGAGCTAATGTTTTTGAGAATTTCTTGTAGAATTCTATAGGGCAGCCGTCAGGGCCAGGGGCTTTTCTATTTTGCAGTACCAATATTGTAGCAATTATCTCAAAAATGTTTATGGGCTTCTCAAGGTCCGATAACAGTTAGGGCATCGAATAAACATAACATATCCACCTCATGAGTGGGAAAAATCAGTGTAAAATTTGGTGAAGGTTTTGTTAATATCGGATGGAGTGAAAGCATGTTCACCTGAGGACATTTTAATGCCTTTAATTTCATGAGATGTTGTTTGATTTTTTAGTTGATGTGTCAGACAGTGCCCTGCCTTCTCATCATGCTCCTATTGAAAACCACGTGAATGTAAAATCAGTTTCTCAGTTTGATGAGTGAGAAGTAAGTTGTGTTCCAACTGCAATTTCTTTAATATTTTTTTAAAAGCTTGTTCATTTTCTATCTACTTAATTTGTTGTATCTATTGACATAATTTCATCCTGAATTACAACTTTCAGAGTTTCCCACAGAAGACATGGAGAAATAAGATCAGAGTTGTTTCTAAGAAAATCATTAATAGCCATGGAAACTGACTCACAAAACTGATCATCATTTAGTAATAAACAGTGGGGGGGGTGCTCTTTGACATAATGGCAAGGACAGATCTAAAAGTACTGGGGCATGATCGGAAATCACTATACTTAAATATTCAATATTTTTAACACCAGGAAGAAGGGCCTTATCAATGAAAAAGTAATTGATTTTTGAGAATGTTTTATGAACCTGAGAGTAGAAAGTAAACTGTTTCTCATTTGGATAATGAAAGCGCCATGGATCTACTCCTCCCATTTGATCCATAAAGGAAATAATAGATTTTGACATTTTATTTGGGAAGGGATGTTTACATGAAGATTTATCTAATGGTGGATTCATGGTACAATTTTTCACCTCCTAGAATAAGGTGGTGAGAGTTGAGGTTGGGTAGAAGTGGGATTATTTTTTGAAAGTAAGCTTCATCATCCCAGTTTAGGAGCATCAGATTAATGCAGTATTATTGATAGAGCCTGTAATCAGTACATATCGCCCCTGAGGGTCAGAAGTAATATCTTTGGGTATAAAATGCATTTTTTTATGAACTAAAATAGCTGTACCTTTCATTATATTGTCAAGTTTGGAATGGAATATTTGACCAACCCAAGAAGCCTTTAATCTATGATGATCCTTTATTGTCAAATGGGTTTCTTGTAAAAAAAAAAAAAAAAAAAAGGTGTTTGAGGTGTGAGAGGATTTTGCCACTTTTTACTGGTCCACTGACTCCTTTAACATTTCAAGATACACATTTAATAAGAGTGCTCCCACTGTACAAATTCACGGCTTTAGTTTGACACATTGTCTCTTGCTTTGTAAAAAAGCAGATAAGCAAAGTTTACTTGGAAAGGTCATTAGAAGTTCATTCATCTGTAGGACCCAAACCCCTCTAGAAAATATAATATAAAAAATATCAAAGTAGTGGGTCCCATCTCCCGTGAAGACAAAGGCGGTGGGCGGGATGTAAAAGCCGAAACTTAATTCCTTTTTGACACAGAGCGCTCTTAACTGTACTAAATGATGCACGCTTCTTGGTCAAGTCTGAGCTGATGTCAGGGTAGCCGCGAAGCTCCACACCGCTGTATTCCACAGTGTGCAGTCTGGACCACCTCAGCATCTTCTCTTTATCCTGGTTACAAAGGAACTTGATGAAGGGCCTTGGTTTGTGTGTGTCCTGTTTGCCAGGTCTGGGGCCGTGAGTGTGGTGGGTGCATTCTATCTCCAGTGGGCTGACAAAAACAAAAAACAAAAAAAACAAAAACTCCTGAGCCCGTTACAGTCATGATGAGATCCATGGCAATCTTCGTTGGGTCCTGGTCCCATTCGCTGCCTTCAGGGACGTTTATTATCTGTAGATTGGGCCGCCTGGACCTATTTTCCAAGTCATCAACGCAATCCTGGAGTGTTGTAGTTTGTAGACGGAGAGTTTTGACAGTTGTTTTCAAGTCGTTTAGTCTTTAAAGTTGTCACTCCCTCTCACTTCAGTTTCAATATGCATTTACAATTGAAGTCTATGGGAGAAATCTGCATTTTTGTTCAAATTGACAGTAAAACAAAACAAAAAATGCAACAAACTCAATCTTCCCATGGAGTGTTCACATGGACGAGCCAGTCACAAGGATATCAGGAAAAGAATTTCTTTTCATTTTATGGAATTACAGTATAATCTCAGTATATAGCAATAATAGATATGGATTTAAGGGCTGAAGGAAAATGTGGTAATATGGTGAACATTTTTTTTTTTTACATTTTACATAATTGTATGTGGTTTTCAACAGGAAAACATAACATAAAATAAAAGACGAAAACATTTTTAGGATTTTAATAAAAGGGGATTGTCAAAATGGGCATTAATGGGCATAAATGGGCATAAGGCCTAAAATGGAATAGTCTTTTTTTTTTTTTTCCAAATCGGCAGTAGGTGATATAGGACCAAAACTGGCATCTAAAAGGGTTAATAAATTATGGTAATTTATAATCCCAATACGTTATTTTGAAGAGAAGCCCTTCACGGGGAAAAAAAAAAAACTTTAAAATTTTGAAGTAAATTTTTTTATGGCACACAATTTGTACAAAACACTCCCAGTATAAACACATTTTCAACAAGGCACAAGGGTTAAATTGCAAGGTACATACAGTAAATACAGTTGTGGGTGGGGATATGGGGTAAATGAAAACCAGTTTTGTGAACATTCAATCAATCTAATCAATCTAAATACAGCTCTGAGTGATGAGGGAAAAATTTTTTGCAGCGATGTCTTAAATGGTAGGGTTATGTTCAAGGTGCATGTTTTAAACACATTTTCTTTGTGGCTTCTGCACAAGACTCCAGCATTTCTTCGACCTGTTGTTACTTGACCCTGCTTTTTCCTCATTCTGCCGACTTGCCTGATCTCTATCAACCTGCTGTTGTGCTGCCCATTACAAAATTTCTTTATTATATTCTACTGTTCTGGTCCTTGCTGATAAATATTACTGTACACATTTTACAGGGGCAAGCGTATGCAAAACAGACTGTTCCATCTTGTACATGTGAATGGGAGCAAATACACCACATGTACAGTAAAAAATGCCCAAACTGTTACTTACAGTTGTGTTCGGATGACAATTAATCTAAATTCCCTACATATTCATGTAAAACTGATATTTGTGGCCATATTGGCTTGTCAAAGCCTGATCTCGTCAGATCTCAGAAGCTAAGCAGGGCAGGATTGGGCCTGGCTAGTACTTGGATGGGAGACTGTTGGGAAAATCAGGTGCCACAGTGGGCTGTGGCACCATAGTGGTACTAGTGGCAAAATACCGCCTTGTGTCCTTAGGCAAGGAGCTTTACCCAGATTGTCTTGTATGAAAATTGTGTGAGCATGAGTGATTGGTGGTGGTCGGATGTGCAATGGCACAGATTGGCAGCCTTGCTTCTGCCAGTCCTACTCAGGGCAGCTTTGTCTACAATACCAAAAGAGTGTGGAGTGAATGAATAATGCACTCTAAAGCTTCACTGAGTGCCCAAAAAAGTGCTATATAAAACTGATCCATTGTTATTATTCTTATTGTTTGTCTTCAGGTTCACCATGAACTTCCTCCTGGAGACACTGCAGGTGCTGCTGCTGTCACTATGGTTTAATATTGAGTGGTTGATCCACTTGTTAATCCCACGGAGAAAGAAGAGCATTAGGGGAGAGGTGGTGCTGATCACCGGGGCAGGCAGTGGCATCGGTCGGCTGATGGCGCGGGAGTTCGCCTCTCACCAGACTGTGCTGGTACTGTGGGACATCAACCAGGACGGTCTGAAGGAAACATCCACACTCGCCCAGGAGAATGGAGCGGTGCAAGTCCACTCTTATGTCTGTGACTGCAGCAGCAAGAATGAAGTGTACAGGGTCGCTGACCAGGTAATGCTCACATGGAGCACTGGAATGAATACTCACACCTTGATGGCACAAATACTTGCTAGATTAATAATTTTCTTTCATACAATTTGTGGAATTGAAATGTCACTGATGCCTGTATTTCATATTCAAGTAGTCTTTTGAAAAAGTGTTGTTACTTTTGTGTTATGACAGTGTTTAGTCCATGTTCTTTTTAGGCTTTGGAGGGGCACCATAGTCTATTCATGGAAACACTTATTATTGTACAATTTTCTTACATTGTGCTAGCTTTTTTCAAATTTTCCAAATTCAGCTATATTGTATTTTGTATTACATTTGGTTTTCTAGAGAAGAAAAAAATGGCAAGGTAAACTATATGCAACATTTTCAATACTGATTGTTTTGATCCAATGCCCAATATTACTATGGCAAGTATCACGATATTAATCTGAAACAAATACTAAAGAGAATTACAGTTATATGTGCACATTAACTAAAATGTATTTCAAAAATAATAAATAATAATAATAAAATAAAAAATATTGATATTTTTGTATGAGAATCAGTACTGTTTGTTGTGTTTCAGGTGAAGCGCGAGGTGGGAGATGTCAGTATTCTGGTGAATAACGCTGGGATTGTAACAGGGAAGAAGTTCATGGATGCTCCCGACTCGCTGATCGAAAAGACCATGGAAGTGAACGCTATGGCTCACTTCTGGGTTAGTGTTTGGCTACATGTTGTGGACATTACATCTGTATTTTTTTGTATTTTGTTTTGAGTCTTTATTTTCATCATACCCTTCTTGAATTTCCCTCAAGAGCAATAAAATCTCTCTGTCTCTCTTTTTGTATCTCTGTTTATTTCTGTCTCTCTGTCTGTGTCTCGCTCTCTCTACAGACGTATAAGGCATTCCTTCCTGCAATGATCGCTAACAACCATGGACACCTGGTTAGCATTGCCAGCTCAGCAGGTCTTCTTGGAATCAATGGACTGGCAGGTTTGTGACAACCTTTCATTATTCATTCAATCATAGCCACATTTTCTCTGGGATGCTATGGTGCTGATGGGTGCACCAGTGAAAGTGAACCATGCAATTTGTGAAACACTAGACTCCTTGGTTAGACTAATCCAGACAACATATCATAACTTGACAAACTTGATGCAGTGTGCAGTAGTTTCATTAGCAGGATGTACGTTGATCGTGTTGTGAAAACATGCTCTGTGAAAACGTGCCCTACCCTAAAGAAGTGTCCATCCATCCATTTCTTCTACTTATCCTGGGCGGAGCATTGATATACAAGAATACATGCTCCCATTTATGCATTTACTTATGTCCCTACACTGCTCTCACGCCACACACCACCTTGTGTTAATATTGATGTAGCTCAGTTTTAGAGTTTGTTTGTTTTTTTCATTCAACTGCTGGTTGGCAATGCATATGTAATGCAATGCAATGTATTACAGTTACAATTTAAACAAATGTTTATGTTCTTTCTTCAGACTACTGTGCCAGTAAATTTGCAGCAGTAGGATTTGCAGAATCCATTGGACTGGAAATGCTGGCCATTGGTAAAAGCGGTGTCAAAACAACCATCGTTTGTCCGTATTTTATAAACACGGGCATGTTTGATGGATGTCAAACCAAGTAAGTGTTAATTTCATATGCTATGTAATTTTGGGATGCTAACATTCAGAGTTAATAATGATAATGATAATAATGATAAAAGATCAGGTTTATAATTGCACATAAGTTTTTAATTTGTTTTATCCTAATGGGAAATGTTCACATTCAATATTCAAATCTTCACTACTGTTAAATTTCTTAGTAATTCCTTAATCCCAGTTGTTATGTGCTCTTCAGACTTAAACAAAAACAAGGAAAATAACGGGGCATGTTTTCTTTGACCTCTTACTTGAGACTCAGCCGAAATAGTTTGGCAAAAATACACTGTGAACGGCCCTAGTTTGATGAAAAACATATTAGGTGCTCATGGCATGTTGGAGATCTAGAGAACTAGCCCAGTTGAAAGAGATCCAGTTTACAGAATCAATAAACCAGTGTTAAACAATCTGAACCAGCCTCGTTGACAAAATACAAAAGCATTCAAAAATACATCTCAACAAATGTTCAGTTGTCATATGTTTTCTGTCCTAAATGTGAACATGCCCTCTTTGTTTTTACGTTCCACAAGCTCAATGCTTTAGCAGACTTTTCTGGGGTTACTTTACAGCCAGCTTTGTCTCATACCAGTTTACAAATGCACACTGGTTGTCTGTCTTGAAGGTGGCCCCGTCTGATGCCCATCCTAGATCCTGAGTATGCAACCAAAAAGATCCTGGAGGCCGTTCTGACCGACCAGGTCTATCTGCTCATGCCCCGCAGCATGTACGCCATCGCTGGACTGAAGAAGTAAGTGTTGATACTAAAATTTCAATCTCAGATTTGATAATAAGGAATAGACTTGATACTCAGTATCAATTCTGATACCACAATGATGATAAAGACATTGAAAACAGAACGTGAATACGCATGTGAAATAGAATCTTTCAACATTAAATGATACAACTCAAGATAATTCTAAAGATAGATAGATTACATTTTTGGCAGCAACAAACATAATAATATAGTCGCAAGTGGCAATGATTGGCACTGCCTTGCACCTACACCACTCCACACCATCACTGTGCCGCACATACGCCCACACCCGTAACCTAACGTTTATGCCCAGGAGGAGCTATTGCACCCATTTTTGTATTTTCTTATCAATCTATTTAGGGTTTGGGTGTCAATACACTATTAAAGTTTGAGTGAAATTAGCCAAAGGGTGTGCAATTTGGCAATTTTACCATTAGGATAACGTGTGTTTATGTCATTCCTATGGCAACACCACAAAAAATGTGGCATGGGTGCCATTGACTTTTGTGATCAGAATGCTGAAATGGAATTTTATGCAAAATTTCAGAAATTTTTTTCTCTCCATATTGAAATTTGTTTCAATCTGTAAGGGATGCAAATGCACCAAATTCCATTTTTTCCAGGGCAGGAAGTTTAAAAACTATTTGTGCAAATGGGAGCAATTTGTAAAAAATATTTCCCAAATTCTAGGCATTTTTTGTCGCTTCACTGCTCAAAGACCATAAGACGTGTGTGAAAAATTTGCATAACTTTTGATGCCCCACCCATTGAGATAATAACCATTAGGGTGAACACCCTAGGACGAGTGTGTCTAAGTACAATGTTTACAAAAAATGTTGAGTCAAGTTTAATCCAATATTGCTCACCCCTGGTGCAGTGGACAGCATTGGGTAATAATTTTTTTTTCCTCCTTTTGTCATGATCTTCTTCTGTGTCAAATTTCATGATTCTTTTCTGAATAATTGCCCTTTTTTTTGGTGGCATTCCTACACCCTAATGTCATGTTTGGAGGTGCCGACATGCCATTTTATTTATTTTTAGAAAATGGAAATAGCCAAAAGTTAGAGAAGCTCAAGTTTTAATGGTTATGTGACTTTTTGCCATTGTTCACTGTGTGCAAAATGGGTGAGTGGCTTAGGAAAAAAATTTGAACAAAAAAAAAAAAATTCTGATATGAGAAGAATGTTCCACTTTTTTTTAAACAAATAAACTATACATTTTAGGAACGCACTTGAGCATTTCCACATCATGGTGAGAACCCCTGGTTACTATGGGCAACTCACCACAAGTAGCATCACTAATAGGCCCTTTGCCATCTTCTGGTGCTCGGGCCTAATAATACAACAGTCCCTACTCTTGCATTCATCATTATTATTCGCCATTGAGGAAAGATTCATTTCTGTCCTGTGAATGTAACTTTTTTAGTATTGATACTGGCTCAATTTAGTATGTAGTTTTGATGCTAGTTTTGGTATGAATCAGTATATGATTTTCAATACCTTTGCCAACCCTCCTTAACACAAAGCCTAACTTTCCATGCATTCCAAGTGCATTTACCAAATCATAATTTTTAAAATGTTCATGTAAAAAACAATTTAATTCAATTTTGAGTTATTACACACAAACATTTGATTGACAGTTATTGCATACAGGGCTCTGAACAGATGATGTTGTCATTATAATTAATTTGATATAAAGGGATTAGCTGTTCACTCACAAGAACAGTCAGAGTTAATGTGTGTGTCCCTCAAAATGCACATAGGTCATTGCTTTCTTTATTTATAGGAACTTACAAGAGTGTCATTTCCTGCTATTCAAAAGACAACTACATGAAATGGTATTAATCTGATAAGGAAACCACTTGTTTGAGTGTATATTTTAAGTGCACATGTATAGATTACAAGATACAAGTCTTGTTTGTAAAATTCCTCAGTCATCCGGGTAGGATTCATGGACAGAACTGAATTTTGCCTTTACCACACAAAAGTCTTGCAAAAGTGGAATTGTCATTTTGTTAAAAATGTGCTGAAAAAGTATATGAGTCACCCAGTGGCAATCCTACACTGAATTACTCCCTGGGCGAGACCCCCGAGTGTAACCACAGTCTGGTTATTTTGAATATGAGAGACAGTAAACCTGTCCCCCCTCCTGGCCTTTGCTCAGGTACACCTGTCACCCCACCCCTCATTAATCTGTATCCAGGTAAACACATGAAATGTGAATAATACTACCTTATCTACCTTGTCACAGCGGCCTAATGATGTGTGTTTGAGTTATGTAGGGTTAATAAAATTGTGCTACACCTGCTATGTCCTGTAGATGGCAGTAAACTTGGATTGTCCCGTCAAGCCTGGAAATATGGTCTTCAGACTGAACACTGTCTTGTCTCTCCACAGTATCCTCTCTACAAAGCATGGGCTCGTGCTGGGAGAATACCTCGGGGCCTTCAACCTGATGGACCACTTCAGGGGACGCACCAAAAAGCTAGAATAGAGGGACACCACAAAGCCTTGTCAACAGACATTTCTGTACATTCAGGGTTACACATTTCACAGTTCTTCATGACTGTGGCAGATAATAGCCTATGTTTGCTTGCATTTCATTTTATTCTTTGTGTCATCGTCATTTCAGATGTTTCTGTCTGGAACAGGAGCTGCTCAGGACTGACCAATTTAGTGTCACACTTAAAATCCGGATTGAAGAATGGTCTCTTCCAAAAAAACATACAGAGCACAGGATAAATATCAGAGATGTTTAACTGACTTGTTGACTTGGAAAATAGATCACATAAATTCAAACTGTGACTACAACATGAAGTGTAAGATTTCATTAAGCCTACAGTGCACTAGCTTCTTTTTATTTAATTTTTTTTACTTTGGCAGTACTTGATGAAGGCCATGGGCATTTAATAAAATTAACTCTCAGTGTCTATTTAGTCACATCTCATAAACTTAACTGTGTCTGTAAGGTTGTGCTTCTAGTCCATGATGACTAGGCAGTGTTATGCTGTGTTTATGAAGTCTATATGTAGAAGGCATATAAACCTTTTCTGATATTGTCATGTATTACTCATATACTCATACTGACACCTCACATTGTATCATGATATCATGCTCAAAGTGCTCTTTTCCACCTTGTGTTGTCATCAAGTGGTACTTTTTAAAGTTAATAGCTATTTTAGCCTCAAATGAACTGAATTACTGCACAATATAATAACTGAGTTGTTGCCTTTTAAAAAAATATTTAAACTTTGTTCAGTTAAAATTCATACACATACACATAAATAATCTTTTTGTGTAGCGAGAAGTAAAGTTTCAACAATGATGTCGCTTCAAAGTTTGTCAATTCTAGGGCTGCAGATTCTGGTGAAGATGTATGGAGTGATGTGTTTTCAGTTTGAGAGAACTCAGCCTAAATCTGCAGGGTTTGTGTGTTAAACATGTGTGAATGAAACAAAATACAACTCCAGGTCTGTTTTGGTAAGGAACATTATAACTTAGATCAAAATTTGTGTAATATAGACCCTTTAATGTGTAGGCCCATGTGACTGTATCTTATTTGTGTAACTACTGCTGCAACACATATTCATATTATCATTAAAAGGACAGTATTGTGTTTGGTTTGGAATTTCTTTTTAGCCTATGTATTTCAGTGGTCAGCAATCTGATTGGATCTTGCACCCATCTTTAGACCTGGTTCTTCTCGTGGTTCTTCACCTGGTTTGAACATGCCTGAAACCCCTCTTTACAGGAGACCCCCCAAAGATGATCAAGCTAGTAATCCTCAAACATACAGCTTGTGTTCCAAAACTATAAAATATTGAAATTAATAACAATGTTGTTATTTAATAATTCAAGTCCTCCTGTTAAACTGCACCAAGACCTCTGACTGAGACACAAAGGCGACTGAAAAACGCAGTGTAAATGTTGCTGCAGCAAAACTTGACTTTCCCTCAGGATCAATAAAGTCTCGAAATCAGTTATTGTAGTAGTCTGGGAGCCAGACCCCTCCACCTCGATAATTTTGCGCCTTTTTCTTACTATGATTTTTCATGAATTATTTCAGGTTCAGATAGAATAATTAGTGCTTTATTAATTCTCGGCTAAAGTTTCCAGAAGCAGGCATTCAGCGACAGTTGGATAAAAACAATTTTAGCAGCGGGAAAGAAATTGAGAAGGAATCTGCATCATCTCCACACTCCATGCATTCACATTCACATTTCCAGATGTTGTTTGGGGTAAAACTAACCAAAAGAAACATAGTCACAATTACATAAGTCAAGGCAGAAATGTGTTCCACATATAGCATGAAAATTTATTCTGAATTTAATAACTTATTAAAAAAATAATAAATACATTTGAGAAATATTTTAACGAGGTGGAGTCATACAAAGCAGAAATGCTATCAAACACGTTTTTCTTTAACATTATTAGGCTAATTATGTGTTGTTATTATTATCATTATTATTAATATTATTATTATTAGCTGCAATAGGTGTTGAGGCTGTGTGGTAGATGATATGCACACAAGGCAATAATAAAAGGCTCAGGTTTAGTACAAAACAATAAGGCCACTGGTTGTAAACATTAAACAAAAGCCTCTTGTCAAAAACACCCCTGAACAACATTACTGAAAGAAGCAATCGGGCAAGAAAGAGCCACGCATCGAGCAGCACCAGGGCTGTAGTGGGCGTGGTACGCAGGGGACGCCGTCCACACACTTCTCCTGATGTGAGATAAATATAAAAAAAGATATAAAATAGCTAACTTAAAAATGAAACCGGAGCTACTGGCAATGTTGAAAACAACCTACATAGGCTCATGATATCTGCACTACTGTCCTATAGAGACCTGAGACACGAGGGTCCAGGACTAAAGCAGGACTAAAGCAGGACAGGACTAAAGCAGGACTAAAGCAGGATCGGTGGCGGCTGGTGGTATAATTTTTGGTGCACAAAGGCCAAAATTATAAATATACATTATAAATAATATATGTATTATATATAGGCTATAGTATTATAACAAATACCAGGAACAGACACTTTGGTTACTATTGACTGAACTATATCTCTCAGAACACAACGAACAGCTAAGCGCAAACTTTACGCACTAACACAACGTAACACGCCGCTCACACCCAGACGCAACAGTCAGCAAAACTACAAGAAGAGGCTACGATCACAACATGAACACAGATGCCGCTCCTGCAGCACACGACAGAACAACCAGAGCAGCTCCATCACACACGAGCTCATTTAGGCACTATTTAACTATGACACTATTTACCTGTGACGCTCCATCTTCAGATTTGCCCCAAACTAATGAAAACAAGCCTCTTACCTTCTCCAGAGTCTGAAGCTTCGTGTTTCCTCTATCCACTGTCCCACTGCTTCTGTCTCCAAAGTGTAATGTCCAATATGAAGAGATGAAACTGGTCCAAATCCCGGTCCAGTCTGGTCCGTGACGTGAGGTCCTGGAGCCGAGTGCACGAGCGGTTGTGTCTCCCACTTCCCACTTAAATCTGAAAGTCAAGGCCAGTCCATATTAGCACTAAGACACCAGGTAGAGCAGTGATTCTCAACCACGGTGCCGCGGCACACTAGTGTGCCGTGAGAGATCGTCAGGTGTGCCGTGAGAAATGATCCAATATCACTTTTTTAAAAATAACAATTTATTAATTATTACCTGCAAATATTATGTCATTGTCGAGTGTCCGTGCTGTAGTACAGTGTAGTATATAATGACTGGCAGTGATCTAATATTCGTCCGGGTGGCGACAGGCAGCTAATTGCCTCGTTCCTTTAAATCAGTGGTGCTCAATATGTCGATCCCGATCTACCAGTCGATCACCAAGGTCGTGTGGGTAGCTCGCCGTGTCTCGTCTCGGACTCGCGTTTGGACTCGGTCTTGTCTCTCACTCAAGGTCTGACACTCAACAAGTGCGATCATATTTCATTAAGGCCACTGCTGTTGGCAATAAACTTGTACAGGTGTGCCAGAGCGTGTGGGGCGTCTCAGTGCAGCGCGCGGAGACTCTACGGCACATCACAAACACACACGCTCCCTATGCACGGCTCGTCTGCAACAGCGTGTGCCCTCGTGTACCAGCGTGCATCACAGGGCAGGTTCAACTTCCTAAACATCCTACCTGTCCATCTGCCTCACGTCAGCACGCCGCCCCTCGCCTTTTCACGCTCTCGCTCCTTCCTGCGTACAGCGAACACAAGCCCCTCCCACAGTGCGGCTGATTAGAAGAACAAGACCAAACGTGAAGTAAAAACGAGTCTAAATTTGTGTTCCAGTGTTGGCACAAAGCAGGTCTACAGCATAGAGCAGATCTACAGAACAGACCTACTGCCACATTTGGCTGAAGTTTGTCTAACAAAAGTGCACAAATGCATCTGTGTTTGTCACGATGTGCGTTTGGTTTGGTAAACGTGCAGAGGCTGGTAAATATCACTGCAAAACCAGAAAAGAATGAAACTCCAGTTTGGAACTTTAAAAAACAGGTTTAAAAATCTTCCTTCACTTTTTTCACAGTTTTGTGTAAAGTGCCAGAGGAAGTTCTCTTAAAGAAGAGGTTCTCAAACTGTGGGTGAGGGTCCAAAAAAGGGGCACAGAGTGTTTCAGTGCAGTTTGCTCGGCTTTGTATTAGGTAGATCTTTATGACTTGGTCATTTTGTAAGTAGATCGCATGCTGAAAAAGTGTGAGCACCCCTGCTTTAAAAGAATTAGTAACGCATGTGCATGGTGACAGTCATGGAGAAGTTTTTTTAAAACGGACGAATGCGAACTCCGAAATGGGCCCTGGACAAGATTCTGACCCAGAAGAAGAGCTTTTCAAGCTTAACTGCTATAAAAACTAAAAACTGACAGAGACTGAGAGCTGTTGATGAAGAGCTTCGTGTGTCTTTCTTCTATTCCTGCCAGGATATCAGCGTTGTGTTCATCTAAACAGGCGCAGGTCTCACACTGAGTAGGTAGAAATTAATGTAGAAATTATATTGTAATTAAATATACTATATAGTGTCATTTTTGTAACATTTTGGTTTGTGGTGTGCCACAATATTTTTCCAATGTAAAAAACGTGCCGTGGCTCAAAAAAGGTTGAGAAACACTGAGGTAGACTTAAGGCCTCGACGCGCTAAGCCCAGTTCAAACTTTTACACCCAGAAAGGAGCGGGCAAAGGCGGATAGACTCTATCCTCTGCCTGGCCTCGGCGGCGGCAGCGAGAGCCCCGGCCAGTGGCAACTGCTCCAGTCCCGGCGGCTACTGTCCCGGCCCCAGCAGCAGTAGCGACAGCCCCGGGTCCCGGCGGCGGGTCTGTGTCGCTCTTTGACTCTCTCCTCGCTGGTTCCTGTGTGGAGGTTTAGGCTAAAGTAACTAGCTGCCGCTAATCGTGAAGCTGCTACTAGTTGAGGGGGCAGTTGACGTGAGTGAGTGACAGGACAGTTGTCCAATCACACTACACTAAAAAAAAAGACTGTGATGTCATTGGTCTGGGCGCTAAAGTTTGTGCCCTCAACCAGAAGTGAAATGCGCCAATCAAAATCATTTTAAAATAGTAATAATGACGGCCTGTGCTGGGGGGTGGGGCACCAGTGGCTGATAGGGGGGGCACGGCCCTCACCATGCCGCCGACACCGATTAAACATTAAAGAAGTAACTCTAATGAATAGAAATAAACAAAAGACAATGCTCTAAGTAAATCCTTAGACTAGCTCAAAGTACATGCTGTCAAGATCAGTCTAGATCTAAACGCAAGTGCCTTTAACAACTACACAGGCACCGGGGAACAGAAGTACAGGGACACGAACATGATACAAACTTTTTTCACCATATTGCAGTCCCCTTATTTTTAAGCAGAATAAACCTTTACATGATCGTGTAATAAATTAATTTGCCTTTAAAATTGGAATAAACCACCCACTCCATTCAGATTTAAATTTAATTTTGAATAATCATTAGGATTTAAGTGTTTAATTCTGCTTTTAAAAACATGTAATTTTTATTCCGAATTAAATTATTTTTAATCGGAATTAAAGCTCTCACGGGAACGGGTAAACAGGACACTACTGTTGCTGCATCGGTAACAGGAGCTCTATATGAAGCATAATACTTGACTTTTTTTTGCAAACACTATCATTTGAACAACTTTTTTACTGACAAATTGTGTTTATATTTTCATATTGTTCAGAAAAGCAGAGATACAGTTTGGGAGCAGAAATGGAAACAGGTTTGCGAATGCTGCTGGTGATGCGTTCGTAGTTGCTCATGTCATCTCAAGTGCCTTGGTCAGACCTCACCACCAACAACCCCAAGCACCCAGACTACCCCAAAGTGGAGCCACTGTGCCCAGCCCCCTCCTCACATGCTTGATCTGCAGCTCTTTCATGAGGAGCTGTGAGGAGATCTCCTGGATGTCCATGACGCTGGTCCATCTCAGCACCACAATCACAGCTCCTCACCACACTTTATCACATCACAAGACCCCAGTGTGACACTTGTTAAAGAAGTACACCTTACATTGTGACATGTGACAGGCTGAGCCCTCTCCTCAGATGGACACAACTGTTTCAGACATAGCCAGTCAAGTAAAAGAACTCAAATCCTAACTCTAACCCCTGTAAGAGCCTGTAGCAAGAGCACTAGGCCCTTCTACAGCAGTTGTTTGAGTTGATATAAAATGGTTGGTGCTTGATTTTTGGAATCTCCAAATGTTGCTATGCCGTTTGGATCTCTTAAAGAAATGAAGACTAAAAAACATTTTCTAGTTATTATACCTCTAACAGCTACTATTTGCTAGACTCTCAAAACTATAGTACTGTTGACAAGTGTGTGTACAATTTCACAAACATATGAGATGTTATCTGACAGTTATTATTCCACTTTACCACCACCAGTTCACCGTGGTCCTAGGTCCAACACAGTAGGCTATAGCAGGAGGAATAGGCTACTACAGTCAGTCCACTTTATTAAACAATGAAAACAACAGTTTGATTACAGTAAAGATCATGGTTTATAACTATTATTTAACACTGGAGTTCAGATGACATGACAGATTACATTTTATAGATCAATCATATCTTTAATATTGTTAAAATGTAGCAAGTTCTAGGATCTAGTCACAATGTGATCAGGGTCAGCATTTGTGCATTTACCTTTTGTATATTTCATGGCAAAATGCAAAAGAATGTCTTTTGCCCAACATCTAGTTCTATGACATTGTCCCATTCTGAAAATCACACACTAATTCACACACACTGTATTTCACTGAGACTGTTGTTGTTTATTTTATAGTTTCCTTTAGAAATGACCGTATACACTTTATTATGACTTCATAAAAAGACCAGGTCAACTTAAAAAACCAAAAAAAAAAAAAAAAAAACCTAACTAAATAAAAACCTAAATTAAACTCACCCCTGAGCTAATATAGGCTGGGTTTCAGATGACATAACATTCTGTTGGCCAGATCTGGGCATTGTACGGCTCCCGGGCCACATACGGCCCTTTGGTTGACTCTGACTGGCCCGTTTAAAATAATCTGGAATTACAAAATAAACATATTTTATCATTTTACCTCATACATAGACTAAAGCTGCATTGCTTTTATTTTAGAGGTGTTATTTTAAATTAAATTTTTTCTAAGGCAGCCTCACTTTTTCATTGCTTAGCCATAACATCGACTGTATGTCTTCTATGATCTGTTCATACACAGTTTCATGTAAGATTTAAAATCAATTATTCATTTTTAATCAATTCCTGAAACAATAGCAAACAACTTGCTCTTATCATTCAAAGTGAAAAGGCTTTTAGGGACAGTGCATATTAATGAACATCTACAACACTGCAGTGTAAATCTGCCAGATTATAGCAAAAATGCTAATTTCCATCTGTAGTCCTGAGGCAGGAGACACCACAAATTTAACAGCAAAAACAATAACATGTGACAATATTGACAGTTGTAAACTAATCTGATGTCTGTACTCAGGACAGTCTGACAGTGTTTGGTCGAGACATTTGGTCAAGGGACAGTGACCTATATCTGTGGATTCCTGCATGGTGTGACTCATGAAAAATCATATTAAGAAAAAGGTAGTAAAATAATTGTAGTGGAGGGGTCTTGCTCCCAGACTATTACATTTACTCAGAGCACCTGATGATGTGTTTACCTGTTGCTATGGTGGTGTCATGTGGATGGCGGCAGAGCAATGATATGTAAGCATTAAACGACGAGGAGCAGTGTGTTAAAACTGCATAATGAACCGCTCCAAGTTGTAACATTTGCTTATACCATGGCTATAAAGTGAAATGTGAAAAGCCTGTTCCTTGTCTGTAAAAGTCCAAAATATCAGTGAACTTAATGTTTTCAATAATGCTTAGCTACTTCATTTTATTCACAGCATTTGAGCTTTTTTTTTTTTTTTTTTTTTTTTTTTTTTACAGTGACAGCCGCAGAGCAGTGATATAGAACAGTGATTTGGCTGTTGCCAGACTACTTGTGTGTTATACAGTGTCTTATCCAAGAACTTGATAACACACTCCCCTCTGTCCTAGTGCAGGTTGGATTAGTGGAAGATCCACAGGTATGGCAGCTTCCAGGAGCTCTGGCCCACAAAGAACTTTCATATAGAGCACAGTTGTTTTTTGTGTGTGTGAAATCAAATAGCTTGTGTTCGTCTGACATGCATCTACAGCTGTTGCACATTTTGTAGGAATTCTTCTCATTTTACAACATTACCTTCCTCTTGGGGCCATAAAGGTTTTCATTTACGGATTAATGCACACAAATATTGGTAATCCTACAAAATAGTGAATTACAATATGACTGGAACAAGCCCCAATATGATTATGAAGGCAGCTAAAAGAATCTCTCCCTCACTGGTTCTTCCATGATCTTGAAAACTCCATTAGATGTAAAATAGTATTAATTTGATAAAAGGTAAGAGATATTTGTGATAGCATTTTTTATTAAAAATAGAGGCACCATCATGGGCTTGGCTCCAGGTCTTAGACAATGTTCAAATGTTGTGTTTTTTTTTTTTTTTTTCCATTTGTTTTTGGAGGAAGTGACTTAAACACTTAAACACAAATGAAATACAAATACATCTGAGTAAAACATAGTGAAGCTCATTAAAATGACATGAAAGCAAAACATTTGAAACAAGTGGTTATCTACTTTAGGAGATTGCTATTGAATTTATAATCCAGTGATAATTACATTACATAGTGTCCCCCACCCCATGATCAAAACAACAAAAAACAAAACAAAAACAAGTGTGTGTGTTTGGGGGGGGGGGGGGGATATATAGTACATATCATAAACAGACAACAGAAAATGAAACGTCATTTTCAGACGACATCCTAATAAAACCATGTTTAGGAGTCTTCTTGGAGTACTGCTGAAATCTGCATTATTTCTGTAGCATTAGAATCATTGGCCCAAACATGGAGATGCAGTTTTCTGTATGGCCATGCAATAATGATTGTTTTATTTAATTTTTAATATTAAAAGAAACAATTCAAAAACAATCAGTAGAACATTTTGTGAACTATTGATTTTGATTCCTACATCAACCATGTGGCCAAGCTTTCACTGTATTAAATACATGTCCTAAGTTTTATCCGAACATGGCTTTAGCTGATTAGAGAATGACCTGAAAACGATTTTCTGCAATCTTAACTAATTAGTCCATCCTTATTTAAGCATATATTTACACCAAGAAAAACATTTCATTTTCAAATTACATAATAAAAAACGTTCACACGAAAATAACATTTGCAATAATAATTAATAGCACCAGTGTATCAGTTATAATTTGCAAGGAAAATGTACAAAGTTGCATAGTTTGGATGTTGCTAAGGTCGTTGTTAATTAATTATAGTGGCTGTGATCAAACACAAGTGTAGCATTGATGTTTTTAGAATGATTGATCCCACAGAAGTCAGAAGAGGCAAAAATATACTCCACACAAGTGTGTGCAAATAACCTTAGATTGGCGTGCTTACAAGAAACTCCTTGCAAAACACTTAGTTTAGCTCAAATAACTTGAATTGACTAGTTCAGTTTTATTGATGAGTCTGAATTATTTATTTGTAGACATCTCTGATGTATTATGTGTATGCATTCTTTTGCTTCCCTGTTTGAGGTCATGCCTGTGGCATTAGTAAATAGACTTAATGTCCTGTAATACGCAACACTGACTCTTCTGCGCTTTAAGCCATGTTGTTACCTCCTCAAAAACAGACCTGGAGTTGTTTAGTTTCCTTCAAAGATGTAAACCTTTTATCATTCATTTGTCTGCATCTCTAAAGATAAAATGCACAGCGACCGTTTACCCTTTGTTAAGTACTGAAATTAGTGACTGAAATTATACAAATGATTCTAATGTAAGTGTATGGAGTTGAAAAACACAGAAGAGGACTTCCTTTTTTACCACATGACATCACAAGGTGGAACAGAGCATTTTTTGTCTAAGAGAAGAACTCAGTGTAAATAAGTAGGATGTGAGAGTTAAACATGTGTGAATGAAACAAAACACAACTCCAGGTCTGTTTGCGATGAAGAAACAACATTATAACATAGATCAGAAAATTGCACAATATGGGCCCTTTAGGCAAAGCTTTTCAAGTTTCAACGAAATAATTTTGAAAACAGTTAGAAATTCCATAAAACAAGTGAAAAAAATCTACATCAGTACATAAAATATAAATTGTAATTATTTTCACTCATGTAGACTTTTGGTAATGCACTAAACTGTTGACTTTTACTGCATCAATGAAAAAAATATTCTAATGCAAACATTTAAATTCTATTTGAAGAAAAGGTGTTTTCAGTAGTAATTTTAAACATTTTAAAACTGCATTATTTTATTTGTTGTTGAGTTAAACCAAACCACTAAGAAGAACGCAAGGAAAGGAATGTCCCCCACAAACTACTGCACTGTCAAATACATTTTCTCCTCTTCGTCAAACAGTGGGTCAATAAATAAAATGTTTTAACACTGCTTAAAAACTATACTGCTCATGAATTGCTTTGATGCGAGGTCTGTTGGTTTGAAATGAAAATGCTGATGAACAGAAAAAAAAGTAGGTTAGAGTTGCACAGGAGTGTGTTAGATGCAGTCACTTTGGGTTTGCGCTCTGATCAACCATCACAACCAAGTCACATTATCTTGTTTTATTTATTATCTGCATTTTCTTTTTGCTTTTAAAGAAGAGTTTATGTTCAAATTTGAAAATTTTAATGTTAAATCAAAACATAAAAAAATATTTCTATAAATATGTCAAAACATCAATGATGTGTACAAGCTTGTGAAAGGAGTCATTATTGTATTATTGTATTATTGATTCAATTTGTCAGTAATAAGATGTGTCCATAAATTGTCTTGTCACTATAACTTGATTTCTATGTAGTATATGGAATTATGATATTGTATAAGCAGATGAACTGAAAATATGTAAGCTTGGACAAAGGAGAAATTCAATTGCTCTACCCTCCAGGTAGATAAAAGGAAGTATCCACCAGAAATCTGACCAGAAATGAAGCAGCAGCTTGGATGAGCTACGAAACTTATTTGATCAAACAATTTAATTTGTTTAATTGACAGAATTGAGTTTCTCCTTTACCAATATGCAAGCCTTGTACTAAACACTAAACCTTCGACACAGTCCTGTCCTACCGTGGTTTTGGAGGTCACTCTAAAGGTCTTTGACCAAAATGTCTTGCAGGTTTGAAAAAACGACTCTTAACAGTAGATGGAGCTTCAGTAGTAGGATATAGCTTTGTGGTTTGCTTCATGAATGTAATAGACTATTTTCAAATGCATGGTGTTAATCTTTCTAAAAAGAAAAACAAAAACTTGACTACAGCCTTCATATTCAGCTGCTTCATGTAACAGCAAAAGCAAAAATACATTATTTTTTTAAAATAAAACTTGTATTAACTTAAATCCAGTTCAAAATCCAATACTATAAACAAACCTCTCTAAAATGTAGTATAGTGTGTAGTATAGTATCTTCAGTTTAAAACAGTCTTCAAAAAATACTTTAAAGCGCATCTTTACATACTAATAAATACTTCTGATTAACCATATCTAATGAATGAAAAATCTGAAGAAGCTCTTTGAGCTTAATTCAGTATGATGGAACAACCACATAGCCAGCTCCTACACCTTTTGCCATCTGTAGTTGCAGTATATTCCACTGAGTAGGCATGCACACAAGACAACTTTGGGCACACAAAACAGAGGCAGGGAGGGACTATTGCAAAATGTGTGTGTGTATTTAGAGACTTGTGTGTGTATTTAGAGGCTTGTGTGTATGACCTGAACATTTTTAGTCCATCACCTCATACAACATTATTGTTTTAGACATGCACAGAATAAATAAAGCATACAAAGGTGGAATTATGAATTCAAAGATCTAATTATGCATGTATAAGTCAAATTACACACAAACAAAGTAACTACACTGGCACTTAACAAAATGCGCACAAACAAGTCGAATTACGCACAGAAACGTAATCACACATGCACGAGACAAACTACCGGCACACTAGACAAATTATGGACACTTCTTACAGACAAATTGCTTTACAGATGTACTCCTCTTATTACAATAATAGCGCCATACTCATTTCATATTTTTTTAAGTTATCATTTTAAAGTTGTACCTAGTTTTTGTTTTTTTTGGAGTCAATTCATTAATGTTTAAAAGCTACCAAAATCCTTCCTTGGTGAATAATGACTGGCATTTTTGTGTGGATAAATAAATCTTTTAAGATCTTAAGTATCGTTAAAAGCCTGAACACCGTGCAAGAAGGCTTGCATGGCGCTGAGGACTGTGTTAGTGGAGCAGAATGTTCATTGGGGCCACACTCATGGTTTTTCTATGGAGGGAGTGTTGAAGCAGCCGTCTGGTAGTGTCCTCTTGATGTCTTCCAGGTTGAGGATATCGGCACGAATTTGGCGGATCTGGCGGTCGTAGTCAGTAATCATGTCCTCTTGTGTCCGTGCCACGTCATTGAGCTCTGCTAGCTTCCTGTCCAGATCACTGCCTGCCATTTTGCCCTTTGCACGCTTCAGAGACTCGTCAATCTGGTTCAGTTTACTTAGATCCACTTTGTCAATGTTTCCTGTAAAATACACGCAAGGACATTTAGAGGAATCAATCAATCTATTTGTCTACAAGGGACAATTTAAGCACATTGAGCAGTTAAATACAATAATAACAAAAAGCTTAAACTAAAGTCTCAAACTGATTGTAAAATATTAATAATAATAGTATTATAATAGTAATTAGTAATTCTCAAACTTGACTGGGCGTAGTTAGCCACATGTCACAGTAAAATAACTAGCTGAGTTGGCTTGTATTTGCAGTCTGCACAGGATGACCATGGCAAACACGAGGATTCCCAAAGTAAATTTCAGTGTGTTTCTGAACCTGGGCTCCTTCAAACAATACATAATTTCCCCATTTACTGATGGGAACAAATACATCTTTTCTATGTATTTTGATGGGGATATGCATCCTTTGCTCATATTAAGCGTCAAAAATAGGTTGGATTCCATTTTTGAAATCTACGTGTGCAGTATATGCTGGTCAATCCCATTTGCCTTGCGTAGGGCAAAATACGAGTGCAGTGTGTCCTCGGCCTTAAGTTGTGGCTCGTCTTCAGACATTAGTGCAGTGTAAATCTGGCGCTGATGTGGCGCATTTTGAACCTTCAGGAGTCAGAGGCTCTGTTACTGCGTCCAGGCCGTCAGACACCAAACGCATGCCGCTTTTTCAGCTCTGGCGTCTGACGGCCTGGACACATCTGGCATTTGATGCATCGTGTCAACCAGTCAGGGACTACTCTACAATGACGTAGCGACGTCATTATCCGGAAGAAGGAGAAGAAACAGAAAGCCCTGGATGCCACAAACACTGTAACAAGAACTCTACGTGTCACTAACGGAGTATAAATATATATGCCCTTCCAAGTCGGCTTTCATAATTTCTTTCTGGGACTTTTGCTTGTCAAGGTTTAATTTTTTATACAAGTCACTGGCATGTCCAGATTTATTTACTACTTTGCTTTTGCATTTTTCATTGCTCCGGATGTGTCTTTAATTGGGCATTTGTTCCAAGCTCGAGCCTAACAATTAAAGACCCTCACCCCCTCACAATAGCAGGGTTAAATTTGCTTTATGCAGTTTTAACAAATGACTCCTTTGCTTACTTAATGAATGCATGTCAGGCATAAAAACTGCAACTCCTTGTTGCGTAATGTTTACATAAATAACTTATTCCAGATTTTAAGCAAGTCTTGATCAGGACTATCTATCAGCTGGTGAATTTTACCAACAATTTATGTTTTGGTTTGTTAGGTGCAGTCAAATTGGACTTGTTCCTTGCTGAAAAGTAAGAACTACACCAGGCCAATAGAATTTGCACATAGTTTGTTTGCATACTGGTCTGCACTGATCAGTTTTCCCATTTTAAAATGTATTTACACCTCTGCATCTATATACTCACCAAGTTGATCCAACAGTGCAGCAATGGTTCCCAGAACACTTTTAACTGCATTCTTTGCTTTACGGGCATTGTCCTCTGCCACCTTAGCATTATCTGATGCCTAAGACACAAACAGAAAAGACACATTATATAGAACTTGTAACTTATGAAAGGTCCCCACATTTGATACACGTTTATATAGAGTCAAAACTAGGCACTGGGGCCACACTTTTAAGATCATTATCAGCTGTACACAGCATCCACCAAACATTTTCTTACTAAATCCTACCCTTTAGTCCATCTGCAGCACTAATAAATTCTTCGCTTAGCATGTCATTAATCTAAGCGAGAGCTGTGGTGACCATAAAAGAGTTAATTCTTTTTCATTTTCATATTAAAATGAGGTTATTCAACTTATCTGTATAGTGTCTGAGGCAATACAACTTTTAATGCCTTACAAACTCATTGCAAAGATCGGCACCATGCCACATAACTCCTTACTACTGCTTAGGAATCTCCGAAGGATGGTCCCGAGAATGCAGGCTCCTTTTGCTAACTCCTAACTCTTATGGCTGACTGTGGCACACATCCAATTTTGGCCCAAGGAGCTGTGAGCCTTGTAGTGAGTTTGGGGGGATTTGGAAAAAGCACATGAACTGAATGCTAATTACCTAAACCTTAGCACCAGTTGTATTCTCACATGATACTACCACTAGATGCTTCCTACATTACTGCTGTCTGAAAGTGTGCCAGCTTTGGCCTCTGGAGCAGAGACAAGTGTCCTGCTAACACCACCTATTACATGTTGGACTGAAATGGCTGTAGTAACCTGCATCATGGATTTCGTGATGTCTGGCCATTACACAGCCCTTGGATGGAAACATGCCCAGCATCTTAAAGATAAGTGGATCTGAAGAATTTAAGTGACCCATTCCAGCTGATTTTCAAGTTTATTATTTTGCTTCATTTGTCTGGAGAAGTAAAAGAAAATTTGTATTTGTTTTTGGATAATTTAAGGATCTCCACAGTTAAAATGTGTGTGCAACAGATGTTTGGTGTATGTGGGTGGCCATATATCGACTTTCTATTTAAGATTTATTTGGAAAACAGTGAGTTACCCATAGCGTTTAACAGACAGCGTCTCACTCATCTGAAATAACCAAATTCTAGAATGTACAAGTTTGACACTAAAAGGCTATAATTGTTCATACCATTGTGGCCAACATCATGTCATTGTCTGCCTCAGCTTTCTTCTTGTTCAGTTCCTGCTCGGCTGTTGTTAGTTGCTCCATCATATTGTTCACCTCTGTGTCCAGCTTCTGAGTCTCTGCAAATGCCTTCTCAGCTTCCTCTTTTGTTTTGGCAGAGCCCTGGAAAACATCACAGACTTACCAAAACTGTCACCAAAGTATAAGTACATATAGCAGTGGTTCTCAAACTGTAGTGCAGGTACCACAGTAAATAGATCTATTGGTGGTATGAGGGGTCTGCTGCAGATCCAGTTTAATTTAGAGTCAGTTATTTATGCAAATGTCTTTACTTTATCTCAGTCCTCATTAAAATTACAAACAAGTGAAAGAGTAATGCCACTCTCCTTTGCACTGAAGGTATTGAACATGTCAAACCGTTGTCAGGAAGTGGATACCGCTTACGAGCAAGTGTACGTATTTTGTAGATAAATTGTACATTTTTATTATCATTTCATGTATTAAATATATATTTTTAGTCTACTTCTACACCATATGCCATATTTAAAGTCCACGCCCATGCCAGAGTTGTTATGATTTTATATAAGCTTTGATGAAGACCGTTATAGGCTGAAATATGTTGGCTTTGCCCAAGTAAATAAAGGCATTTTAATTATACATCCCTTGTGAAGGATCCTGATTTTAACAAGAGCACCAAGTTTCACTGATTGGAACACCTGTAGCAAACAGTCACATCTTAGTTTTGTGGTTTTCTTTGTGCCTGCCACCCATTCCTCAATTATTATTTTGGCCGATTTTTTGTAGAGCTTGGCTCATGTGACCTTGCAGAATAAGGGCAGAAGAGAAAGGAAAGCTGGTCTTGTGCAGCCTACATAGGGGCTTTGTCAAACGTCACACCACTTTTTTAGCTTTTTTTTTTTTAACAAACTGGCTATTGACTTATGTAAAAGTATGATTACTACCAGTCCAAACAAAAATAAAAGATAAAAATAATAATCAGAAAAACATGCAAATCATATACTATATCCATATTAACCATAAGTCATGGCATATCACTATTTTAGCGATCTAGTCCTCGGTTAAACAGGGTGTAGTTTTGTTACTGGCCTGGTTCAGATTTGGAGAAAGTCAAAGCCAGACAGATGAGAAGAGTTTCAGAACCACTGACAGATATAACACTCAGAATTAGAGTGCTGTAATTTGAACATCCAGTACATACTTTCTGGACATCGCTGGCAATCCTCTCAGCCTCCTCAGCCTTGCTTTTGGCCACTTTGGCATCAGATGCAGCATTACCCAGAGCAGCTTCCGCCTGGTGCGTCTTCTCATTAGCAGCATTGATGGTGGCATTGATTAAAGGAATCTTCTGCAAAGCCTCCTCCGCTGCAGTCTTGTTGTCATTCACTCTCTTATCAAAATCTGAAAACAGTTATCACCTAGGTTTGTACTGGTTCACTTTTACCAAACACAACCACTTTTACACTTAGTTAACAATGAAGTCATCCATAAATGTTTACAAAGACACTTTTAGTATTGCACCATTTGAAAATTAAAACATTTGGACAGGGTTTTATACAAGATCAAGAAAGCACATTTACCTCTGAGGTCATCTAAGATGTTTTCTGCTTCTCTGAATGTGGACTGGCCTTTTTTGGCAGCTTCTTCAGCAAGAGCTTTAGCTGCATCAGCACGAGCAAGAAGCTGGTCAGCAGTCTGCACAAGAGCACACACTAAGTTAAATGCGTGCACGGATCACACTGTGAAATCCAAAAATTTGCACGGGATTAAGTGGTGATAATGATGTCGACTTCAGTAGTTTTAATTAGTCAGGGTTTATGTAGTATTCATAATTGTCTGGTCATGGAATTCACTTTTTCTGAAAAATTGTCTCTCCATGGGCAGATTCAAGAGCTCAGATCAGAAGCATGACCTGGTTAGTAATTCCCAACAAAAACCTAAGCCTTAATACCATACTAAATAGTTTTGGGTACAGAAACAGAAAAAAAATAATGTTCAGTATTCAGACAATTGATTTGAAACTCATGTAGATTTAGAGATAATGGGATGGTTCAGGACTCACCTGCTGCTCACTCTTGCCTTTATCGAGCAGTTTACGCACTTCCTGCTCTTTTCCTCTCAGATCGTCACGAAGATCATTATACTCCTTCTCAGTTTTATCTATCAGTTTGTCCAGGTCTGATGCCTCTTTTTTAATCTTGATTGCTTCGTCCTATGAACACAGTCAGTACATATTATAATAATATAATATATATATAGGTATTAAATACAATAAAGTCACTAAAGCAGAAGTCAAAACAATGTGCTTGTGGAAATAATAATAATGGAGGTCAGTCATACAACAGTACAGCCATTTGTTAAGAAGTGTCTGTGTTCAACTAATGATGACTTGCCTCCAAGGCTTTTGTGTCGAAGGGTGGTAGAGTGGTCAGGTTGGCAAAGATCCTCAGAGCTCGATCAGATGCCTCCTCTGCTTCAGCCTGGACTTTGTTGGCCTGCTTCTCGAGGTTTTTAGCCATTTCTTTAGCATCGTTATACCTTAGCACAACACAATTTCAGTACTGCAGTTGTAACACAAGTGTTAAATTACACATTTCAGTACTTTTTGTTCAGCTGGTCAATCTCCTGGCTCGTCTTCATTTCTCCATCTAGTGTTTTCAGCAGAAGGTTGTAGGCTTTGGTTGATGTGTCATTGGCTTCTTTGGCAATCTTCTCAATCTGATCAGCTGCCATTTTGTGCCTAATAAAGTAATTAATAAATTGAATTTATGATACCTGTTAAAAAAATAACACATGTGAACTCTTGATCTAGTTTCTCACTTTTCAGCCAAGTTGCGTGCTTCTTCAGCCAACAGTGTCATGTTATTGGGGTCTCCACCTCCACTGGGGGGCTTAATGTCCTGCACAGACAAATCTATTACTACTAGGTGTTGCAATTGCAGTTTCCTTTATAATTTGATGTGATACATGGCACATGGCTCAAAATATATATTTTTCCAAGGCTTTAGGCTGACTTATAACAGGCAGAGACAATGTAGGCACTAAAGGTTAAGACGGTGTTCTGTACGCGTCCCTACTGCATGCACATACATAAAGGTTTACTTTCTCTAAATAGGTACCAAAAATTGCAGTGCTGCCACAACTACCAAAAATATTTATGGCAATACATCAATAGAACAGCCTGTGATATTCATATTGTATAAAAAAAACTGAAGGTACTAGACTCACACCTAATTACTACACTGTTCATAACATCAGCCTTAGCGCTTTTCTATGCACATTTTATTATTTCTTGCTGAACATTTGTATTGTTTACCACTTTGCTGATTGCATCCTTGGCTTTGTCTAGCTCCTGGCGAGCTCGATCAATGAGATTCTCAGCATCTCTGACCCGCGCTCGGGCCTTGTCAGCTTGTGTACCCGTCTCATCCACAGTGTTCCTGATGTTTTGGAGACGGTTCCACTGCGTTGTCAACGTTATATTAATGGCATTCAGACGATCCAGGAGGCCTCGGTCAACCTCTGAGAACATTCAAAACCATCTCACTATTACACATGTGTAACAATCACTGAATAACTTGTAATATATGGCACCTTTCACAATGCTCAAACATGCACATACACACTCTTGCTCATGGCTAAAATGTTAGCTATCAGTTAACTCTTCACTGCTTCTTGTAGGTAGGGTCCCACCTTTGCTGGTCTGGGCCTCTTCTAATAGCTCTGTAATCGCCCGTTCAGCCTCTTTGAGGCGCTCTTCAAAGGCCTTGTCACTGACTGTCTCCTGACCCGAGCTTAGGTTGTCAATGAGCGTCTGGAGATCATGAAGCTTCTGCCGCTGCTGGTTCACCTGGAAATGCAAAATATACCATAGGTTAGTCAATATCAACATTTGATACATCAGCACAAATTCAATATGTCAGATGGTCAAGCATTTGCGGCTGTCTGTGTTTGTGTATAGCCAACAAACTTACAATGTACATAGATGACATCTGTGAGGTCCTAAAAACATACATTTGTTGTATTTTGTTTTACTAACAATACTTGTCTCTTCTGCTCTAGCTGCAAGTATGTGAAGGGCTAAGATTGTGGATAAGCTGTCAAGAGGTTAGGCTTTCTTTTTTTGAGAGCACGTTGTCAGAAGTAGAGAGGCAGAATGGTGATCACTACAAATTCAATTCCATGGGCAATGGATATAGAGCGCAAGAATGATTTAACCAGAGTTTATACAGAGAAAGAAGATAAAAATGTATATAGGCTACAGATGTTTTACATGTTGAAACTGGAAGAAAAGTACATTCGTAAAAAACTGCTGCACTAAACAAAAAAAAGCTCTGAATGATACCACTTCTGAATGCCTAACCCTATTTGCATATATTTCACTCACCTTGTCACGGACAAGGCTGTAGCAGGATGGACACTGCTGGCAGCCAGGAACAGAGCGGTTGTAGAAGTAGTTTTCTTCACACATGTCACATCGAGCACCAACAAATCCAGGCTTACACTCACAGCGGCCATCCTCCTTACACTGGCCTGACAGGGAGCCCTCAGGGTCGCAGTCACATGCTGAAAATACAGGGCTGCAGCTGTAAGGAATATTCTGTTTTTGATTATTCTTCCACAATCTATGCCTTACGTTTGCATCCAGATGAACTGAAACCGAAGAAGTTTACTTCACACTGCTGACATTGAAGACCTGTGACGCCTGGCTGACACTCACACTGACCAGAGACCACGTCACACTGCCCGTTAGTGGAGCCAATGGGATTACAGTTACATCTGAAGATAGAGAGATATGAAAGACGGAATAACAACTTTAATCACATAACAATGCCATCTGCCAATTTTCTTTGAAGGATTATTATGATGCTAGAAGAGCTAACCGTTCACAGCCTTCGCCACTGTGCAGATTGTAAAAGCCCGGCTCACATGCACTGCAGTCCCTTCCTGCAACATTGGGTAAACACTGACACTGGCCTGTGACCTGGGAGCAGCTGGTCTGCTGGTCCACGGTGCCCAATGGGAAGCATGCACACGCTGAGAAGAAGAAACAGGAAGAGTTAGCTTGGCTTCTTGACTGCAGAACTAAGTAACAGCTTCTGTTCTTGGTGTTACTAATGCTGTAAGTTTTTTATGGAAGCATCATTAATATGTGTTAATATATTTTCTCATATGTTAAGGGTCCTTAATATGTTACGTCTTTATCTAGAAACTGTAAATTTAATCCAGTTTGTACTTACGTTTACATTTGTCATTAGGGTTGGCAGCCAGGGCATTCCCATAGAAGCCATCTTTACATCGGTCACAGAATAACCCCGCTGTGTTGTAGATGCATTTGAGACATTCCCCGGTTTCACGGTGACAATTTCCCACAGCGTTCGGATCAATGTTGTCACTGCATTTGCAGGCACGGCAAGCTCTGACCGGACCGTCTTGCCCCAGAGGGTCTCCAAAAAAACCATCATCACACAACTCACAGCGTTTTCCTATATACAGAGGAATTTTGATTAAGACCATTATTTATAATTAAATATATTTAAAAAGGGGATATTTCACCCCTTAACAAATAGACCACCATCTTTTATTAATTTTATTATATTTTAATTATTGCATATCTTTAAAACAGCTATTTCAAAATTACCTATTGCTCAGTGTACTGGCATGAGTGTGGTCCTGGTTACACTCACCTGTGGTGCCAGCAGGGCAGTTGGTGCATACCACCTCTCTGGTTTTGGGGACTACAGCACAAGTAGCTCCACTGGGACAGGGGCATGGCTGACAGTCTGCGGCAGTGCCTCCAGTGGCGTCTCCATAAAAACCGTCTTTACAGCGCTCACAGCTCAGGCCTGCTGTGTTGTGCTCACACTTGCATGCTCCTGGAAACAACACATTTTTGGATATTTTAGATTTTAAACTTTCAGTGTGGCCTGTTGCATACATATATATTATATTCTTTTGTTTTCATAGGTACACATTAACACTAGGCCAACTAGCAAAAGCTGTTCAGTTTTCATTTTGGCAGCATATGTCAACACATTATTATAATTAAATGGATTCCCTGGTGGCAGGGTTGTATCAGGTCAAGTCACATTCAAGTCTCCATTTTTTGAGTCCAAGCAACTTAACACTCAAATCAAGTCATGGGCCACTGCCTTCTGAAACATACCAGTCTAAGTTGAATCCCAAATCATCAGTCATTATGACGAAGTTGAGTAATAATTCCTGGAAATGACTTAATACTCAGATTCTACATCTGTGCTTAGGGGTGTGTCCCCACCACAAAAATAAATTGGGTGAAACAAATCCTAGACATTTGATCAGTTTCTATATAACACTGCCCACTGTTTCTCATAATGTCTGTCACTGTACCTGAATCAGGGTTACAAGTCTGGCTGTGGCCATGGCAATTGCAGGGTTCACACTGACTGAAGGCTCCAAGTTGGGGCTGAGCACGGCGGTATCCCACAATGCACCTCTCACAGTGCTGACCCTCATACCCCTGAGGACAAGTGCAGGACTCCACCCATTGAGCCGCTTCACCAGGGCCCCGCCGAGCTGTCACCAACTGCACGTTGTCCAGGTATCCAGCACCTGTCCACACAAAAAGCCTTCACTGTCTTCACATTCTAGCATTTCATAATGTCATGAACAAACCTTGTGAAATCATTCACAAATGTTCAACCTTCTCATTGTTTGTTTGGGATGTGCTCCACACATTGTGTTATTTTTTGTGATTCTTTGGAGGTGAATAATGACTACATTCTGAAACTAAAAATAGTAATTTTAGGCTAGAAGGAGGAGGAGACAAATCTACCAACTTAGTTAAGAAATGAATAATGGAATAGAATATAACATTTAACATAAATATAACATTTTTCACCTTAGTAGTGACGTAGTATGATCAGTTCTTTAATTAAGAGCATAATCATGTTATGACACTAATGTTTCAAACACTGTGTATCATGTATTATTTACTAAAATAAGTAAATAATACATTTTTGTTTTTTATTTGTAAAAGCAGTGATATCAGAAAAAAGACTCCAGGCAGGGCAGAGGGAGAAGAATGATATGGAACCACTACAGGAGCACTGGAGAGGAAGAAGGGTGAGAGAGTGGATGTAGACAAGGGTCAAGGGAGGAAGGAGAGCGGACTTTCCATTTCATTAGTTAATTTGGTGGTTGGAAGTGAAATAACTGTCTTTGTAAAAAAAAAAAAAAAAAGAAAAAAGTAGCATCAGTTTTTATCTGACAAAAACAGCTTTCAGCAGTGTTGACAAATTGTCAACTCACCCAGTTTTTCCTCAACTCCATGCATTTGGTGGGTGTGTAATTTTTTTTTTTTTTTTAAAGAAATATGACTATTGCAATTCAGTTTATATGGTTTAAGCAGTAACATTAACATTTCCTAATGTGAGTTACTTATTTGCAGAAATGTAATTATATTAAATAAATTAGGAAATATGCAAAAAGTTTATTTTAAATCCTTTGCATCACTATGCAGCTCAGATCTTACTTATGAAAGTAGAATGTTGAAAAAAATCATTTTCAAATCTTATATTGTTCCAGCTCTCAAGAATAATCGATAATGCATATAAAAAGCAGCGAGCCATCACCAACCTCTCAGCCCTTTTTTCAGTTTTTAGAAAAAATACGTTGTTTAACTGACAGTGGAGTGTGTTATAAGGTGTTAGTGAGATAACCCAGGAAGTGCAGGGAGAGAGGAGGAGAGGAGAGGACTGGAGTGACAGAGAACAAAGGAGCTCATCCAGGTTTAGTGTAATCATTTCAATAATAAAAATTAAAAGTGATAAACATATATTGTATATTGAGTATATTGTAATAATCTGTAGTGATGCATGTGGGGATTTTCACAGCAAAATTTAAAGCATAAAACACAATTTTTTTAAAAAATATATATTTAGGTTTTTAAAGCATACAATGAAAACATCTTAATTTGTCATTTTATAACTCTGTCAACACATAAAAACAATTCACAATACAATATATTTTAAAAATCAATAAAAATCATGTAACCAAAACTGAACTGATCTGATCTTGTCTTGTGTTTCTTCTTCTCAAAATTTTATCTCATCCTGCTCCTATTAACTGCTTATAAGCAAATGGTTTTGAACCAAAATATACATAAGTAATATCAACAATATCTTGTCTTTGGAGATTTGGGGGAAAATACATAGTTTTGTTCAGTACTTACTCTTGTCGCTGTATGTGCCTCGGATTTTGATGCTTGTCAAGTTATGAAGCAGTCTCTGAAAATCCGAGTGACTAATGGCGGGTCTCCATGGATAGTCTGCACTGTCATGGAGCCTGAAACACAGTACAGCGGACAGTAACAGTCATTTGCTTCTCATTTCCTAATGACCTACTCAGACGTGGATAGTACTCAGTTACATTTACAAACATACATACATTTACTTTTAACTTTTTAAAGAAACTGTACTTTTCTTCTAGCCGTTAGTCCCACTTACTTTTTCACTGAAGCAAAAATAAATCAATAAAAAATACACTCACACTCACACTATATATATATACATCAGGTTTTAAGTTTGAAAATATTTATTGTATAATAAAGGTTTTTAATATTTTGATATTATCATACACCTCAATGAATTGTACCCTTTGATGGTTACTCATCCAACTGTGAATACTTCTGCCTTGATACCAGCAGCTCCCTTTCTCCGCAGTTTTTTAAATGATATTCTTACTTAAGTAAAAAATGTGGTTACTCATCCAACTGTGAATAGGTCTAGAAGTGACAAAAGATTTTGTGCATTATTTTCTATTGTCCTTCTATTATATTAACTTTAAATGAGAAGTCAGATGTGTATAAGTAATTTCTTAGATTACTATTTTGAACTTCAAGTTGAGTAATATTATTTTATGTAACATTATTCTTATTAAAAGTACAGTTTTTGGCTAGCCTACCCACCTGACCTTACTTTGAATCTATTTAAACTTGTTACATGTGTGCCCACCTGAAGATATAAGTCTGCATGTGATCACTGGGATAAGCGTTTCCCTGAGCAATCAACGGCACAGCTACTCTCAAACCAGCTCCCTCGAGGACCAGATCTTCAGCCGACAGTCTGGTGTCTCTGCGGTCCACCCGGAAACTTAGGCTCAGGTTCTGCCCATAGCTTAGTAGCTGGTTCCCCAAGAATTTTTCTATAGGAAGGGAAAAGGAGCACAACATTTATCAAAATCAAGAAACAGCATAGCACTGACATACTGAACACTGGAACTGCATGAGTGTCCAATCATTATGTCCATGATATCATATCCTACAAGAATATTAACAGTATACAGGTGATGTGATGTTCAGGAACAAGTCGGCTGTTTGGTTCCTTAATGTGAACGGTTGAATCTCATTTTACAAAAGAACCAATTCATTTTCTTTGTATGCATTTTAATACTGATAAATACCAAACCACCAGAAGAAGTAGAACATAAGCATAGCAGGCAACATGAATGAGACCTTATTACACACACACAAAAATTAAACATTATAACTTTAAGTTTATTTTATTTTATTATTATAATTTTTTTCAAATAAATAAATAAATAGCAAAAAAGCCAGTCTTTGGAATGTCTCTAACATGAATGGATTCAAAATATTCAGATCCCACGCAAGAGCCAAAAGTCCCATCACGAGGCAAACTATATAAAGGCACTTTTTTGGAACTTTCTGAAAAAACTATCCTTGTCAATCGACTGATGAGAAGATTAACCGGAGAATTCTATAATCACTGATGCAATTCCACCCCCAAACTCTTGGCAGCATTAGACCTATTCCATCAATACAACTTAATGGGAGAAGAAACAGACCTGTGGAGGACTTTTTTTTTTTTTTTACGGTCTATGCTTGAAATGCTTGAACATTACCATTCATGGAGTCGGATTCCATATTTGAAAGAAGGTACTGGTTGACTGTTCAAATGTATTTGCACTGTACTGAATTAATCATTTGTGTGCTTGGATGTACTTTGTACTTGGCCCCTGAATGTAACATGTGGCCCCTTAATGACCCCTGTTTCAGGAAAAATCCTACAACCAGCACTGATTAAGAAAGTTACTTGTAACCCGGGTGATTTTCGGTGAAGCCTAATGCCACTTTTCTTGTAGGGGTTTGAATCATTTTTCAATTGAGGTTTTATACTGGAGAGTCTATCACCTTCTTGCTACTTCTCTACCTTTCCAAATGCCTGAAATTAAATAAATGAATGTGAGCAAATATTTGTCTCACTTCTAAGTTTTATACAATTTTGTACTACATTCAGAAGTAATTCTGACATCTCCATGGAGAATATTTAGAGATCCTCCATCTAGAGGAGACCCATGTGTATTCTTCAATTTTATTTAATTTAGACTTGTGTTTAAATAAAATCTGTTCCACTACAACTTTTTTAGTTTACCTGGTGCCATAAAGTACATGGGAAAGTAGTCTTCAGATATGAGAGAGATCTCCTGACCACTGGTCCATTGTACAGGAACAGCCAAGCCATCTCTCTGCTGAGCCACCCATTCCTCTGTGTCTGCCACACAAAGAAAAAGAAAAATTATGCATCTTAGTCTTGACATTTATCTAATACAAGTAATAATTATAATTACATCCAGGTCTCGATGAAATCTGTGAATACATAACAGCACAAAGCAGCACTAAAGCTAAAAACTATGGTACTTCACATCAAAGTTGCAGGGAAGGAGCCCATAAGTGTACCTGTGTCAAAGGTGGAGGAGATGGTGTGGATGCTGTAGCCCTTGGCGCTGTCACACACGGAGGAGTGCTGGAAGCAGAAACAAGGGGTGCAGCCCTGGGGATTGTTGTGGTCCAGATTAAAGTAGCCCAGTTTACATCTGCAAAACCAAAAACATGTTTAGTGTTTATACAACTGTCTACTAGTTTAATACAAGCAAAAAACATGGGACAGCATCAACATGTGTTAGCACAGCATATGTAAATGTGCCAGAGTTTGCCATGCAAGGTCATTTTGATCCATAGTCCCATTGGGAGATTGATGGCAAGACAAAAAAACAGGAGACAGGCACAATAACATTCAGTCCAACACACATGACAAAAGACAAGATCAGTGATTATTACTGTAGTCATACTGGTAAAATTAGAACATGCTAAAAGCACACACAGCACACAGATTAAAGTCAACAGACACAGATCACAAAAACACAACAAGACAGAGACATTTGCACTGTGATGTTAAAACACAAACAGATTAGTCAATGTTCTGTTCACATGTCTAATTGTCTAGAAGCTAATGTTTCACAGATCTACTACATTTCTCTAGTCACATTTGTAAAACTTTTGGAATTTGTTTTGCATTTATAATAAATCATTTGTGATATACCTGTCACAGCTGAAACCTTCCACATGGTCCTTGCAGCGACACTGGCCTGTGTTAACATCACACTCTTGGGTACTGCCTGAAGGAGAGCAGGAGCAGGATCTGGAATAGCACACAGTCAATATATTCATCCATACTGTACAGGGAAACAAACTCCACTAAATTCACCTACATTTTTATATGTTATAGTATAATTAAAAACACTTATTCATAATATTATGCAGAATATTATTGTGACAGAAATACAGAAACAAACAGAAATCACTTTTTTGCAAATAAAATGTCTATGAAGCTTGGAAAGTTGTTTACTAAAAATATAAATCACTGTCACACACTTAATGAAGATGGAAGTCTGGTCACCTGTGAATCCCCCAGTTTTTAAATGGGTGTGATTGATAGGTGGATTAGCCAATCAGGGAAGCACATGGTCCATCCGTATCAGAAAAAATTGAAAAAAATGATCACAGGGGAAGCTCTAAACTCCATTCATTTGAGGTGAAATAAATTTGATCCTGATATGTGACCAGAGAACAATCATATTTTGTTGGGCTTGAGACGCAATGGAGGGCATGGGGCCAGAGTGATATCAATCTGTATAAACCCTGTATAAATAATATCCAAACTAGATACTCATTTGAGCATGTATTAATACTGCCAAAAAAAAAAAAAAAAAAATCACACTGTGGACAAAATTTTAGCTTTCCTGAGCAGTTTTCATATGATTTTGAGCTTGATTCAAACAAAACTAAGGCATGATGCCAAGATAAAGAAAGCACTGTTATTTTCTATATAATAATTACATTCCATTACTAAAATACATTGTGCTATCATAATCAGTAAAGAGTCATGAGTGAATTCCTTAGAATTGAAATAGAGTTTGAAATTTTTGTATCGTGACAAGTCTTGATTAGTCTGTACCTTGGCACTAAATTGTAACTTTTCAAAACATGGAGATGCTTGGATACTACTGGCCAAGTCACATCTTGATAATGAAGTACAATGGTAAGAATACGCCACAAGACTATGCCATTTACCGGCAGCCAGCCTCCGTAAGGCTGTGGAATCCTGGTTGGCAGCGATCACACTTCTCCCCCGTAACTCCAGTCTTACAGGAGCACACTCCTCGGTCATCACACTGTGGGGACTCAGAACCTGAGCAGCAACATAACAAAGATAATATGAATCACACTAAACCCATTTCAACTCTAAATCTGAATGTGTGTCTCAAGGAGGTATATGATACAGGTTTAGTAAAGGTGACAAAATACCCAACTCGACTTTTTAAGTAAAAGTACACATGAGTTTACTGTAATGTCAGTGCTCTCCAATTGCCTGTCACAACAGAACATTTTGAAAAATGAACAGTAAGGATTTTAGGCTCAATTGTCATTGAAGAAAAGTAAACTGTATGTTGCACAAGTGGGGAACTTTTTGTTTAAAAGGACTCTAGCAACATCTGTAAGCAGTAAATTGTTTTAATGATGTACCCCAGGATATTTTAAGTACAAAACACATGGTTCAACAGTGTCTAAATATTACATAGATATTAGGTATTTTTTTGCACAAGTGTATTACACTTGAGAATGTGTAATGGAGCCAGGCCAACTCACCGATGGAGTTGCATCCACAGGGCAAGCAGCGGCTCCCGGTGTGGTCACGGTGGTAGTTGTCCAGGCAGCGTTCACAGTTGGGCCCATCGGTGTTGTCTGCACAGTTCAGGCAGTGTCCTCCATGGCCCGTGGCTCGGTACAGCTCTGCATCAAAGTAGCACTCGACACTCTTCCCATTACAGTTACAGGCTGAAATAAAAACACAGTATCATTTGATACGTGTGTATTTATGACTTCTTAATATTAAAAGGGGCACCAGGGAATATTAGCCAGTAAAATTCAGTACAAAAATGTATCCATAACCTTGTTTTACTACAGACTGGATAAAAGAACAGTGTAGTCACATTTTTAACATTTATGACATTTACAGTGACACCAGTTCCCATTGCGCACCACACTTTTTAAAGCGGAAATTGGTGGACCCTTTTTATTAAGTTGTTTTAAAGATAAATATTCTGATATAAAATGTCCAAATTATAATATAATGATCCACGAGTGGCATAAATTATAACTATATAGCACACAAGCACAGTGGCCCTCAGTTACTATCACTGAGGTGAAAAGGGTGTATATTTGAGTTTATAATTTTTTGTGCCGTATGCACAAGCAGCGAGTGATAAATGTGGCAGAGGAAAACCACCAACATTTTCAAGTACCCTCACCCCTAGGATTTTTGGCATTAAAGGTGTGGAATATGGTAAAATGCTGTGGAAATCATGAAGAATTACATAAAAAGCTGAAATATGTTGTTATAGCTCATTTTAAAATGCAGTAAATGTGTGATTTGCAGAAAACAAATCTTAACCCTAAATATATCCTACACTTGTCATTTATAAATTCATCTTCCAAATCACTCTAATAGCCTTGCCTGAACCAGCGGAGAGCAGCTCTGCTTCAGGCTCAGATGAGTTTGAGCAGGGATTGGTGTTACCTGCCATTCCATCTGTGCGCTCCGTGTGGTCATGGGCAGTTTTGATCAATCCTGTAGAGTATCTTGTTTTTGGCGTACACAAAATATACGCATATATTTAGCCGTATGGCAGTTTTATAAATGAGGGCCAATATGTCTTTTTTAAGAACACTAGTTAGTGAACACTAAGCCTTGTGTTTCCACTGGCTCGCTTTGGAGTGGACTGGTACAGGCTTGTACTGCCTGACCCTGAAGGATCCTAACTCCTAGAGAGTGGGATCACAGCGGTACGGCTGTATGCACAATAAACGAACAAACGATGATGATTAAAAAAGAGCATGCAGACTCAGGTGAAAACAAGACGGCAAAAAAACTCTACAAAAAAAACAACAACAAAAAACTAAGCAGCTAACATCAGACATTTTATTTCCCATGCGTGGTGCGTCATGCATCTAACATGAGCCAAACTCAGTGCATTATATACAGAAAGGTTATAACATGGTGTAGAGAGAAATTCAATAAATGCAGAATAAAAATGGCATTAAATCAGGAGAACTTTTGTATTTATGCTAGCTTCAGCTTTAGCCTCATTTGTTAGCGCCACAAACTTAGAATTACTAAACATCTTTTTGTGGAATGCTGAAGTCAATCAATCAATTAATCTTATGATTAAAAGTATAATTCAGATATGATTTAGACTTTATTTATTAAAACATTTATAATGTTTTAATAAATGTTGTAAAGATGAGTTGAGTTTCCAGCTCGTCTGTAGGTTTGGGCACCAAACAGACACCAAGACGGCCCCAAGCAAACTGTACCAACAGAAACGAGCTTTTGTCAAGTACTCACACAGACACTCATTGGCGTTATCGGCAGTGGCTCGTCTCCATGGCCGGTCGTTGTAGAAGGGTTTGCAGAGTTCACAGTCCGCCCCCTCCGTGTTGTGCTTACAGTTACACACCAGGCTTCCTCCGCTGTTCTTGATGCACTCGCTGGCATGACCATTGCACTTACACCTGTACACATACATACAAAAGTCTGTAGCAGTAGTGTGAGGTCAGGTAAACATTTACTTTTCACAGTGTCTTTGGCTGGCTTCCCCCATACAGAGTAAAGCCAGTTATAGAGGGAGCCAGGCCCGAGTCTACAGGGCTTCACAAGGCCCACTGCAACCTCAGATCAAATGTTTGCACCCTCATTTTAAGCACCTAAAATAATGTCACTTAATGAATAATGAAAGCATATTATTTTTGCACCCCTTTAAACCTCAAATGCACTCTCAGTCAGTTTGGTGTGCACCCAGGCCTGCTGGAGGTATTGTGGTGACTGCTGTGCCACAGAAATTTGGACTTGAAAATGGCTAAATCATTGGAGATCTCTGGTGGTGGTGGGGGAAAGAACCAGTGTGTCAAGTTGTTCATCAAAATTTAAGTCGCATAACTTTTAGCCACTAAATATAGAGTGTGGTTGTATATTTGGAGACATGGGCCATTGAGCTCCATCCCTTGACTTAAACAGTTGGCCATTTTCAGACCCCAGGGTTTGGGTCTAGTCCTGCCCAGTATTGTGTTGTTGTGTGTTGTGTTGGACATATACCGTGTGCATTAATGATAAAGTAAGCCTTGTACTTGTATTTGTACTAGTAATATATGTATCATCATTATGTGTATTTATTCAGACATCAAATGTAGTTACAGTTTAAGTTCAGTTTATGCAACCAGGAGGCATCATAATAGCACGTGTTTTCCAACGTAATATATTTCTGTGTGCTATTTATACCTGGTATTTACCATAATGTTAGTTATGAGTGTGCAAGCTATATTTACATGTTTTCCACATTTATATCGCACTTTTATGTAATGTTTTGACTTCAGGGAGCATTGTACAGCGTTTTTATGCCCGCCTCCACTAAATAATATTCATGACATTATAACTTGTCATTAAATCCAACATTGCAGTAAATTTTTCTGACCAAAAGAGGACACTATTCAGCCACTACTACCTGTCTCGCTACAGTCATGCTTGCTTATTTGCCTGTATCATGATTCATTTTAATTAATTGTTTCTTTTTTTTTTTTTTTTGTACAGACATGTTTGCACAAACCGCTGCTGTTCAACTGTCATGTCTGGATTGGATCAAGTCTCCTCTGCCTTCTACCAGAGGATAGGAAAATATAGCTACAACCCCCAAGTACTTGGCACATATAAATGTTTCCCCCACTGTACTTTTAAGTAATTCAAATGAAAATCTGACTTGTAATTTCAAATTTTACCATTTTATCAATAACAGAAAGCCTTAAAAAAATCAGTTGCCTTATAAATAGCTTACTCAGATTCAGTAGTTTAAATACCTTAAAACAGTGTTTCTCAGACTTTTCACAGTACCACAAAGGAAAAGTTTTGGCTTTAAAAGTATCACCAGATGCAAAACAGGTCTGAAACAGGTCTACTCCAGATCTAATCTAGGACTAAACCAGAACCAAAAGTGGACTATATTATTTCCACCGTAGACCACAAATTATCTAAAGGAGAACAAAAACATAGATCAAATTAACTCTTAAATTTGGCAAACCCACAAACTGAAGAGCTGTTCACCAGTGGTACACACTAATTTGAGAAACACTGGCTTAAAAATAACATGGAGTAACTGATTATTTTTAAGAAGATGGATGAGGTCAGTCTTTGCTTAAGCATAATACTTCAAAATGTAGCGGTTAACATGAAAACTACCACAACACAAGTTGGAACAGAGCATTTTGACTGGGAAAGGATTACTCAAACTCAATGTGTGGATGGAACAAAACACAACCCCAGGTATGTTTTTGTTTCAAGCTCATAAGAGTAAATTTTGTGAAATATAGGACTTTTAATAAAAATAAAATCACAAAATAATATCACCAATAGAACTTTTCGTGAAAGGATCTGATTTTCAGCAGCTTATTGCCCAGGCGTACATCAAATTAAATGCAAGTCCTAGTTCTAGAAATGAAACGATGCTAAATTAAGGGGTACTGAAATGCAGCCTTGTTGTTAGTTCCGATGTCGTTCTTTGTGCTGAGAAAACAGATGCTTCTGGCCTGAGGGAGCAGGAGCGGCCCCTCTGGGTGAGCGGCCCCTCTGGGACACGATGGAGCATGTTTACTGCTTATTGTCTCCGGTGTCTTTGGCAGAGCTGGTTGGAAACTGGTCGTTAGACAAAGGCTTCTTACAGCGATGGATTTATGACTCTTTACTCAGAGCTCAATGTTAGGGATTTATACAAATTCTTCAAAAGCGTGGCACTTGTTTTTTTAAGAAGTTGTTGTTAAAAACAACACACACATTTTTGGAAGGAAGGAATAAAAGTGTTTGATAATCATAATTTCTTAAGTTGGCTGCACTGAACACAGCCATTCCACATATTTGTTATAGGTATAGATATAGATTAGTTATATAGTTATATATATAGTTATAGTTATAATGCCTAACAGAGACACTACTGATGTGGTCATTTGTTGCAGACAGCTTTCATCAACCTTTGTTTGAAAACTGAACTGTAATTATTGGGGTAGGCCAGTGTGCCAACCTCTAAACATTGCGAGAGCAGGTTCTTTAAGTTGAGTTCACTACAGACCACTAGCTAGTGCACACATTATTTGTAGAGTCTAACTCCTTGAGCAATCAGGCTGAAGACAGGACAGAGCAAAAACAACTATGTATAGAAGATTTTGAGATAAGTTTCCAAAAGGTGAGGGTCTTTCTACAGTCACAACCCCCCCAGAGAACGACTTCTGGGCCTGTCAACTTTTATTTCAGGTAGGGCACTAGAAAACAAAACAAAAACTTTACCTTATTAAACATTCAACTTCAACTAAGTCCAACTCAGAGTCAGAGAGTGTGCTCACAGGAAACCCTGGCAATGTTTTTGTATGTGATTATATTGCCTTATTTTAGTAAAGATGGAAAAAAAACTCACTTTTGAGTTCTTTGACTGTATTCTCACAAGGAAGCTGCAGGGGAAGCTCCAACGCTAGAGTTACTTAGTACTGCTTTAAAAACAGTCACAAAAACCTAGAGCAGTGTTAATTCTTGGTATAGGAAAGAATGGTGTAGCCTTAGATTTGGCTATATTTTGGTTTCCAGACATGACCCGAATTTAAACCTGGGTAAAATGTGAGGCGGATTTCCATTACATGCTGACATTCTTGGGATTCCTGTCCGGCAAAGCGGGATTACACCAGGGAGGAGGAACTCCGACTGAGCCAGTTCACATAGCACCTGTCAGGGTTCGCTTTGATCCCTGTCAGCAGGGTCGCAAACATCCAGCTAAAAGAGGAAGCAATCCACAAAGGGGAAAAAAAATATAATAATAAAAAAAGTTTTTGCAGTTGCATTTAACATGCTTTGAGAGTTGTAGGGGGTTCGACATATATATATGTATATATATGGACAGAATTTGTAAGTGCAGTCAGGGGCCGGAGGGGGTCGGGTTTGAGGACCAGAGGATCTCATCTCTGCTGTCCGCAGATGATGTTGTCCTGTTGGCTTCATCAAGCCAGGACCTGCCACATGCACTAGGGCGGTTTACAGCCGAGTGTGAAGTGGCTGAGATGAAGATCAACTCTTCCAAATGCAAGGACATGGTTTTCGACTGGAAATAGGTGGAGAGTCCCTGCCTCAAGTGGAGGAGTTCAATTATCTCGGGGTCTTCTTCACAAGTGAGGAGAGGATGGAGCATGAGATTGACAGGCGGATCGGTGCAGCGTTGGCAGTGATGTGGTCGCTGTATCGGACAGTTTAATTAATAAATAAATTAATTAATGCATTTATATAGTGCCTTTCAAAACACCCAAAGCGCTTTACAGTTCATTGTTCATTCACTCCTCACTCAGTGGTGGCAAGCTATTGTGGGGCAGACTGACTGAAGCAAGGCTGCCAATCCGTGCCTCTTGATTTAGTAAATCTACGTTCCTCCCCTCATCTTTGGCAATGAGCTTTGGGTAATGACCTGAAGGACAAGGTCACGGATACAAGCGGTTGAAATGAGTTTCCAGTGTTACTGATCTGTTGGGGCCGATGTCACATGGAGTGATGTGGCTGTACCTTGCAAGGACCCAGCCTTAAATCTAATATTTGATTTAATTCAAACAAAACCAAAGTAATATATACATCAGCCTGACTCTTACCTTCCCCCCACAGCGAAGTCTGAAATAGCATAGTAGTAAGACTTGAGGACCTTGGGGTCATTGAAGACTTCATCTCCAAAGGTGTTGAGTCGGTTCAGCGTCACTTTGATGTCTGTGGCGGTCACCCAGTCCTTTCAAAGACACAAAAATTTTTATTAGAACATAGTTCACTGAGATTTTGATTAACTTAATTGAACCACAACAGGAGAATTTCTTATACATACAATAGTTCTCAAATATAGCCACAAGTGTAAAGGGGTGCGGTTACAATATAATTTATTGTTTCTAATGCCATTATGCATCTGGCTACCAAATTTGGTTTATGCCAAACTTTGTGTAAGGATGTCCCATTGGCAAGGACAGATTTTTGCCGCCATGGCAACACAATGTAAATGAGGTGTGGGCATCATTGGGTTTTTAAATTGAGACCATGTCATAAATTTGTGTACTAAATTGTTTACATCTACAACAAATAAAATGTTATTGTTCCATACAAATTGTCTAGGGGTGCTATTGCACCCATTTTTGTAATTTCTTATAGCAATCTGTTCAGGGTCAGGGGGTGCACCCACGATTAAAATTTGAGTGAAATCGGCCAAAGTTTGTGTGATTTTTACCATTGGAGAGTTTATGTCATTGCTATAGCAACACTATAAAAATATGGCATGGGTGTCATTGACTTTTTTTTCGAGATTCCAAAACTGAAATTTGTGCAAAATTTCTAATTTTTTTGAAAAACTTTATATTTTTTCTCCCATATTACATTTTATTTCAATCTGTAGGGGGCGCAGATGCACTAAATTCATTTTTTTCACATTAGTAGCTTTAGGGCAGAAAGTTTAATAACTAATTTTATATGGGCAAATGGGAGCAATTTGTAAAAATTCTAAAATTCTGGACAACTTTGTTGCTTCACTGCTCAGAGACTGCAAGACGTGTGTTAAAAACTTTGATAACTTTTGATGTTTCACTCCTTGAGATAACGTGTAGTAAATTTGAGCCCATTCGGGCAAACGAGTACATAAAAGTAAGAAATATGCTGAGTCATGCTGAGCAAATTTTAATTAGTTAGAGAATCACGACTTAACAGTTGGCAAAATGTCAGGACTTTTCGCCATACTATACATAACACAACTATTGATAACAGTTGACTAATACTGATGTGCATTCTTTAAGCATATTTTGGAAAAAGCCAAAAGGCTCTAATCTTGCACAGCAAGATGGATTCTCGCAATATTTGTGAGTTCACAATCTAACGAGAATCATCATCATCTTGAGGTGCTCCCTCTTTGAGGTTTAAATCCGACCCGAGCTGGGCTTCTATGCGCAGGGGGAGGTGTTTCAGCTAAATTAGTTTAACGACATCTTCCCTCTCCAGCATGACACTTGTTTTGGTTTTACCTGGCACAAAGTTTGATAGGTTTGCCATGACTGGCTAAAAAACTATGTTGGGTGGGCACTTCGGGGTGGTTCGCTAAATCATCTCGATGCATTTTGCTGCAAGTCCCTCCTTTTTCTAAACCCTTGGATAATGTGTAAAACTCAGTTCAGTGTGATACACAGATCAGTCTAGCGTTAGCCAGGTTAAAGAGGCCCCAAATGATTAATTCTTTTCATTTCCTTCTAATTTTAGTTGCAAGTTTTTGCATTTTGATGAAGTATATAATTTTACTTCTGGGGTGGACATGGAATAGGTACTGTAGGTAATTCCATACCAATCAACCAGATTTTTAAAAGGACCAAAATGTTCCTCTTAACTGTTTTTAATCCACAAACTGACTCTTCAGTGATGTAAAACCATGATAAATACTGACCACAGATACTATCCAACCAAACCAAGCCGAAATTCAAAACAAAACATGAAAAGCTGTTATATGCACTTTAAAGCATTATGATTATGTTCTTTGGGGTCATTGAACCATCTCATAACATTGTTCCTTCAGTAAAAATGCACAGCGAGATGTGTTTAGCTCTATTCACAATAGTTTGAGTAATCTGCTTCTTGTGAGCACTCACAAAAAAATCAGTTTTACTTTTCCCACGTTTGTGACAGCACAGGTAAAAACCCGGAGGTCTCGTGTGAAATTCCAAGTCCATAAATAATTGACAGACTCATTCATCCATAAAATCACGTTAATTACAACTGCATTCTATAAACATGACCTAACTCTATGCCCAGATACAAGGCACGCAAGTTCAAACCAAAATATAGCTTTTAGTGATAACAACTGTAATTGATTTATTCTTTATAACAAAAACATTGGATATGATGATGTTCTTGTTGTTTATGATTTCATTTCTCAAGACCATTACCTAAATCCACTGAGAAAGCAGAAAGAGCCTCTGTGGTGGATACCAATGCCATATTTTCATTAAGTTATATTATTTACATTATTAATTACAATACACAATCCAAAAACATTATGGCAATGAGACGTTTTCATCATCGACAAATGACGGTACAAACATAGCCCATGTCCAGACAAGTAAAAAATTATAGTATGACATTAGAGGAAGAAGGCCATGGTGGGTAGAATAAAATTTTTGCTAAATATTTCCTCTCATACTCACATTTTTATACCATGGATTTTCATTCAAAAGGCTTACAAACATTCAAATTAATTAGACCCATGTACAATTACAGACTACTCTTTAGATTTTTGTTAAGTTATAAAATGTGGGTGTGGCCGACCTGCAAAGAAAAAATTCATTTTTAGAATTATTAAACTTTATGTAACTCTGAAATACATGTGTCCTATTGCCCAGAATGAATATACATTTTCTGCATAATGATGACCTGAATGATATACAATTTACATAGCTGAGATATTAAATTGCTCTATAGCGCCCTCTTGAACGTTTGAATGGGATAAAAAATGTGTTTTAGGTGTAATATCTCCCTCTTGTGTTCAGTTTTGAGACAGTCCTCCTGTATTTAAACACCCCTGTACTTTTGTCTGCTTGGATTAGTTTTGTTCTGTTCGGTTTTGGTTAAGTTAACCCCAATTGAACTGATTTTTTGTTATATAATTTTGAGCTTTTGTTAAATGAAATTCTTTACTTTATTACACAAGAGCCTCTCATTTGGGTTGCCAGTTCCAATTCTGAAATCCAGGTGGTTTAAAACTAAAAGCACACTTTCTGATCTGAATCCTCACCGCTCAGTACTGTAGCCAATCATTAATGAGCCTCTGCAGCAGCACAATGACACAAATGTATAAATGTGTCCTCCATCTGCAGCTTAAAGATGCACACCACAACATTTCTGGTGGAGGGTCTGCTCTCCATGGAGATGTGATTGCTTTCCCTGGAATGTTCCATGGTATGACATTAAACACACCTACATTTATTCATCACAGGGGTTTCTATTGCTCAAAACTATAATTCCTTCTGTGAGAATTGTAATGTAGTGTGGTGCTGTAACCTGCTCGTCTCCGTCATGAGGTAGGTTTCATCTATACTGTGGAACATTCTAAACAAAGCAATAAAATTTCCATGGAGACAAGCAGATGATGGACCTTCCACTAGAATTGTTACTCAGGGGTTCTGCTGACATCATCCTACCAAATGGCAGCCTAGAGTGACAGCTCTCCTGCATTTTTGTTTTATTTCACCCTGTAAAAGTATCAACATGTAATATATTTTTGAACACCATTAAGGTTAAAAATGGGCTGAACATGGGGAAAGATACACTGCAGCTGCAACATCATCTCAGGATCCTAGTAATGAAACTAGCACTAATGCTAATGCTGATTCAAGTTTAAGGAGCGTAAGGAATTCTAAAACTTCTAATCCGACCTGACCAGTGTAAAACAAAAATAGAAGCAGAGACTCAAATCGACCATGTTGAGGACTGGGTCCAAAACACAGAGCAAATGCTGGCTAAGATGATAAAAGTTGAGAGCGAGGAATAAAGCAAACTGATCAAGAGGCTCGGCAGGACATTTTAAGATTGTATAATGTCTAGAAAGGAGATTTGCCCACATCACAGCCAAAGAGGAAGTTTTACGCAAAGCTGAAAAAAGCTGAATTTTAGGTGTTGGACACCCCGTGTCAATCAATCAGGGAATACTCACTCTCCAGCGATGTAGCGAAGTCATTATCCAGAAGAAGAAACCAAAAGACGCGGGTGCCACAAACACCGTAACATGATAATCTAAGCTGTATCAGTAGCGGAAGTATATTTTTTATGTTTAAACTTTTTATAAGAAGCTCTCCACTCTTATAATAGTTTATTATTTTATAACTATTGGAAAAGACAAAATTCAAACTTAAGATGACAAAAATACATGTGAGTGATCACGCACCCTTATGTCAGTCAATTTCAATTAGCGCTACTTGGAAACTAAGTTCATATATGCTGAAAGATAACAGTTTTAAAGAAGAAATAAAGAAGTTTCTCTACATAAATGATAATGGAGAAGTCTCACCTCAAATACTCTGGGACACAATAAAAGCTGTTACATCAAAATGAATGTCCTACCAAAACTACTGGATTTGTTTCAGACTCCACCTATACATACTGATCACAACTATTTAATGAATGGGACAAAATGAGGTCACTATAAACTCTATTTGAGGAGAGAAGAGATCTAGAGTCAGTTTCAAAACTTTGCAATTGGCTAAAAATAAAGAAAGATTGGGTCTGCATTTCTAAGGACTTATTAGCAGTCAGCACAGATGAAGACCGTAATAAACTAGTGTGAAAAAATGTAGTGAGAGAATACAAACTGATAAAGACATCACAGTTTTGAAGTGGTATGTATATGATGCTGATTAGATAATGAGAGGGGCCAGCCTTTGACACACGCATCTGTTCTGGATGGTTCCTCAACGCCTCCTTGGAGAAGTGTTCCGGGTACGTCCCACTGGGAGGAGGCCCGAGGAAAGACCCAGAACACTGGAGGGACTATGTCTCTCAGCTGGCCTGGGAAAGCCTTGGTGTCCCCCCGGAGGAGCTAGAGGAAGTGTCTGAGGTGAAGGAAGTCTAGAAGTCCCTGCTTAGATTGCTGTCCCCATGACCCACCCCTGGGTAAGCGGAAGAAAGTGGATGGGCAGATTAGAATATAATTTGAAAAAGCAAGATTTTTACCATTATCTGCTTATACAAAATTACATATACACAAAGATT